TGTCACGGTCCTCTTTTGGAACATTCAGTAACTCAAGAACATCCAACAACAAATATGCAAACATATTTTTGCGGAGGTTTGTGAATTCATCATTATCATCAAAATATTTTTAGCTACGGACAGCTTACCGTCAGATACTTTAATTGCGTGAGATATCATTTGTAATGTCAGGCGTTTTGTACTGAAGAGCAGCGAGAAATTTCCATCACTTGAATTACCGTCAAATATGTTAATTGCGTGAGATTGAATCTTACTTATGGTTTCTAAATTTGTTATTCCCCAAAGCGACTCGATAATTATTAGATAGATAAATAAATTTTCATGCGCTCTTAGTTCTTCCAATCTAAGACGTTGCTGGATGAAATGACACTGTTGACCTATTCTCTGATGCGGCTAGCTAAGTGTGTTGTTCCTTGCTTTTTGTTATAATTCGATGCCAATGATGTCCAACTGGAAAATAGAACAATATATTGAAGTGATCGTTAATTGCCCTGAGGTATCATATCTTCTCATTTACCTCCCAGCTGCGCGACATGAAAAGGTCTTAGAATCCACTCAAAAAATTTCACGCTAGCTTTAGAACGCCCTAAAACGCAGCGGTGAAACACAGCTAAAAAGATTCCGAAGTGTTACTTTACAAAGAATAAAGTAACCCTATTTCGAAGCATTCTTAAAAGCACTGTCTTATTGTCATCGATGAATGGTAACAAGGCGCTGATTAATCAGATCATTTATCAGAATATAAGTTGGAGAGAAAGATCGAGCAGGGAAATATACGGGCTAAATGGTAAACTAGAGTTCTGTTCTATATATTCGAGTAAATGACCGTAGCTTGTGGGGATTTACTTTCGTCTGAAGAGCACTTTACTGAGCTAAGCACTAGCGGGGGTTCAAAATCTTATCTTACGAAAAGTAGCTTTTTTAAAAATGCTGTTTCATAAGAGGCTTGCTCTTTTTGGAAACAGCGCGTTTTTCAGTTTTTCTTTGCTACCTCTCAAAATTCCTGTTGCGACCGCGTACAACCGCAATTTTGTTTTGGATTCCCTCGTGTTTAGCTGTCCTAAGTTTCTAATAAAAAGATCCGTAGCAGTCAACTTTCTGTTATAACTGCATTCGTCCAAACTATTAATCAGAAATTAGCATGAGTCGTCTATTTCTATTGGTATGATTCATCATGAAATCTTTGATCAGTGCGTATTGCACAATTAATGTTCTATTTCTTTAACTTTTTGCGTCAGGTAAATTTCGCTTTTTAACAAAAGCCCAAACTTATAAAACAGCTTAGCTCAATCCGTGAATATTTGTTAGTGGAAGCCTCATTCAACGATGTAAGATCTCTGCCATTTTCCTGACTAACTCACTTTTTTTTTGTGCGGTCCACACGAAGCAATTTTTCTCAAACTTGTTGTATTCTCTATTATTTCTAAGTGAAATAGTAAGGTAAAGAGATTGTGTAGTGTTTTGACCTAACTTTTTCAATCCTAAACGTTCCGATAGCATTTATGACAATAAAATATTTTACAAAGATTTATGTAGGTAATAAATTTGAATGAAATTTGAATGGAAAACTACCGGATAAGTTTCTCTCGCAAAAGGATGCTTCAAAACTCGTTAATGGTAGGCTGGTGCCAGTTAGGAGCTACTCAGTAATTAAAAGGGACTTTTAGCAGTCAGGACGGCAACGCCAAGGAAGACTTTGATTAAAAAATAAATTTCTGCTTTTAATTAGAATTTCAAAAATGGCTGCATGTGTTTACCGTCTCATACAGCGCCACACCTCAACTTCAGCATAACGTATAAAAGAAGCGTTGAGCTCCAACTGGAAATTACAAAAATTTGCCGTCGCGGTTTCGGTTCGCAGATGACGCAAATTGTGGTGATTTCACGTTGTTGTTTTGCATGGGACGGCTAAGAAATGTACAAAGTTTTAAAACGCACTTGCTGAGATATTGTTCTGCCAATTAGATCTTTTGTTTTTCCATGTCCTTGTTGCCGTCGCCGTCGTGGTTTGCTTAAGGTCCCTAATTGAACCATGACGGCGACGGCAAGAGGACGTGGCAACGATTACGTGGCAACGAGGACGGAACAACAAGGAACAGACAAAAGAAACGATCATGATCAGACGATAGCTCGACACGTGCGTTTTCAAACTTTCTACATTTCTTAGCCGTGAAATTACTAGAATTTGCCTGGATTAAATAATGACATTCCTGACGGGAAATTATTCAAGCTTCCGGCATTTGGAACTCAACACTGCAGACATATGTTATGCTTAAATTGAGGCCGGTGGCGCCGTGGTAAGAGACGGTAAACACATCCAGCCCTTCGCCTAAAACTAGAAGTTCAGATTCATTTTTGAATCGAAGTCTTCCTTAGCGTTGCGGTCACTTTTGAGTTTTCGCTAACACAAACTGCCGTCCTCAAAAATCTGAGAGGAAATTGAATGAGAGGGTAGGAGGGCTGAGAGGTTCAAGTCTGTGCCATCCTGATGTGATGATTGGTCGCCGTCAGTTGCACAATGGCCGGCGTTAACTTTCTTTTTCCCTCGCCCCAAGCCTCCAATTGTTTTAACCGACCACGGGCTACCTGTCGGTATCGCTGAGTCACACAATGTGGAGCTGCTTCATAAATGTTCACCGAATGCCTTGGACTGGAAAGTAATTTCAGTCACGAATATGCTAAAATCCACCAGGCTGTGTCACTAATTGCGCTTTATTCATTCAGTTATTTTGAATATTCACTTTTCAATTTTCTGATGCAGTCATTTCGATCTAACTAGTACTCAATTTAAAAATCACCATTTTCTGTTTAGTCAACCCGGTAAACGACTAGAACAACTGGACTTCAATTTAGTACAATGTTCTTAGTTTACTCGCTTTTCGTTGTAAGGAACGCGAAACAACCCTAACATTTGTTTTTCTACAGAATAAAGAATATCTATAAAAAATGAATGCCTAAGCGATAAAAGCATTTATGATACCAAAAAGTGATAAAAGTGCCATCTCTTTTATTTTAAGTGAGAAGTGTTCGTTTATACCTCATTATCTTTCGTGCCCCAGGCCTAAGAGTGAATGGTTTCTAATTTCTCGTCATAGTATCATCCTTGAATCAAATTTAAAGGTCACGAAAGTAAACGAAACGATCACCAATTTGATAAGTTCCAGATTGTCAAACAAATTCTCTCTATCAGAACTATTAACATCCATTTTTTTTCAGCCAAGATGAACTAAATCTACAGATAGTCCTGTGTAAATGTTTATAAATTTGTTAGAAATTAATCTGCTGAATCACGCAAGAGTTGATTAACTTTCTGTTTTGTAAGAAAGTTTTGCAAGGGCATTCGTTCTGTAACCTGCCTGAATTCTTTTATATCTATTGAGGAGATGGTAAACCTTAAGCAAAAAAAGATTTCAAAAGATCTGGGTATATGAGTAATTGTGAAAGCCAACAACGTCTAGCCAGAAAATTTTCAAGTAGACAAAATGGTTTGCAAATTGAGTATTCAGTCATGCAACACAGCTGAGGTTCTATGTTTATAACGAGTCTTAAAACGGCACAGCTGTACATAAAATTGTCGGATGCAAACTCCAAGATTTATAATTCAAACTACTTTGATTTTACATTTAAAGCCACTTACCTTATTTCATAAATTTTCCGTGGTTGGAGCTCATAACCTGACTAGCTCTACGACTGGGTAACTTTTTTAGCATACATTTCTTCAGTCTGTAATTAATGCATGTAACATAAAATCAAGACCGCATCTGATAGATTTCTCTAGTACCGTAACTCACTGAAGCTTGAAATGTTTGTCACCTTTTTGTTTGGATGAAACAAAAATTTAAATGGATGATACAAAGACATCACGAAAAGTAAAGTAAATTGCCATTTTTTTCCCAGCAAAAGATACCTGCTCCGTATGTTGAGTTTCTAACACTTATATTCACCGCTTACTTGAAGTTGTTGATAACTTCCTTCCGGCCTCTCACTGCGGCCCAAATGATGACAATAGACCCTGTTGTTGGCTTGAGCGATCTGTTCAAGGACAAAACCTCCCTGCAGGAGATTCATTTCCCCAGATTCTTATCACAGATTCTCCATAGACCCCGCTGTCGTTGGTCAACCCGCGATCGAAATGCAACGCACACTATCTCCTTTTTAAACTTTAATTTTTGGGGATCACCACTTCACATTTCGTAACACGGTGAAAATGAAAAACAGTTGGTCATTAAGACTTGTCATGACCTGCCAATTAATACAACTTCAATACTCAAATGAGTCCACGCAATTCAAACCTCACATTACATCCAACGTTTTTTTTTTTACCTTGTTTTAATTTTTTTCCACTTAGCGTAAATAGTAATTTACTCGCAGTCGTGGTATACCTTAAAATGACAACCTATTCTGTTGCACAATATAGACATGACTAAATTTTTAAATTGAATTTTATGTTTCCCAATTTTAGGTTCTCGAGTCAAATTTTTAAAAAACCCCGTGTACTTTAATAACATCTGTTGAAAACTGCGGTCGTTCTTTATATTAGACAACGTTAGGCGGACCCTTCCCTACCCCCAAGGTGAAACGGAAGGGTTTCGCTTTGGGGGAGGGGGGGGAGGATATGGCTACGCGTAGGCTATGTTTACATTATTGTGAAATCTTTCACATGCTCCAAAGTAATATTCTATATATTTTACATGACTCAGTTCTAAATTCGTACAAGTTTCTTGAAAAACGTTCGCTTGTCAGCCCTGAAACTTTAGCACCACACAAGCAAAGAAACAACAACAACAACAACAACAACAAAACAAACAGGCAAACAAACAGGAAAGCAAGCAGACAAACAAACAAACGGGAGAACAACCGAATTAGGGAAACTACTTGAATCGCTGTAGAAATGACCTCATTGTATAATATTACATTGCCATATTTAGTGTGTAATAAGCTGGCGGGTGCCACTTCCGGTTCTTACGTCAAATAACAAAATAGTAAGCTGTTTGTAACCTTGCTAACATCTGAAAATCGGCAACTGATGATACCACTGTCTGCTTTACTATCAAAACTAACCAACCTGAAGTCAGCCTAATTTTTGGTGGTAAAAATAGGTTCCTCTCACTCTCCAGGGGAGAGTTAGCACTTTCAAGCCCACCGTTGTCTTAGAGGTCACGTTGGTAGCGCGTGATTCCCGTCATACAAAGGCTATTTATATCAAAATTTTAAAGCACCTTTCGGTAGACGACGTAGTAAAGAAACATGGCAGCGTCGCCGACATTTCAAACGCCAACCACGGTATTGAATTTTGAAGATATTGGAAGTTCCCTTCTCAACCGAACTTTAGTGACTATCACATGCTCTTTGTCGCTTCTCGGAGCCTTGTTAATCATCGTGACGTATATTGCCTGGAAGGACGTGAGGTCGTGTTCGAGACAAATCCTGGTGTACATCTCCATCGCTGACAGTGTTGTAGCTGCAAGTTACATGATCGGAGTACTGCTACCAGACAACGCTAACTCCACCGCCTGTGTCACTCAGAGTTTTTTCTCCACCGCTGCGAATCTATGTTCCTTCTTTTGGACTCTCTTCTTGTCCATATATTTGTACGCAGCAGTAGCGAGACTAACTCCTGCAAAGAATTTTCTTTGGTTTTTCCACATAATTGGTTGGGGTTTCCCACTGTTTATTGTAGTGCTAGCTTGGGAGAAGGGCGCCCTTGGAAATGACCGAGATATCTACAGCTCTGGTTGGTGTTGGATCCGAGTACAGGACAATAGCAACGATGATGTGATATGGATGTTGGTAACAGGAAAATTTTGGGAGATAGCTGTATTCATACTTATTTTGATTTTCTATGGCTTGCTGAAGTGTCATCTCCGCACAGAGGTAAACAACAAACTTATTAACCGTATCTGTGTCAATCGTAATCAATGCATGCATCAATACAATCGCGATGATTGTTATGATACTGAGTATATCTCTCCAAGATCAGCTGATCGTCTACATCACAGTTGTACAGTAAACCATTTCACTCCCGAAGTATCAATATCAATTCGCCTTCCTGTTTGCCTGTAGCAGTAGAATTTGGTGTTGAATCAGGCAATACTTCCCAATACCTTTCTTCATAAACCTTGAAATCTCGGAAGTGATTAATACATATAACTTCTCCCTGCAAGTATTATTATGGACAAAACTAAAACTTTGAACGTGTATTAACTAAATAGAAATATTACTGCGGGAATCTTTCGAAAAGCGTAGAAGAGCTTGCGTGATCTTTTGTCTTATTTATTAATATCTATCTGCATATAATAATACCTGTAATTTGTTACAAAAGGCGAATAAACCTGTACTAAGATTACATTATCTAGCAAACACGTTAGGAGAATACTCAAACTTATCAGGTAGAAGTTGTCTTGACTCAGCACCGAATTCTCGTAACTAATTTGCAAGGACATGTCTGGCAGCTATTGGGGAGAGTTAACAATCAGAGCTTGGTAGTTAAAGGGTAGTGTTTATGTAAGTCGAGGTTTTTCTTGGTCAGTGTTTTGAGTTGAAGGGTTGCCGTGAACTGAAAGTAAAGTATGATGGCCCTAAATGATAACAGATATCAGGTTACATTTTTTTCGGTTAATAATAATAATTCGGTATGTTTGGCTGTAGCAAATTTATAGCAGCTCTTGTCTTTCTTCGTCATCAACTGATATTGCACCATACGCTATTCCATTCGCTGTGCAAGTGCGTGACAAGTACGCAATGAGTACGTGATTAGTATGTGACGTGACTTCGTCACACCATCTATTGCTAGTAGTGTCCTTTCTTTTGGTGAAAATAATCGTAGTAGTGAAAATAACAACTTCACGTTAGTCATTTGTTTAGCGCACCTAGCATACATTAAACACGTTTTTTATGCTTGTTTTACCAGGTGAAAATGGTTCCATGCCGCGTCAAGGAAGAAGCGAGAAAGGCTGATAAACAGTTAACACTTGTTCCTGTAATTTTTCTATTTTTACGATCCTGGAGCATGATTCGCTTCTGTATTTACCTGGTTTCATCTGCACAGCAATCGCAATCATTACTTGATGCTCAGGAAATTTTGATTTATTTACAGGTAAGTATGTTGTATTTCTGTTTGTGCGTTGATATGAGTAGAAGGAGTATTAGCCTGCAAGTAGGCTTCATTAAAAGCGCTGCAGGACGCGCGTTTCTCCGCCCGCGGGAAGATATGAGACGAATTGGAGAGAGGTTTGCCGGGGGTGTAGCACTAATAAGTGTTAGACCCCCCTGCGGACCTCTGGCCTGCTTGTGTTGCCTATCTCATTAGAGAGATTTGGTACCTCGTTTACGTGAAACGTGAACGGCAAGAGTGACCACGTGACCACAATGTTCCCGCTTTTTTTCACGTTTGCCGTATGCGCTGTGCCGTTTCTTCGTGAAAGTAAGCTGCTTCGCGTTTGCTGTGTACATAAGATTTTCCTCCAATTTTCTCTCACAGAGTAGAAGTTTGTTTCCGAAAAAAATTCTCCAAAACTATTTCTTATAAGTCATACAATGGCAGATGAAGTTTCAGGTTTAAAATTATTCAGATGCCACATTTTTTGTCAGCAGACAGCTGTAAGAACTCACTTTGACTCATGAGACAGCTTCGTCGAAACTCTATGTGAAGTGAGCTCACGCGTAGCTAAAGCGGCTAGGTTCGCGTTGTTTTACGTGAAACGTGAAAAGACAAGCTGTCGTTTTCCGTTTCACGTAAACGCAGTGCTAGATCTCTATTATTTCCTGAGCGTGAAGAAACGCTCGCGCAGAAACGCTACTATTAGCTTCTACTCGCAGGCTAAAAGAGTCTTAGGTGTTGGAAATAAACCCTCGTATTTACATCACAGTATAATGGGCAGAAGACCATGGTTGCCAGCCAATCAAAATTCTGGAATTGCGTCATACAATGATTTATTGACTGAGAAATCATAAATTGGAATCAAATGATTAAATTGGCCAACTTACTCTCTGATACTTATCGGTTCTTAAATTACTGGTGACTCATTGCCTGAAAGCCTCAAAACCGTAGTTACCATTCCAATAAATCTTCCACTTTCCCACTCAGAAAAATCCGTTCTCAGTAAGGGCTTAAATTTTGCTCGCATTTCCGAAAAATCGACGAATTTTCAGATAGCAAGACGTTTAAAATGCTTTTGCGGCGTTCAATTAAAAGCCTTTTTTCACGACAAAGAGGATGATTCTAACACCTCAAACAAAAATACTTCGAAACACTTCAGATTCAAAAGTCTAAATGGACTCCTTCAGAGGGCCAGTTCGCATCTTTAGATTTTGTCATCTACAAATAACGTCACGGTATCAACAAACTTAAATTCAATCATAACACCAAAATTTCCAACCTTTCATGGGAAGAATGAACGGCACTAAAAAGTACAAAAAAACGCAAACACTTTGTTATTAAAGCGGCCGACAAAGGCGACACAGTTGTTGTTTGGCAGGCCGACCTCTGCCAAAAAAAACACGATTAACGATCTTATGACTAAATAAGAATTGCCGGCCACTGCAAAAAATATCACCATCACCTCTCCTAGAACTTCGTGTATTTACTTTTTACCCAAAGTCCACAAACCTAACAACCCAGAACCCATCGTCTCTGTCTGCAGTTGTCCCAACCGGTCTTGTTTCCAGCTATTTAGACAAAATCATGGCTCCTATCGTCGAAACTTTACCATCATACATTAAAGACAGCCAACACGCACTTGAAAATTTTTGCGACTTTAATTTCCTTGGCCAAGACAAACTTTTTTTCACCATGGATATTACATCTCGTCATACAATCATTCCAAATGGCGAAGGTCTCCTAAGCCTCAAACATTTTTTTGATCAACGTACTGTTAAGGAACCTAGCTTGGAAACACTACTCCGCCTAACCGAACTAGTGCTAACACTCAATTACTTTTCATTCGGTGGCAAGTATTACAAACAAACTAATGGTGTAGTAATGGGTACCAAAATGGGACCCGGCTACGCCATTCCTTACAGTCAATACAACGGCCCCAAACCTGAATTCAATGGTCGATACATTGACAACTGTATCGGCGCTACCTCCTCTTACCAACTCAGTTAATAAAACCAGATTACTTTGTTAATCTGTGGTAGCTAAATCCATGTCATCCTTCTGAAGTTTCGTTTGAAATGACGATTATTAAACATCATCATAATTTGATTTCAGGGTGTATGCAACAGTGCTCAAGGCTTCGTCAACTTCCTTTTGTTTTGGTTATTTACCACGAAATTCCAGAATAATTTGCGAAGAGTAGCACACAAATACTGCCCATGTTTGCGAGACAAATATACATTCATTCCCGGAGAGTGTATAAACGTGGAATACTCAAATAACAGCCGTTATCCACAGTATTCAGACACGGGAGAAACCTCTGCGATATTTAAGACATCAGATTTCTACGGTCCAAAATATTCCTATTACACTGTAAGTTTGTTAACGTCGAATACATCTAAATTAACACGGTAGGAGCCTGGGAAGGAACGGAGGGTTTGTCTCTATGACCTCATGCGGTGATGGTGTGAAATTCTCAAAGGAAATCACAACACATTTTGAGCGCTTGAATCTAACTAATTTTCACATAAAAGGTGTTTTACACTGAATAAGTTCATATGCTATGTAAGCTAGGTTCGAATTAGGATAGAGCTGGATGTGATTTAGATCGTGATCACAAGCTGTTATTCTTAGCATGCTGCTTCGTTTCCAAGCTCAGTTATTTTTTTACTGTATTATTTCCTACGATGAAAAGCGAGAAATGGGGAGTGCGGTACTTGATGGAATCTAACCATGCTCCAAATGAGATAGGTTAATCATTATCTGAACAAGTGGTAGGGTGACTGGAAAGAAAAGGGCGGGAAGACGGAGAACGGGATAGGGGACATTCTCATTCCCAGACTCCCCTCCCCCATTCACGAGGAGCAATCCTTTTTTTTTAGCAAGTAAAGACACTCATTTCATGTGTATATAGGTTGTGATATAATGAAAACAGTCAATATTATATTCTGAGAATATGTTAAAGCGACTGGTCATCAGCCGAAACGTCGTCTTGTCGCTAACTGTTTTGCGAAGAATGGATCAAAATTGACTGAATAGATTACACCATAACTCAATCAGATTTTGAAACCATTTTGTAACTAAGTGACAAGAAATTGACGTTTTTAGGTAATGTAATTTTCATGTCCATTTTATGTTGTACTTACAAAGAGACACATGTATCAGTGGTTTGTCAAAAAAAAGGTGAACTTTTAAGCGTTAAGTGCCAATGCACGGGGTATATTTGTGTTAAATGACCGAAAATTGTATATAAGGAAGGAAATCAAATAAAGTGAGCTCAAAGTCAATCATTTTTAATCGACGTTGTCATCATTAATAAAATACTCCCCTGGGCTGTCGGACTCGATCTTGCAATTTTCTGTATCTAGGTTCACCGTACTTTCCATCTTCCATCTAAGATTCGATGGGAATCAATAGACTTGGCAAACGAATTTAAAAGCCAAACCTCTGATCATTCGTCCATCCTTTTGATTTGCAGACATTTGTACGACTTTCAAGGCGGTCAAGCACTTTTTTTTGCTTTCGGCGCAACATTTGAGCAATGTCACACGTTTCAATTACGTTTTTTAAGCTCTCCGCTCTGTGTAATAGCTAATGTAAAGTTAAAATTACATCTTTTAGGCGCGAGTTAGCATCTTTGAAGTAATCAATGGAAATATCTTGTGCGTTCATATTCTGAATACCTATTGACAGGGTACAAAGGGACTCTACGAAGTTGAAAAGGCCAATTTCGTTGCTATCTCTTAAAGTCTCATAGGTCATTTTTTTTTCTGAAATAGGCAGGAAAGTAAATCACTGCTATGTGATCACATGCTGAAGTGTGTAAATAATAATAGAATGTAAATAATAAATCCTATTTGGAACGAAAAAAAAAGGACTAGATATGAAAAATAAAGAACGCAAATAACAACAAAGAGAACGAAAACAAAATAAATTGGCTTACCACGTACATAAATAAACAGGAATGTAATAAAAAAATATAAAAGCCAAATAAAAAAACATATGGAAAGGAAATAGAAAATATGGCTCAGAAATGTAAATAATACGTCACATACTAAAATGTTCTGAATATTGACTTGATATGCGCGCCACATCCTGTAACATCCATACGTTGTTTAGCAAACAGGTAATGGGAATACTCAAATTAATCAGGTTATTTTCATCTAACACGAAATTATCGTAACTGATTTACAAGGAAATGCGCTGCAGCTAAAGGGGAGAATTAGCAATCAGATCTCGGGTATTAACGGATTTAGATTATTATTAACACAAAGTCCCTTAAATCATAGCGTCATGTGATATGTGATGCAAACGCGTGTTAATTGAAGTACCGTTACTGTCCGTATTGCGTGACTTCGTGTGACTCACGTGATTTTTTTCACACAACATCGCGATTTAAAGGATGAGTTTAGAAGTGCTCCGTTAGAGGATCGATAACATGTTGGCTGTCACAGCACCAACAGTAGATACACCAACTACACTGGGCTTTGGAGCCATTGGAAATACAACTTTGAACCGCACTTTGGTGGTTCTGACCTCAGCTTTGTCTCTTCTTGGGGCCATAGTCATTATTGTAACATATTATGCGTGGAAGGACATGCAGTCGACCTCGAGAAAAATTCTTGTCTACATTTCCGGCGCTGATTGCGTTGTAGTGTTGAGTTTTATGTTTGGTGCATTTTTACCACCAAACACCAACTCTCCTGCCTGCACAGCTCAGAGTTTGCTCTACACTACAGCTAACCTGTGTTCCATCTTTTGGACCACATTTATGGCCGTCTTTTTGTACATATCGATAGCGAGGAAAAAGCCCAAATTGGCTGACATAATGTTCTATATGTTTCATGCTATTGGATGGGGCGTGCCTGTGCTAATTGCATGCATAGCGCTGCAAAAAGGCGTGCTCGGAAACGATCGCGATATTTACAGCTCAGCTTGGTGTTGGATCAAGGTGCAGGACAGTGGCAAAAATGTTGAGGATAATTACATTATGTGGATGCTTGTCACAGGAAAAGCCTGGGAAGTATTGGTCTTCATACTTATTTTAATTTTCTACGGGCTGCTAAAATGTCATCTTCGACAAGAGGTAGGTGACTGTCAATGACGTCTTTCTTTAATAACTTACTGGATAGGGCAATACGTGTATATTTTTTGCATCTGATGAAGTTAAGTGATTGTGTATCACATGTTATGTTAAGCGTTACCACATGGTCAATTCTCTTGCAGCACATGACCCTTGAAAATCGTGGTATTGAAACAAAAAAATTTCAAAGATGTTATGAGCTTCAAAGAAAATGTACTCTCACTGCGATCTTTTTCTTTTATTTTCTGCATATTGTACAATTGCTACGTACTTTCGTACATTTATTGCAATCGTCGCTTTCCGGCTCATGACTGGACACGCATCCAAGCAGTACTTTCGATCATTGGTGTATCACGCGATCGACTATTAGTACACGTACATTGCACGTGTTCCTCTGACGTAACGCAATATCAGCGCATGCTGTAACGCCTTCCTATGCATCCGGACTGTCACAGTGATATAACATTCTAGAGAGCGCCAATACGTAGTAAGTTATTATATCAGAATGCCAAGTTTCATCAATAACAGAATATTGTCTCAACTTGATAAACAAATCCAGCCCTGGCCGAAGTAATGTAGAACATTAAAACTTAATGTTTTTATAACGTTTATTCTTAGGTGTACATAAACGAAAGAAACCCTATTGCTCGTAGATCTCTGGAGGCAGCAAAGAGATTCGACAAAAAACTGACATTAGTTCCTGTTATTTTCCTCTGTTTGCGATCCTGGGGAATGATGCGCTTCGCAATTTACTCGAGTTCATCTGTGCATGAATCAAAACCAGTAAGGAACGCTCAAGAAGTCTTGATCTATTTCCAGGTGAGTGTTCCAACGGTCTGTTCTTGTTATACTCGCGAGTGGAGTGGAGAAGAGTATGCGTGAAACAACCGTGAGAGGAATAGGGAGAGGGATCGGACGCATCGCCTTCTGGGGATCTGAAGAAATTTACAGACCCAATTTTTGCTCTAAAGTCCTTCAAAATTCAACTTCGTCATTCTCAGAGCTACTTGCTTGACCTGAAATCAATCTACCTCCTCTCTGCCTGGTCACGCAACGCTCCCATCTTTAGGATTGCGTGACGAGCCAGGATAATAGTGGGGGTACAAATGATTCATAATAGGCCAGAAATTACTCGCTGACCGAAAAATAGGAATGTAGTTACCTCCATGATCCTAGTAGTTACTAGAGGATATTTTCTGTCTTAAGTGAAACCAAATCGACAAATCGAGCTTCGTATACACCCGTTAGTTTACAGTTCAGTGGTAAGTGAAGAAACGTTTACAAATTACTGATATCTTTTCAGGGAGTATTTGAAAGTGCACAGGGCCTCACCAACTTTCTTATGTTCTGCCTGTTTACCAAGAAATTCCAAGTGAATATGAAGAGAACAATTCATAGATACTGCGGCATATCGTACTGTCCTGTAGATCTCGATATTCAAAACACGGATGACAGCCAGATCGAACCACCTTCATCAGAAGAGAACGAAAGCTCTTCGATATTTGGAACCTCAGATTTTGGTCCGAAATATTCCTATCATACCGTGAGTCAGTTGAATTCTAAGAGCAATACTTAAAATGGAAGGAAAAAGGAGGAAGAGTGAACACAAAACAAAATCTAAATTTGAATACACGTTTAAACTTCATTACTGTTTGCCATACGTAACAGGAGCGGATCAAGGGGAGTGAGGAGCAGAGGGTGCGCACTCCCCCCCCCTCCCCCCAATTCTCCGAGATGATCAGTAGCTTTCTAATATAACTTCACAGTTATAACTTCGCAGCAAACTTAACGGCAGATTCGGTATAACTTCACAGCTATACCGAATCTGCCGTTAAGTTTGCTGCGTATTCTTAGTGAATAGTCGTAAGTCTTTTTCGTTATCGGGTTTTAAAATTTGTTTTCGTCGCATGTCATTTACGTCATTTTTTAGAGGTGCACCCCCTCCTGAGAACAATCCTGGATCCGCCCCAGCGGAAAAGCCGGCGGGCGAGCAATATCTACAGTGAAGGAACTATCACTTCACTTAACATAAATTTCACGATGAAAATGCACAGCGATGTACATAATTTATGATTAGCGTAATCATGCACGTATTTTATTGGTTTTTCCTTATAATCTATCAATGGAAAGACGCATAGATGAGGTCACTCTTCACAACGTTTTGCTTATAATCATATAAAACAGAGATGCTACGTTTCCGTGGGTCTGTAAAGTAATTCGTCAGAGCTGACGTCAAAATTTTGGCGTCAAAATTCTGAACATACACACGGTAACATGGAATCTATCTGTGAAGTTAACACTTCGCAAAATAACTTAATTGAAGCAGCCAGGTTTCTTAGCTCATGTCAGGGTCTTGACGAAGAAACCATGTCTTGTTTCCTATATAATTATATTTCGTCTGAATATTAGTAATTGAAGCAATATCTGATGGTTTTGAATCCAGAATGACTTAATCATTCGTCGGAAATTGTCAATGATGAAATGTCTGTATTTGAACAACATATTGCGTATAAAAAGAAAAATTTTTAACAAATTAACTGTCAATGCCATGGACAGATGATGGTGTGGTTCTCACAAATATAATTAAACACATAAGCTTATCGACCGCACAAGTTAATGGTGATTGTAGCTCTGACATTACCCGGTAAAATGCCTGGTTCAACATTTTTACCCACAAATTCCACAAGTACCTTAGGTTATCTTTTCCATCATGTGATACGGGACAAACGTTTTTCCCACGTTTTCCACCCGTTCGCTGACATATTTTCTCGCGTTTTCTACCAGTGGCACCTTGTCTTGCGTTTACCGCTGGTTTACCTACTCTTTCAGTAATGGCAACTAGAGCATATCTGAGCGGGTTTCCAACATTGAAATAAGTTACGTTAATAAAATCATTACCAATTGAGAGACAGTCTTTCTACAAAATGCGTTTAAAATTGCTTAGTGTCTTTACGAAGAGATTGCTAGTTGCCCACTCATTTCTAAAACACTCTTCATTGCCTCAAAATGACAATGAAAATTGAACATCAAACGCCACGCTTCCACGTTATTTCCAGTTTCCTAACACATTACATCCCAGCAGCTGACGTATCATCGACCTGAGTTCTGTGAATGTCGACTCTATGTGCCTCGTGCTGCTTGTGCCACAAATGAGCGTATAAACTGTTTGAGTCTGTGATGAGTGAATAATGAGAACCTCTCTCACGCACACGGCCCTCTTCCAAAACAAGAATTTCGTCTGCGTCCACCACTGTGGACAGTCGATGAGCAATGAAGATAGAGGTACGGTCTTTTGTAACACGTTTAAGACTGTCCAGAATATTCTGAAGTATTAATTGGTGACAAAGTGTTAGTGCTTGCTAGCTAAATGCACTCTACGCTTTTAAACTTTAAACAGTATGCCTCTCTTCACTCGGAGACAAGTTTTCCAGAATCTACTTAGTGCTAATGCTGGGCTTGTTGCAAATAAAAACTAAAAGGCCGGGGCAGTTAACTCTGTGTTCAGTAATTACCATGTTTCCATTACCTCAGTCCCACGACAGTAAAAGTGAAACTACTGCCAGCTTGAAAAATTGTTAAGGTTGATAATTATGCAATGGGCCGATAAAATCCCATTTGGGATGAGAATGGGGAATCCTCTCTAAGACACATCTCAATCATAAAAGATAATCAGAGTTCGGGATGCATCATCCGGCCTCTTCATGAACCTTATAACCCTTGACAGTGACATGCATCTAATTTTTCCTGGCACCATCGGTGCTGAATCAAACATTGAGGTCACGAAAAGTTACAGGCGTTCTTTACCCGACCCGACCCAAACCTCTCTCATTTTTCCAGTCCTCCGCAACTAGAAGCGCAGTTAACTATCGCGCTTCGTCTTACGTCTGGAACAGGTTATGAAAAAAAAAAAGATCACCCACAAAAGAAGAATTCTCCTCATGAATACCATGGGAAATATATGGAGAAAAGTAGGGAGAATACGCTTAATGATAATAATTAATGCTTACTGATGTTAGGGTGTAAGGGTGAAGAGTGCTTATCTACTACTCCCAGGCGCTATGGAAGGTAAACTTCTGGTGAAATCTTACCATTTCCGTGATAGAATCCAGCGAGGAAGTGGCCTCATCGTACATTAGTATGGGTGGGTTTTTCAATATAGCCCTTGCAATAGCTATTCTTTGTTTTTCACCGCCGGAAAGTTTTAAACCGCGCTCTCCGACCTGAGTTTGATATCCCTTAGGCATGCGTTGTACTGCATCGTGAATCTCCGCCATCTTAGCTGCCTCGTAAACTTCATCTTGTGTAGCTTCAATGCGTCCGTAATTTATGTTGTAGAAGACGTCATTGTGAAACAGAACTGTGTCCTGATGAGGAAGAAGTCAATGTCAGTCTTTGTAATTTAGTATTATCAACTGAGTTGATAACGTAAATTGGCCACCGGAAAGAATTTCAAAGCTGACGAATGACGAAGGGCTAACGCTCGAAACGTTAACTTTGAAACTCTTTACGGTGCCAATGTATGTTATCAATTCAGTTGACAATACCAAATTACTTTGTTATACTCTCTCTCCGACGCAGCACCACTATTTCTTTAGAAACTTACCCCCTTGTTAAATGTCAATCTTTAACAACCAGAAAACATAAACATGTAACTTCTCTTTACAATGTCATAAGACTAGGACCCAATAATTATTGATCGCCTGGAGGGGAGAGCGGGGGGTTCAAGGGGGGGATCGGTCATCGTCAACAAGGTACATACCCGGTCCTCCGTTCACCAGCAAAGATGATGGGATGACGGGATGAACCTTAATCTAACACCAAATTTTCCTTACTGATTCAGAAAAAACAAATATATAGCAGCCAGATAAGTGAATTACGAATCAGATGGCAGAAACTGAAGGCGCTGAAGGAAATGAAGGCCGGTTAAGGACTAGTAATCCATGAACAATCCCATTTGCCAAAATGATGAGAAGTGCTATTCAACTTTTGATAGGTGACAACGACAATAAACTTAATGGTTGGGATGCGAGCAATTGTGCGAGGTCAAACTGCATTTTATATTAAAGAAAAATTCAGAAAAATGTGATTTAAACCCGACATTTAACCTTGAAAAAAATTTATTGTGCAGGTGACAGTTATACGACTTAAAGCTAGTGATTCTAAGTTTCTGTAAGTAAATAAGATGAACCGGGGCGTGTCTAACAAAGTGCAGCCATACTTGTGGTACAACTCCTATAGCTTGTCGCAATGAATCAATCGTGAGATCTCGAATATCATGGCCAGCCACAAGGATACGACCACCTGTGGGGTCATAGAATCGATACAGCAAACGAACAATGGTGGATTTCCTGGTAAAAAGAATACAAAAGATAAATAAATGAAGGAACAACACTGTAAAAGCTTCTGTCTGAGTGCCATTTACCTATTTCTACCCTTACAATTCAATCGGTTTATTTGTACGTGCGAGTTGGCCCTCATGACCAGCGCTTCTGTACGAGTGTTTCTTCGCCCGCGGGAAACTACGAGGCTTTGTGCAAAGCAATCAGGCGAGATGTCTGTAAGTGGTCTAGTGCCAGACTCCCAGCATACCTTTCCTCGACTCGTCTCAAATCTTCCCGCGGGCAGAGAAACGCGCGTCCCGCATACGTCACTTTCCCTACGAGCATCTCTATGAAGGGAGATCTAGTAAAAAGTGGGTTTAATTCTGTGTTTTGTGGTTCCTTAGATTCCAAAGTTTTTTTATTCAATAAGATTACCCTGAGCCGCTGCCTCCTACGATAGCAATCTTCTTTCCAGCTGGCACTGTGAACGTCAGTCCGTTAAGGATATTCTGGTTTGGCAGATAGCCGAATACCACATTGTCAAAGATAACATGTGATTTTTCATCACCAGTTCTAAGAACGAGTGGAAAAGCACCAGGTTTGACCTACAGAAAAAAGTAATAAGAAATATGTTGATTTTGACCAAGATTTGGGATAATGAAAAACCTGCGTCTGTCACGAGGAATTGAGCAAGCGAAGGGCATATGTGACAACTGAAGGCATACTGTTACGTCCAGCAATGTTGAAAGCGTTTTGATTGAGGGGGGTGGGGGGGGGGGGAGGGGAAAGGTAACTTCAAGTTTGTTCCTAAGAATGCGGAAAGGCTGATTATTCATCAGCGGTTTCCCGTGTAACTTTGTGCCCGCAGCGGCCGTGGTGGGAAAATCAACCCTGTAAACACCAAAAAAACAAAACACTCCGACCACCAGTTCCCAAAACGTTGCCTTTCCTTAAAAACATGCCCGTCTTTAACCGTCACTGAAGCCTAGACAAAGGATAACAAACAAGTTTTAACTTTCTTTACCTTGATAGCCGAGGAGACCTTGTGAAGATCAAACAATGTTTGCATGTCCACAAGAGACTGCCTTATATCACGATACACAGAACCGAGGAAGTTAAGAGGTACAGAGAGCTGAAATAGCAAACCATTCACCATCACTAGATCACCTACAGACATGGTTCCTGACCGGAGAAGAAAAGAAAATGTCAACTCACTCGCCAGCAGGTTTTACGCTAACCAGGATGAACGACTGAGGCTGGGCCTGTAGTCCTACGTTCATACTGTGGCCTGTGCAGGCGCAACACTTTTGCGCAGCCCTGTATTTTCCTAGCGGTCCAAATTGCTTACGTTTAGAGGGGGAAGAGTGGACTTAAAGCGGCTGGATACAGTTTTCCTAAGTTCTGATCGGCTATATTCAGAGTGCTCAAGAGCCAACCCTCCCCCTTTGAAATAGAATTATTTCCACAGCTCACATGTGTTGATATCACCTACGAATGGTAGTTTAAAACAGTGGGCGTGGCAAATTGGACGAACAGTAATGACGATAAATGGCATTAAGGCTTCAAAACTTCACGTAAATTTAACTCAAACGTACCTTGCATAATTTGCCTGCTGGCCAGTATCATAATTGCGCTCAAAGAAGCGCTGAAAATAAAATTCTGACCCCAGCTGAGCAAAGCTAAACTTGTTGTGGTTTTGAGGGATGCTTTCTCGTAATCTGCAAGGAGTTCGTCATACCTCTTGGCTTCATAGTTTTCATTGTTAAAATACTGAAAGAAAACGAAAGGGAAAAAAATAAACGAAGACATACAGTAGGTTAAACAAGGGGTTCCTGACTGGCTTCTTTGAAGACATTTTGAAACACAACACTGTTTTAAAGGAAATTTGAAGATGTTCTGTCATAGATAAAACAAAACCATCACTAAAATAATTTTGAGATTTATAGAGGCTTATGACTTCTAATATCCTTCTTAATGACTGCTTTTGATTATTCACTCTCCTTGAGCATTTGAACCCTTTACACCCTATCATCAGCATGAGTATTCTCCATACTGTTCTCCTCACATTTTGTAAGGCGCTGACAAGGAGAATTTGTTTAACTATCAAGAGCTTCTTTAGTTAGTGATCACTTCCTTTCCTCATGACCTTAAGGGGTGATATTGTAAGGAGAAATTGGATGCTCGTCACTCTAAGAGATCAAAGGGTTTAAATACTATTGCATAATTGTGACAGGATTCCCTTCTGCCAGCTAAGCATTCCATATAATAGGCCATACATACCTTAACTGTCTCATAGTTGATAAGTGAGTCAATGGCTTGAGAGCCAGCTTGGTTATCTGCTTTATTCATTTGCACTCGAAACTTGGTTCTAAAATAATTTATGGAAGCAACAAAACGCAAAATTAAACAAGCTGCAGCAGGAGATTAGTTCAAAATTGCAAGAGATAGTATGATTTCACTAAATTACATCAATTTAGAGCACAATTTACAAGACTTTGGTGGGTACCAATATTTTAATGGTCTCAGACCAATCAAATATTGGTACCCACCAAAACACACCAGATTCTGGTAGATGGTTTCTTGGAGGAAAGAGATGTGACTATATGTATCTTCTTTGAATAAATTCTTTTGCTGAAAGCCAATCAGGTTGGTTGCATTGTTTCAGTAATACAATCTCAGTGAGTGACAAAAAGATACAATTTAAAGCAAATAAATTTTCTAGTAAAGAAATTAATCATTATGTTGAGAGGCATTATCAGGCTTGGCCAACCAGCAATTTCAAAATGGATGTAATAAATACATTTACTGTTCTGTAAAAGAGAGAACTATGTACCTCCATTGTGTGACAGACAGTGTGAATGCTACATATGTTGCTAGACAAGCCAGTGTCACTAGTCCAAATTCTTTACCGCATCGGTATGTCTGCAAAGCAAAAGATTTGTTATTGAACAAAACCTTATTGCATGACAAACAAGCTACTAAAATGAAACAAAAACTTATTTTCACCAACTCACCAAGATTCCAGCCACAAGTGATACCTCAAATATTGTTGGGAAGATGTTAAACACCAAAGCACTTAAAATGAAATTGATACCTCTGAAAAAATTCCATGAAAAAAAATTTATGATTAACTTGGATTGTTATTTAGTTTGAGGAAGTATATCATTTGGTTTAATAAAACAATAAAAACCATACCTTGTTCCTCTGTCAATGGCTCTGGACAAAGCACCTGTCTTTCTTGTTAGATGAAAGGTTAAGTCCAGGTTATGGAGATGAAGAAATGTCCTCTTTGCAACAACACGGATGGATCCTTGGGCAACCTTTGCAAAGACAGCATTCCTTAATTCATTAAAAAGAGATGTACTTGTGCGGGCTGCTCCATCTGAACATGAAGGAGATAACAGGAAAGTTGACAAGTTAAACAAATCAATGGACAATCTTATCAACCTTATCAGTTAAAGAGGTGTTATCCTTATATGAAACAACAAAGTCTCCTTTGTAATTTGCAAGGGAAGGTGTAACTGTTGGCAGGGAGAATAACAAAAGAGATTAGGAATTCAATGTGATTGAGGTGAAGTGATCAGGCATGTGGAGATACTTTGTATGTTTGACATTCACACTAAAGCCTTCATGACAAAAATTTATACAGATGATTCCCCTAAAAGCTAGTTTCTACAATTCAACCAAAGGAACACTACTCACATCCCAATAGTAGTGCTGTCAATGCTGTGAAGACAGTTCCACCTGCTGTTTGAACCAAGGATGCTGAGTCCATGTTGTTCAAGTAATCTACAGCGTACTTAAACAAGAATGGTACTTGGACATTTGTCAGCTGAAGGAAAAAGATTTGGTGGTAAATCACAAGTGTCCTAACAGTGACATTTGATAAGTTGAAATAATGTAAATCTGATAGTCATTACACTTGACAGTGGCCATCTGACAAGCAACATTGTTATTTAATATTAACTGCCTTATGTGTTGCTTGTATACAAACAAACAAACAATTACTTTCCCTGTTGCTGTACATCTGTTCAGTAATGGATTGCAGATGATGTTGAAATATGGTAAGAACCAAAAAAGGTGACAAATAAGTTACAGCTGAGGGATGTTCTTACCAGAGTTCGACTTTTTTGTGATTCATTACTGTACAAATCCATGGCAACATGGAATATGTTTGTTTTATATGATAAAAAAACAAAATGCTGTTAATGGTGATTTGGCTATGCACCTGTTCTCCAATAGATTGCAAGTAAGAATTATTAAAAATGCGTGTATAATTTAGCTTATCATATAACTAACTATGATGAACTATCACATAGTTAGTCACTGCATAAGTATCTACAGATAAATAAGTGATAAAGGGCCATATTGGGGGAGAGAAGGCTGGTTCTTGAAAAAGAGTTAGGATTGAAAAAGCTGGACATATATGAGGAGTTTCGTAAAGTGTTCCTTCTGGAGCTAACCTTACTTCAAGTGCTTTTGTAATTATAAGGTGTCTTTCTTTTCATTTTTCCCCCAAAACTAACAAAGCCCTCGAGGCAAGTGTTATGCCAACTATCACACTTAAGCTTTTTTTTCCTGGGTGTAATAGCTGATTTTACATGCCTTAATCCTTTATTCCCAACATCAGCATGCATATTCTCTACACTGTCCTTTTAAGCATTTCCTAAGGCACTGACGAGGAGAATTTGTTTAACAATCAATAGCTTCTTTAGTAAAATCAGTTTGAGAAATCAGATGCTACTAATCTTGGCAGTCAAAAGACTGAAGTTTGTGTATTAGATTACCTTTAAAACTAAGCCTTAAAGTATAATATTAGTAAAATCTCATGGTAAGAATTCACTCATGTTTGTAGGTGAACAAACCTTGGCTCCAATTAGCAGAACTACGGCAGCAACCACTCTTCTCTTCAGATCAGGTCTGTCTTTGGGCCAAACATGTTTTAACATTCTCTTAATTATTGACAAACCATCTGTGGATGACACACTTTTCAGGCTTTTTCCTGTGATATTGGCACCTCCATGTTGCTGTCGCTTACTCACAAAGAGGAGTCCTGGCTGTTGATGCAACATAGAAATCTTCATAAGAATGGATCCAATTTGAATGTTGTTTGTAAAATGAAGCCAGTTTAAATGAGTTAATCATGTGATGCTCAGTGTATTAAAAAGATTACAGAACATGCACTACTGATCACAAACATTGTTAGAGCCTTGGCAGAGCACTTGGGAGTAATGTTGTCACCCACTTTCCTCTCTGATGGGAATGTGGCCCTATAGTCATTGTACTAGCACTCATATTTTAAAGGGAGAATAATGTTATCCAACCAACAATTTATTATCCAGTGGATAAGCATCTACAAGAAGTACTGTGCTATCCACCAGAGTTGTAACCAGTGGATAGCATTATCCAAACTTTGAACAACTGGGACCTAAACTCTTGCAAATTTTGGATGAAAGGCATAGCAAAGTACCTTTATCCACTTAGGAGCACAAGTGGGTATCAGCAAACTCACAGGAAAACTAGACAAAATGCTGAGGGTAATTTACAGTAGGTTAAAATCCTATCCAAAGGTGAGAAGCAAAGCTCATAAATACTCCAAGCTGTATTTGAAACCTTGAAAAACCTGCAGCAGGAATGCCAAGCTTCCAAAAGTAAAAGGGGTAAGTTTCTAAAGAAACTTTGGCGCTGAGTAGGTAGGGGATATTACAAGACAATTCGGTTTTACTTACTGAGATAATATTGTAAATCTGCCACCATTACAACTTTCTAAACCTGACATTTTAAATATCAGCCCTTGAACACAGCTGACAAAGGGCTAATGCTTGAAACCTCAGCTTTAGAAACTCTTAATGGAGGCCAATTTACTTACAAAGATAGGTTTGCTGACACTGATACCTATAATACCTTAAGGCACACAGGGCTGCATTTAAATGTACTTTGCAAGTACAACAATATATTACAGTGACTTTACCTTAAAAGAAGCAAATCTACTGCTCAGCAAAGGTAATATTTTTGTTGCAGCTGGCTTTGGTCTTAAATGGTGTCCACAATAGCCCTTGAATTCAAATGCAAACTGTTAGTTTATTTATTTATTTATTTTTTAAATTCAAATTCATGGCTCAAAATTCCTGGGTATAATCTATAAAGGAGTCCAAGATCCTCTATTGAAACAGATCACCCAATTGTCTGAGGAAAAACTGTGTAGAATGTATTAAAAAAAGGAAAATGATAGGCAGATTGGCAGATTTCTACAGAAATTAGGAATTTGCCTGTGCTGATCATTTGTTTTATCACACTGGGGATAACAGTGTAACTCAAGGATCACTTCCGCTCAAGTTTTTTAAATGTCAGTCACTGTTACAGCATTCCTTTTCCTCTACCTCTGATGATCAGACAACCTGATCGAGTCATAACTTAACTCCATGATATCTATTGAAACATATATTTAGAGTGCCTAAAAAGTTTTATTTAACGGAACTAATGATGATGATGAGTTATTCAATAGCCTTGAATCCTAGCTCTATCACCTTTACATCAAAAGACGAAGAAGCTCACTAGTACAAGAAAAGGGTCACGGGTAGTCGAGGGTAAGGGAAAAACTTTTTGCTACAATTCATCGCTATGTTTAAGTCTTTTGTTGACTCTATATTTTAATCAACAACGCAGGGGATAGACAACTGTCTTCGTGGAGTTATAGTACATTTGGTTACAATGATCTAGCATGTTTCAAACCGGGCGCAAATCATTTCAAATATTGTTACTTTTCGTAACTATTAGCAAGGCATGCATAACTTCCTTTACCTGTAAGGCAGACCATCGGTACGAGTATCTAGATCCTGCATTCAAACCTGATTGCAGGCATAATTGAGGATAAGAAACTCTGTAGGCCGTTTGTATTTGTAGAAAACCACAACAAGTTCTGAAAACCGGCGCCATGTTGTTTCCGCCATTAAGATTAGATCACTTATGCTCAGCTTCATTCTTGTCCAGACTCCCATCCGGCTCACGGCTTACCGGAAGTCTTCTCACAAGACAGTTGGATCGGAACACATGATCAACTGTGCCTGAATCAAGCTAAGGGTTTTCCGCATAAGAGAGGAAAATCCCACGCAATTGTGTACTTAGCTGTCGTAGAAAGTAGAGAAGGGTAAGGAGAAGAAAAAGAAGATAAGAAGAAGGAGGAACAATCAGAAAATAACAAATTTTACCAATTCTTTCTCGATAACTATAAAGAAAGTCATGCCTCCGGTTTTGCTCTTAAAAACTTTGCCGAGTTAAATCGTTTAAACAGACAGTTCAGGACTCCTCAACTTGATTATGAAAAAGTGAAAATGGACAGCTTTGAAGTGGCAACTAACCGATACGCAACAGGGATGTTTCAAACTCTTACCATTCTTAATTTCCAAAATAAAAATAAAAATTTAAAAATTTAAAAGCAGAGACGAAACGGAAGAAATCTACTCAAGTGTTCGTTCAATTTCGTTTCCCGTTGAGTATCATGTCACTTCTTTGACGTAAACTCCGAATATTTTTGTTAAATATTCCGCCACGAGGACACTTGAGAAAATATTTTCATTAGTGTAACTGTTACCTTGGAAACGAAAAGGGACAAATTTGCTAGTATGCAATCATTATATTATAACGTTCTTATTTAGTTTAAAGGGAAAACTGAAAATTCATTCCTTCATGTCTCGAGATCTCAATTTTATTTTGTGGCACGCTTGTACGTATACTTGCTTACGACACTTTTGTCAGAAGATTTGTCACGCAACGAGTGTTGAAAGATCACCGGAAGTCGAACGAAGGTATATATGGTTTACACGCATGCTCACACGCTGTCACTTTTGACTGGTGGTCCATGGAAAGTTTTACAAAATAGTAATGGAGTGGTGCTAACCCTGATTTACCTAGTATTTTGCCCACGATGTGGGTCTTAAAATGTTTTCTCAGTTTTATACATCTACTGTTGTACATAAGATGGATCATAGCTATTTTATTTGACGGAATTAGGAGTTATTTCTCGGTCAGTTCGAGAACGTGTACACATGGAAATATTAAGAACGATTCACTAAACCTTAAGAAACTTCCAAGACACATCAGTTTCATGGTTCTAGAGTCCGATATCAGTTTTGTAGACCTGGCTCAACTTATCGTCTGGTCAATGGCCATGGGAATTCCTTACATCAGCGTTTACGATAAAGAGGGTAGGTCGTACAATTTCAATTTGCCTGTACTCAGTATGATGTAATTTACTTTACCCTCAAATGTAACAAACCTCAATGCATTTTTCGAATCAGTTGTAAAAAGAATACTGCTCGTTTTCAGGCATACTAAAGAAGAATGTTGCAGTCTTCTCAAGTGAAATTATTCGGAAGCAAAAAGAAGTTTTTACAGATGAATCCAGCAAATACACATTTGTTCTGAGAACAAAAGACGTTAAATTCGATTGTGAGATCCTTGGTAAGTCAGAGCAATGTATATTTGTTTGGTTGTAAGGCTTTGTGATGCTTATCTTTTTTTATTTGGGTTCTAATAACATGGATGTTTGATGATTAAAATTATTTTTTTCTCTTATTGCGTATCAATAATCGTAGTCTTCCCTGGGGTCTTAGTCCAGATTGACATGTTTCTCATATTACTCTGAACTTTATACGTTATTTCCTCCCCGGCACAATAGCCAATCAATGAAGTGTTTCCGGTTTATTCCCACAAGAAAGATCAGAGTGTGATTTAATTCTCATGCTGTGATTCTGATCTCATACATCAGACATGACTATTGTGAGGAGGAGAAGAACAGTTATGTCCTTTGAACTTCAGCACTATCAGTATCTCCTGGTCCAAATCCCATACAAGTTTATCATACTATTTTTAGTTTTCTTGTTTTTTTCTTATTATGTGATCCTTAGATAGGTTTGTCATATGTTAAGCATGTGACAGGATATCAGGTATAAAAGCTGACAAGCAAAGGTCATGAAAATTCTGTCAACCCTTGCTATTCTGGATACATCTTATGGATAATCTACTTACTCTGCTGTGGTATTTTCTCTCAATTTTGAGGATCAAGTGATTAATTTTTTCCTATAGCACAGTCTTTGTTAAATAAAAAACTGCAGAAGTTGACTTTGTATTTTTAGTATACTGTTTTTACACACTGTCCCAAGTTTCTCATTCTTGAAATTATCATTTGCACTAGAATTGGTCATGGAAATATTAATCCAAACATTTTTTTTCTCTGGTTATGCAAGACAAGGTTATCATGAATGTCTGTCTGTTGATTTAAAGTTGTCTTCAAACTTTCCATAATCTTAGTCATCACATTCTATGAGATTGTATCAGTGCCTCCTTAATGGTCATCATGTTTATCTTTCCCCAATTTTTTTGCCCAGTATTGTTGACTCTACTCCAGCTATAGTATTGAATTAGTGAATTTGTGACTATTGTGTTGCTGTTCTTTCTGTAGCACCAACACAAGTGTGTATCAGCTTGCTGTCTGAGCAGGATGGAAAGGGAGACATTGTTGATGCTGCAAGGGAGTTTTGTAAGGGAGTCCAACTGAAGCATAGAACACCTAAACAAATGGAGCCAGATGTTTTCAATGGTATTCTAAAAGGTAAGTGGAAGGAAAGGAAACTTAATCACCGTTTGATCATTTGCACAGTAGGTGGGAGTTTTAACCCTTTAACTCCCAGAAGTGATCAACATGCAACTTCTACTTGTAGTATTTGTATGTCATCCAGCAAACAGTTAAGGAGAATACTCAAACTCATCACCTAAAAGTTTATCTTGACATAACATCAAATTATTACATCAAATTTACAAGGAAATGTGTAGCAGTTAGAAGGGAGAATTAGCAGTCAAATCTTAAGAGTTAAAGGGTAAAAAAAATCAGGATTTCACTTTTCGTGACAACTCTGTGTCTGCAATTAAAAAGACTCAGTTGTAAGTCAGGGTTAGGGTTATGGTTAAGTGTTAACAAATGAGGATTTCTTCCTTGTTTGAAATTACAGAGCCGCCTCTTTTTTTTTGATTCACCAGAATCACTGACAATTGAATGGCATTAAAAAAATATATTTTTTTAATGATGCAATAAGTGTCAAGAATTACAAAGAAATCCTGCATTTGGATGCTTCAAGGAATTTTAAAATCTCTGGTTAAAATCTCTATTTTGTTGGTGTCGCAGAGTGGATTTCAATGCATGGCACTGTTTTTTAAATGCTGCAGTGTTTATTAAATTTTTCTTGATTCGAGTGTGGTATTTAATGGAGAGCGGCATTTATATGAGGGCAGTGTTTATTTAAAATCCAATTTATATCTTGTCAACAATAACATGGAAACTGACTATCTGAATAAAAAAAAAAGAAACATGTTTTGGTGCTTGTCTCAAAAGTAATTTGTTACATCATTCTCAATTTCACAGTTTGCATGTTAATGCTACTGCAGTACATAAGGTGAATAAAGATTTAACATCGGATATGCTTTCTTGACATCAGAACTGGTACATACAAAAGGATTTTTGTCTGGCTCACCCAAAATTTCCAACTGCAATGGAAGCATTGATTGCTGTGTGCTTTTTTAGTCTATTGTTTGAATAAATGCTGCATCATGATGTGGTGTTTATTCAAGGGCAGCAGTCATTAACATTTTTGTTCTAAAATGCAACATTTATTTAATGGTGGCATTTAATCAAGTTAATACAGTTGGTGAACTTGAAGTTTTCATACATGTAGTTAGTATTAAGTACTTGTAAAGAGCTAGTTATGCCCAAAATAATAACCTTCAATGGAAACAGAGCTTCTAATGCAGAATGTTTTTATTGTAGCAACATGTGGAATACCAGACCCAGAACTTGCCTTAAAGTTTGGTGATGTACAAATGATAATGGGTTTCCTTCCATGGCAAACTCGCCTCACAGAATTTCAGTAAGTAACCATGTTTGTTACATTTTACAGGCACCCTTTGAGGCATAGATGCAACTGCATAATCAATGGAAGGTGCTGCAGTAATTAGCTCCTTGCTTGTTAAAGGCACTCTCACAGATGGGAGGCACCTCAAATGCTTGCCACATCTTTGGGGTTCAAAATTTAAATTGTTGTATTTGGTATGGCAGATGAGAACACATCCTTCAAAACTGGTTAACTGATTTACAATTAAGGCAACCCCCTCCTTCCCTGCCCCCACCCCCCACCCCCCACTCCCCACTTCCTGCTATTCCAAGCTCTTTAAGTACAGTGGAATCTCTTGGGTTTAATCTCCCTTTCAGACAGAGTTTACTCAATAAATGGTTTTCTTTCTTTGTTTATAGGCCTTTAAGAAGTCACATCAACATCAACTATTCCACTTTCCTTTCATCTCTTATAAAATATGGAAAATGTCAACAAAGATTTGGCAAATGACAAGAAATATCTCTAGTGCTAAAAATGTTTGTATTACAAGAGAATGATTAAACCAATTTTGGCATTATTTTTATCAAAATTTTGTATAAATATTTATAAATACTCTTAACATGTTTGGTTTTATCCTCCTCCTCAAGTAAATTCTGGGTACCTTATCAAAGGCATATATTCTCTGTTATAAATTATCTGATCAGTGAGTTAATTAAAATACAATGTTTCCTTCTACTCTTGCTGTCAAGTCATTTATAAATACCTTGCACTAACCAAGATTGAGGTCCATACTATAAATTACAGAACAAATTTGTTTTTATAAATCTGAGTGGAAAAATGTGATAATCCAGCACAGACTGAGAGAACATAATTAGTAAGATACTTCTTATATCTCTGGGTTCACATAGAGGGGAAGATTTCAATACCAAGAAACTTTAATTTGAGTTTTAGTAGGTGGTACAGTGAACCAAGGCCTGCTAAATCATCCAATCATAGTGCACATACAAACAGAGCTGTAATAAAATTTCAGTTTTCTTTTCCTGAGTCATTCCTTGACTCGGTAAGACTTCACTACAGCCATTATTTGGCCTCTTCTAACATCAAATTCTCTTCCCAGAGGTAATAACATGATGAGATCAAAAAGTAACTGCAGAGACCATAATTAGCATTAGCAGAGTGTTCCATGACTGTATGGCTATCTCCCAATCCTCCACAGTAATTATTTTTCAGTGAAGCCTAGAAAGTAGGCAGTGATTAGTTTCTTGTGAGAGATAGGTCAGATGTACAGTAATTATCTTTTGGCCTGTGCAGATGTCAGTCATTTGAATTTCAAGGTTTAATGGCTTTTAGAGTCACCATATAATTGATTATTTTTTTGAGAAAAGAAACTTCTACTTAGACTGAGAGGCTTGCAAAAAGACAGAATGGTCAACTAATCAAATAATAATACTTTATTTACAATTCTAAATAGTTAACTTCACAATTAACAATCAGGTTTCAGACTCATTTGATGGGTTTTCTTCCGATGTTGTCTCGGGGAAGATTTGTTCAGGTTTCATGGCACTCAAGGCAAAGTTAACACTCGTATCCTCAATCCAGCACCATTTGTTAAACACTGGCATGAAGAACATTCCTTTTACATCCATAACTTCTGCACCATCTGTGCAAATCAAAATGATATGAAGAAATAAAATGAATGTGAGAAAAAGTATCTACATGATGCAAACCTGAGGAACAATGGGGCTACAATCCTTGTCACAATTGATGAAACATCGCTACCTTTCCCCCTTGTCAATGAAAGTAATGAGAAAATCAAATGGCATGGAAAAATGCAACATTACAAGAGAAGGGGTGTTTTGTGTTTCAACAGAACTTGACTAAGGTTGTGGCTTGCACAGAAAGGTGCTCAGATAACAATGTAGGTGCATTAGCTAAAATTAGGGCTTTTGTGAGGCAAAGTTTTTTATGTCAGGAAGCAAGACAGATTTTTGGCTCCTCTTAAGCTTGTTAAACCAGCCCTGCAGGTACAGGCACCCTGCTTGTAACTTGTGAAAGGTTTTGGTGTTTTTTGATTTCTTATTTTACAGTGGAACAAGATCAAATGACACAAAATGCTACTTTGTTCTGACATTTTAAGGATCATTCTGCTATTTTCTGTTTATCTTGTGTTTAGAAACACTGTATGGTGAATTTGTGCAATAAAAATTTATCACATACTTTGAGATATCAGATCTGCCAGGTCGTCAACAGTCACAAACTTGTTCCAGTCATGAGTTCCAGGTTTTACTAATCTCAAAAGATATTCTGCTCCTACAATTGCTGCAGCATATGAGAAAACTGTCTGGTTGATTGTTGTTATCACTAGAGAACCTCCTGGCTGAATAAATAAAATAAATTGTTTAAATGCTAACATTAAATTTTTTTAGAGTTAAATTCTGTGGCTATCCCATGCTACCAATTTTCTGTTTTGATCCATTTATGAACTCAATATCTTGCAGTTCATGATGTTTCCAATAATTAAAGGCCCTATGTTAGCACCTTGGGTCACCAGAAAATTTTTGTAGGACCAGAGACATGCACTTCACCAAATATAGCTCTGCTACATTAAACATTTCTTTCTTTCCATTATTTTCTGAATAACATTAATTCTGGTACCCCATATGTACAGATTCAGCTCCCAATTAGGGCTGACTGGTTTAACCACAAGTAATCTGAGTACAAAATACACTCTAGATAGTATATCTGCATGAAATTAATGACACATAACACCAGGATGATTATGGGATACCAGAGAGATGGAACAAGGTTAAAGGTTGGAACCTGCCCTCATGTCTAATTAACAAACTCACCTTTAGCAACTGTGTGCTTGCAGAAATAAAAGTGTCTTTATCTGTTACATGTTCAATAACTTCTGAAGCAACAACACAGTCAAAAGATTCTGGTTCCTTATCAGCTAGCTCTTCTACTGTGATGCATTTGTACTGCACATTGCTGGCCACCTTAAAATCGTGTTGTGCATGTCTCAAGGCAGCATGTATATTGAATGCTGATGCATCAACTCCTGTCACTTCTGCACCTAGTCTTGCCAAAGGCTAAAAAAAAATAAACCACTTTGAGTTGATTGGAGACTAACCACATCTAAATAACTAGTTTATGGTTCAAGCAACTAAACTTGATTAACAGAAGTGAAATAAGCTTTTCAAATGAAATTGGAAGAGAAACTTTTTTTGTCCATTAATTAATGAAGAGCCCTTACAATGCTTAAGGTCTCAGTGAAAAAATAGGAAGAAATAATTGCAGCATTCCAGGAATTACTTTTACTATGAGGTCTTAATGTTTCAGTTTTCTGAGGTTAAGGGGTCTTGGGTGTTAGTCATAGCTTAGAAGGTCTGATGGGAAGAGGTGGTTTTTAGTGTACATATTTGGAGACATTTGGTGTGTGCATAAAATTTATTTCAACCTAGTTAAATTTATGCATGATTTTTTTTTGCATAGCCTTGATTAATGAACTGGGTACACATAACTGAGTCAAAGATTTCATAGCAGTACAAGGCTATGAGATCTTTTGACTCAGTACAAGGCTAAAATAGAGAATATTCTCAGGAGAGGTATAATAAAAATCAGTTATACTGTTAGTTCATAAACTGGTCATAAAACTCTTACCTCAGACAATATTCCACCTCCACAGCCGACATCCAGTATTCGAAAACCTTTCAGAGGTTTTGAAGGGATGACATTTTCCCCAAGCAGATGCTCAAGAGAGCTTTTAATAAAAGGAACTCGGAGTTTATTCATAGAATGAAGAGCGGCAAAGTCACCATTTGGATTCCACCAATCACTTATTGTCCGGCTTAGCTTCTCAACCTCTTCTTCATCAACAGTACTCTTGTGAGAAATGATCAAAGACATAATGGATTGATCATTCTTAGACGAAAGTGCTGATTCACGAGCGTTGCATATATTTTTTTCGGTAACATTGATCTGTAGATGCGTAAGATAGTTTTCCTTACCTTTGCTGAGGTACAGAAATGCCTGCTACGTATAAAGCTCTTGGCAATATGCCCTACTCGGGGTGAACTTAGCTCACATTTAATTCTGAAAACTGCAGAGCAAGTTCGGGCCGCCATGTTTGTTTTCGTTTAATTTCCTGAGCCCACAGTTGTGATACACCTAAAATATACGTTATGTAATTTGGCAGATAATATGACGTATAGTATTTACATGCGTTAAGTCGAGATGACTGAATATTAACCGAGTTCCTTTTTTGGCGTTTTTATGGACGGAGACGGTCTGAAGAAGGGCTAACGCTCGAAACGTCAGCTTAGAAACTCTCTACAGGGGCCAATTTACATTATCAGCTCAGTTGATAAAACCAAATTATACAATTACAACATTTTCCAATATTCCACAAGTTTTGCAAACTTGACATCACCCGCCAAAAATGGCGAAAGTTTGCTTAGCGTGCGTTCAGTACGTGATTTATGAGTTGATTTGGTCACCGATCTGCAAAATTTTTGCCTATCAATTGTGTAAGGAACTTAAACCTAAATTTATTCTTTTTTTTTTTCACAAGACAATGTAGTTTGGAACGAAAGAGTGTCTATCATATGAGTAATTAGAGAATCTCAGTCTCTTTCGTCGTGACCGCCGAATAAGCAGAGCTCTATGAGCGGAATTTTTGCAAGGTTAAAGCCTCTCTCTTAAGTAGCTATACTCACAAATTCTACGGAGGAAATGAGCTGCTCATACTCTTCCGACCGAATTTGAAATTTTCTGATTTCAGGCACCTTCCCACTAATTTTGGTGAGTACACTATTCAGCTGTGATTTTAATAAGTAGAGAGCCTATGATTGGATCAGTTGAAGAAACTAGCGTTCTGACGAGCCTTTTCAACCCGTTTTCCTAGTTGATTTTTTTCTATAAAGGGTTATATGAATGATATCAATTAAAACATCAGTAAATGTTGGAACCCTCTTGGAGATCCGATGACTTAGCCTGTTCTAAGTTAAAGAAATCGACGCTAAGATGGATGTTGATCAGCGAACGTGAAAGATAAATGAAGCGATTTTTAAAAGTCTGTTATTCCACCAGGTACGCTTAGCCACGAACAAGAATACAAAAATGTAAAAGAAAAATTGTGATCAAAAATTGTGATCAAAAATTAGTTTAGCACAAATTTAGAGGTGATAGCGAAGGGAACGAGTAGAGCTTGAAAGGGAAACACACTGAGAATGATAAAAAACATTCGAATAGAAGATATAAGATATAGAATAAGAGAGATAGTAAATTTTGAGCCAGGTAATGAGGAGAGAAAGCTGTTTTACGTCTAACGCAAGCGTTGGACAAAGAAGCCCCCACGAGGAATCGAACCCCAGACCTTCGGATTCCGCGCGCCGATTCTCTACCACTGAGTCACTGAGACTGAATAGTGGTGAACTATCCAGGTCATTACGAGGTTCACATGTGACCTCTTTCCTGAAACTCCTTGGATCAGCAACTAAAGAGTCTTGGGTGTAAATAATTTTACTTACACACATGGATACGGTAGTTTCGAATAAGACTATAAATCAGAAATTGTTCAAGTTCCAAATCTGCTGGAGAAACGTAACTATGAATAGCTCCAAGAACTGGACCAATTGTTTCGCTATGATATATGATTTTGAAAAAATACCATAAACTTTGCCATAGAAATTCCCTAACAAAGTTTTAAGTTAAAAGGTATAATTACGTAACAGAATAAATTTCATATTCAAGGCATTACTGTCGTCAGAAAGAATCGTTCTACGTTGCGCAATCAGTTTATAGTTAACTATAACTATAACTATAACTCATTTCTTATGCAATTTTTAAAAGTTGCCGGTTTTCCGCCAGATCAACTGCAAAGTAGTGTAATTCTTTTTTATAGCATCTCATGCAGCATCGGGCACAACCCTCTCAATTCATTTTCTTTTCACGCTCAAAAGAGACAGGGTAAGTGAAAAGGCACGTATCGTCCCAATCATGCAGCACTCTTTCTCTGTGTGGGGTTTTAGTCCACCTTGTAGTTATAGTCATACTGGTTCACAAAATGTATGTTCGGGTTCCACTGTTTTTTTGTCTTGGTGTAATAGGCAAAATTGATGGTGATGGGATTTTTTCTGAAGTCATCAATACGGAAGATTACTTCACAGACGACGAAAGCATTGCCCAATGAGTACATTGGTTCTGTGACAAACGAGAAAGAAAAAGAATAGCATTAAATGAATGAACAGTCAAAAAGACAGTGACGCCTCCTTTATGTACCCAAATAAGAAAATCATTTTCAGAGTATGACTCTGAGTGAAATACCACATTGGAACTCTAATGTTTGTTGCACGGTGAATGGTTATCTCGGTAATGAGGGTGCTCTTTGAGATCAATCATTGACTAATTGTACTGGACGTACTTAATATTCTTAATGTTTCTAATCTAAGTTTTGATAAAAAGAAAAACCTACTTGAAATCAACACAGCTCGAAAGCTCTTTTGCAACATTAGTCACAAATAGTGAGGCAGTATCCTAACTCTTTTTGCCCCGCCGCGAGATCTGGTTCAAATTCTAAAGTTTCAACAGCTCTCAATGACTCACTTTTCACATAACTGCATTTGGATGATATATTAGTCTTACTGGCTGGTAATAATACTTACAGTTTTTGGAAAGTAACCTTTTTTCAAAGAAAACACTTCAAACATGCATAAAATGTTTATTGAATTACACGCACGCCAAGTCACGCCATATTATTCGACACTCATTTGCCAGTTAGCGAGTTAATTGGAAGTTACCGTTCACTTGGCTTCCTAATCATACTTATCTTACAAATACGATCATAATTTTGCTCCTCGTTTATCTCCAAATAAGCAACACTGAATTTGCAAATTTACAAAGAACTACCATTAAATTGTTTCAGTTCTATATGTTATGGAGAAACTAAACTCAAAAGACCAAGACTCATTGCTTAACTTCCATTCAATGATTTCAAAATTCAAACTACACATAACTTTCAAAGTAGGAAATACAACTATCAAAAATTGAGTCAAATTTGCTACAGTAATGCTCTTTCATAGTTTCAGATTAAATGATAATGCTAGTACAAGTTCATTTTTTTTTAAAGTGGCAGGTTTCACGGCACTGGGCAGCCAATATTTACCAGAAAACACCGCGCAATTGATTCACAATTGACAATGTGTCAATCTAGCTCACTTTACAGTTTCAATATATGAATCTACAACAAAGTAATTTTATTCTTCAAAAAATGTCTCCTAAAAGCAACCTGAGAGTGCCTCCAAGCTCCATGTTCCTTTTTCGGTTTATTGAAAAGTGAGGGAGTAAGTAACGAGTCGCCCGGAGTCCCAAGCGTACAGCACTTTCTCTCTGGGGTTATAGTCCACCATGGAGTTGTAGCCGTACTGGTTTATAAACTGTATGTTCGGGTTCCACTGTTTTCCTGTCTTGGTGTCATAAGCAAAGTTGATAGTAGTGGAATTGGTTCTATAGTCGTCAATACAGTAGATTACTCCACAGGCTACAAAAGCATTGCCCATGTAGATCATTGGTTCTGTGAAAAACGAGAAAGACTAGCATTAGATAAATGAATAGTCAGAAAGTCAGTGATGCCTCCTTCATGTACCCAAATAAGAAAATCATTTTCAGAGTATGATTCTGAGTGAAGTACCACACTGGTATTTCACTCAGAAACATATTGGTAGAACTTCTCCGCTAAATCTCTGTTCTTGCGGATGTCGAGTTTCTTGGGGTCTTGATTTTCCACCTGGGTATACACGATAGTTATTTATCTATTAATCTAGCATGCTTACGCCAATCAAGCTTTGGGTGAGGGCTTCAGTAACAACACTAATGTTTGTTGCACGGCGAATGGTTGTCTTGGGAATAAGGGTGATTTACAAGAAGGCCTCTTTAGGATCAATAATTGACTAAATCTTCATTGGATGAGATGATAAGTCCGCTGATCATCGGATCTTATTTCTTTCTGTCTTCAGAAGGTGATTATTTTATAACTGTAGTACAGGTTATAAGGAACATTACGTCAAATAATTTTGGTTGCGACCTTTTAAAGGCTTCTAATGATTTTGCAATATCTGTTTCACCTGTGTTCAAGGTCCACGTTCGTGTTATGCGGTTGCTATCTACGTCGATTTTTGCTGCGTTCAGACGTCCGTTGTTACTAGAACTTCCCCACAATACCCACAATCCATGCTCATCAACTGCTAGGTCCACTCTACTGCCTCCACCCCACTGGTAGGGCATAGATGAGAAATCACTCAATGTTATTTTGCCCTCAAGACGCTCTGTCTGCAGATTATACCTGTCAATGTGGGACGTTCCTTCTCTGTATCGACGAGAGGAAGAGATTTCAAACGGAGAGAGAAAGAAAAACTCGATCAGTTCTTATTTCTCAGCATTTTAAGTAAGTAGTTGAATAATTATACCTCTCTTGCTTAATAAGTGCCTATTAACCCTTTACACCCTAACATCAGTATGCATATTCTCTATACTGTTCTTTATACATTTCCAGAGGTGCCGACAAAGAGAATTTATTTAATAATCAACAGCAATTTTTTTAGATGGTGATCATTTCCTTTATTCTCATGACCGTGATGTTTGATTCAGGGGTGATATTGTTAGGGGAAAATAAATGCTGGTCACTCGTAGGGGTCAAAGGAACATGGCACAAAAAATCTGAGACTCTCTGAATAATTTATGAAAATAAAATACATTTTTATCACCTTTTTCCTTTAAGTTTCAATCAAGTTCTAAACCTTCTTTTAGTTACTCAGTACGATCTAACTGTAAATTTGCAACTAAAAACTGTTCCTCTGGAATTATGAAATTCAAAGAGTTATGAATTTTCGGGTAAAATATCAAAAAATACTTTGTGAAAATGTGTTGCTATAATCCGTCTATTTGTAATCTTTGCAAATAGAAATAGCTAGAATATTTGCTTCTCGCGCATGTGAGTTTGTTGACGAAAACCAAAATGTTACCTGACCTGTTGTAGTAGAGGTATGACCCGTATACCACTGCTCCCGTCCCGTGCCAGTTATAAGGCAGTTGGTACGTCTTACGAGTCACGCCTGCCTTTAACTTGGCCATGTCTTCATATTCTTCAACCACATTTCTACGATATGACTCCATTACGAATATACTGTTCTTACCCATAACTCCTAATGGGTCTCTCATCCAAGCTCCTTGTGCGGTCGATCGTCTGTAATGAAGGACAGGCGTGCCGACAGTCTTTATGACTCCAGCACACCTTTCTATAAAGGCAAGGGAAAATTATTTTAAAATAATGTAGAGACTTATGCACCAATGTTTGACCCATCAGTGATCAGTTTGAGGACAGCGAAAGCTTTTGCTAAACATTTCACTTGTTTGCAAACAAAACCACAGAACACTGACGATATAGCTTTAGCTTGGTACATCAGTTATTAACGTGCCCTTCCTAAGTCTATGGTTAGTTGTATATGATCATTACTTTTCGATGATACTGATTTAATAGTTCATTCTGTAGTGGGTCAAAAGGTGCGGCCATCTTTTTACCATCTTTTATTTCCAGAATAGTAGAGGTCTCAATGGAAAATTTTCCTGCTATTGTAGCAATACAAGTATAGTTTCCAGCATCTTGAAGCCGTAGATCTGTGATCACCAGTCCTTCCTTTGAAATAAAACTTCTCCCCGCGGGAAGTTGAGCGCCTTGTCTTTTCCAGCTAATCACTGGGTGCCCGTCGCGAGTTACGCTGCAGTTCAGCTTCAAACTAAACCCGGAAATTGCTTTTATTTTCTCGGGTGGTTTAAATATAAATTTTGGAGGAGAGAACACGAGCAGCAGAGTTTTTTTCACAGCTCTACCGAGAAGGTTTGATGCCACACATACATAGTTGTCAGAATCAGTGCGACGAACGTCAAATATTGTCAGCGTGCTGTTGTTGTTTTCAAACTGAACTCTTCCTTGTGGTAACTGACCAAACGGTCTGAGCCATTTGATATCTGGCCGTGGATGACCTGTCTCCCGACAGATTGGAAGGGTTATATTACTTCCTTCAATGGCATACATTGGTCCAGGATTGAGGGAAACACGTGGACGAACTAAGAAGAAAAAAGCACACTGTAAATTGATCATGTGCGAACATAAGTTATTTCCTACCCACAGACGGTTCATTAATAATTTGAGTGACCCAGATTAATAACGCATATGGATGTATCAGACATTCATGACACTTTCCGAGTGCTAAACCTGTAGCATTAGATCCGACAAGTGCAGCTCGGCGAAGCTTTTTTTCTGTGCACAGTGGGTGGTTTAAACCCTTACTTATCATTTGTTGTATATTTTAGTACATCCTTAATCAAGCTTACAACGAAGGAGGAACAATTTTTTTTCATGAAGCCTTGAAGATGTATAACAGACCATTCACGAAAAACATACCATTCACGACCAGTCGTACTGTTTTCTGAGCCTGTCCTAAGATGTTTGCCGCTGAACATCGATACATGCCGGCATCACCTCCTCTAATATTCCTTAATTGTAGTCGTCCTTCCGAAACCGTCGACTGCTCAAGTTCCGAACCCTTTAACAGCCTGTTCCACTTCATTTTTGGCTTGGGATTACCACTGACTGAGCACTGGAAAGCCGTTGATTCAGTCTCGTTCACAGTCCGAATTTGAGGAGAAACTTCAACAGTAGGTCCTGAAATCGATTCACCAGGCTCCCCTTTCATTCCCGGCATTCCAGTGGCTCCTATGTCCCCTTTTTCTCCTCTGGGTCCAGTGTTCCCCTTTAATCCAGCGATGCCCGTCATACCTCGCTTTCCACTCTTTCCAGGTTCTCCCGCACGACCTTTGTCTCCATTTTTCCCAGGTCTCCCTCTCTTACCTTTCGGTCCAGGTGGACCAGGGGGGCCTGATGGCCCACAAGGACTGGTATAACCGTTTGGTTGACATAATTGTAGTCGGCCGCTCGACAAAAGTTTGTTCATCTTCAGTAACGCTTGCGACGAAGTTTTATCTTCTGTGGCGTTTCTGGTCGTGTCAGCGTTACGCTTGTTTCTGTAGGATTTAATTTGGGCCTCTATGAACGAAAAGGTGAAATTTTATGATTTGACCATAATAGTACGGAAGGGGGGAATTGACAAAATTTAGCAAATTTTAGCAAATCCCAAGCCAAAATTTTTAGTGGCCCATAGAGGACACGCTGTCCACTTTTTTAAATTCAAGTTTATCGCATGATAAATGAGATTTATCGCGCGATGAATGAAAAATTATCGCGCGATAAGTGGGATGGAAACTTGCTACGTCGCACGTGATCGGCTGTCACGCACGTTGTTTCCGTGGACGAGACGACAATGTCTGAAACAGTTGAGGAGGTATGTTTTGAGGTAAGTAGTTCGTTTTATTTTCGTGAAAAGATCATTGAATAGTACTTTGCAATACTTCTATGACAATAACTCTGTGAATCAGTACAGTAAACCTTGATTTTGCGAAATCTTACGAGACACTTTCAGAGATGGCTGTCAGTGTCTAAGAACAAGTGTGGATTATCTAATCTTTCTGATTACATTGCAGGTTTGTAAATGTGCTAGGCACTAGCACAAAAGCTGTGCAGAGAAAATCGGCTTGCTCCGCTCGCTGACTTTGTATCTCAAAATTGCTGGCTATGCTCGCGCTAGTACGCCATGAGAGAATTTCGTTACGTTTGACCCTAAAACAGCGCCACAGCACTTAGCTTGGTACAGGTGCTACGTAAAATGTAATACGTCGCTTTTGGGAAAGCGATCTTTTCAGGTTTGAGAATTCAGGAATGAGAAGTCTTTGTTACTCCTCCAGCCCCTCTGGACCACTTGCCTTCTTTTCTCTGATAATTACTCCCTCAGTAAAATTCGTAACTTCCTGATTGGTCTGCGTTTGAGATGACATGATGCCAGAGTCGCTGCTTCCTGTTAAGCAGCATTGATTTCAACCCCGAGTTTTGGTTTAAGTGTGTCAGTGTGACATTTTATTGTCTCTTCCTGTTTATAGCTTTCTTTCTGGTGTAGTGTGACGTCCCCCGTACGTAAAAGTTACTGAGAGGTTTCTTAATGGAAAACTAAGTACTCGGACGGTTCTGCTTGGAAAACGGAAACCGAGCCTTTCAAAAATTCGTCGTTAAGGTTTTGATGCGCCCGAAACTAAGTGTTGTCGCGCGGTTATTCGGAATTGTTTTTGTAGTTGGAACAGAATTGGCGAATAAGGAAAGCTTCTTTAGCGTTAGCGACGAAGAAAATCTTATCGTGTGATTATGGCACACACGTAGTCTGTTACTTCACTTGAATTGTTTGACGACATAAGCAGCTAAGTCAGGTTACTTCACGATATTCGAGTCATTTTATCGTTATGGAGATCTGCCTCGAAATAGACAAAAATCTTGAAAAAGTTTGTCTCATAGGGTTGACAGACACCGAAACGGTAATAAGAAGCCAAACAGGGATAAGAATGGCAAAGAATGGCAAAGATTATGACAAATTGCGAGTGACAAACTTGGAAAATTTAAGTTTTGCTTTTCTAAATGAACACATTCTAGAGTTCCTTTGAAATACTTACCAGCTGGGGTACCTTGGGTTAACCCTTCGTGGACTTTCATAGCGTCTACAAAGTCTTCAAGAGCAGTTATTTTCTTCCTGTGATTGCTTAGTTCCATTTCAATTCTCAAAAATCCAACACAGTAAAACAATACAGATGCAATAGAAATTATTGAAAGGTTGGTACAACTCCTCTGAGTTTGAGCTTTCATGATGCTAGCTTGTCAGAATGTGGAAATGGGCGAAACGGTCAGCCTCCGACTTAAATTTCTTCATTGGGTCATTTGATAGCTTCCGTTTCAGCTTTGAAGCAATCAAAAGCGGAAGTGAAGAAACTTCTCTCTCATGAGAGTGAAAGGTCAGCATAACACCACGGTACTGAAGGAGGAAATGCGAGCGTAGAGTTTACGTGTTGCCCTGCATGTAAAGATTTGTAAGCTAGGGGCCGATAGAGAAATTCCTCTATGTTCCCTACAAGATTAAAGGTGTTTACTTGCTCTGCTTGAATGTTTCTTTTGGCTTTATTTGGGACAGCCTACCTTTGGCCCGCTTATGGTGAAGTCTTCTTCCTCTTCCTAGTAAAGGAAGTAGCGACAACAGAAGTAGACCACGCGCTGACAATCAACACTTTAAAGCTACGCGTAGGAATGAATATCACGAGTAGAAAAAGTTTTAAAATGCATTAAAATAGAGGAAGGAAGATATTCATGGATTGACTCGTTGAGAGATCAACAAACATAAATCACAAATCATTGAAAATTTCAAGCAAAATTCAGGACTAATTTATTTCCCTGTAAGGATTATACATGTATGACTTATTTTTATGTATTAGCAAATATCATAAAAACATGGAAGTTTCACATGCTTGTCAGTTCATTTTCAAATATTTAATTCATATCCATATGATGGCAAAACTGATTTCCTGCTTGGGTATCACTTAAGAAAGATGCTCTAAACACTCAGGGATGAAAATCTAGCATTATACAGCAAAATATGTCACAGCTGCAACGGTAAAAATTTCGGCCTTAATTCTATTTAATCTTTTCACCCCAAAAAGTACCAGTAACCAAAAAGAAATTTCTTCCTGCAATATAAATAAATTTTCAAGCTGAAAGGTCACAAAAAGATAGAAAAATATCAACCAAGGAACTATGTCTGATTTTACACCAAATTCTCAGAACTTCAATTCAAGAAATTCAAGAAGTGTATGACAGACAGGAAAATGATTTTTGGATATTAAAAGTGTAAGTATTTAGAATCCAGACTCTCAGAACAATTGCTTGTTTGGCTATCACCCTTCCCATCAATAACCCATTTCAAGCTTACTTATTAGTCCTTTCTTTAAATTTGACTCATTTTTACAATGAAACACTTAGTTGGAGTGTAAGAATTTACACCAATCAACAGTTCTCCCAAGAATGAATGCAAATTTCAATTAAGAAATGAACACCTGAAGAAACTCCTCTGATATTTGTATGTGAGTGTGTACAAACACAAATGGTGTAACTATGTGTTGTAAGGAGGTCTGTAACTGTTCCAACATTCTATAGTGTTAAGTGGTTTTTTCTTTGGTTCATAGCAGCTTCTAACTTTCACTAATCTTGGCCGTATGAGGTCTAAGTCTGTTTCCAGCTCACGTTTCAGTTGTTTGACTCCATCTGCTCCCAAGATAAAGTTGATTAAGAAGTATCTGGAAAAACAGAAAGAGGGAGGAATTAAAATAAGCTAAACAGCTATGCTCTGAATACATGTTGGCCCTTTTATGTATAGGGAGTGTTCAAAAGTCAGATTAGTAATGAGAATACAAATGTTATATCTTTAAATATGGAGGTGTTTCGAGGACTAGTTCCCTCTCACAAGTGAATGGCTCAAAAGAAAAAGGTATACAAAGTCAATGTGAAGAAAGTAACAGTTGTTGATTTTCTTTGTGAATGGGGCATTTGAATACAGTTTTTGCCCCAGTTGCTGTAATTTGAACAAAAGGGCCTTCAAAATTTCAAATACCTAGAAACGGTTGGGATTTTGAAGCTTTGAATTGATTAGTGCATTACACAGACCATCTTTAGCTAAGGATAAATCTTTTTCAGTTCCTATAGGAGTTTCAGTTACATAGCTCTTATCAAAACTAAAGGGAAGATTAATGTCGGAGAATGTTAACCAAGGTTGTAAGTATGCAGACCAAATGCAACAAGGTCTCACCACCTAATGATCACAGCAAAATAGTGGTACTACTGTACTACTGTGCAAGAAGAGAATATCATTTGCAGCAAGATGCATCCAGACAGGATTACACATGAGCATGTAATTAATTGCAAGGCAATTATTTCTTTAAGGCTTTTGGCTATTGGAAAGGAAGTACGATTTCATCAAACAATTATTTTCGTCCCAGCGTGAAACTAGGCATTCATATTCAGCTGACATGGTTTCCCGTAAATTTTAAGCCCAAAAAACAGTATAACTGGCAACAAAAGGCAATTGTTTTAAAGAAGTTTAAACAAACATTCTATAATATGTGAGGTTAGGTTACTACGTAGCACGCTTGACTCTAGCTACCTTCCATGCGTATTCCATTCATGATGCGCTCTCATTCTGTGAGGCAGCTCTTGCTCTCCAAGATTTTCCATTTTCTTAACAACACCTCCCTCGTTTATAATGAATAAAGCTGTCCGACGAAGCATGGAAGAAAAACCCTCCTGTCCAAACAAAAAGATTGATCACGCAAATAAGTCCAAGTCTTGACTTGAATTTAAACTTTGGAAAAAAACATCCTATTGTGGTATGGTGCTACAGCTTCTCCAAAAAATTCTAGTCAAAATCATTTTTAAGGGTGACTCAGTCATATCCTCTCACCTTTGTTAGGCGTTTGGCTATCAAGGCTAGCTCGTATTCTGGCATTTTTTCCCTCAGATATCAAGAAAAAAAGAGAGAAATACACTTTAAGGTTTACTCCGCCAGCTTAATGCATGTTCAGCGACAATATAGTTAGCAAGAATGATGGCAGGAACGGATGCTCAGCTACCCATTATAAACCTTCATGTAAGCAGATTGTTGAGTACCGTACACGTCTGGAAATCTGCCATTATGTCTGAGCAAGAGAGATCATTTGTTGGCAAAGTAGCATTGATAACAGGTACATCTTAAAACTAACTCGTCATATGTGGAATGATAAACTCTTATAGTTTAATAGTGCTTATATTGGTGAATCATTCACATAGAGTGTATTGCATCAAGAACATTTATAATATTTCACTCCACCTTACCTGGATCGATGGCGCACGTGACGGCCTCTCGGGGTTGTAAGTTCGAACCCAAGTGAAGTCAAGTCGTGAACTACAGAGGGTATTTTCTACGAATTTGCTATCATAATTATCAAAATTCCATAATTTGAGGCTCTCACTTCGGGGGAAATGAGAGAGATCCAGGCAAGTTAATATTTCAGTTGAGGTGATACCCAGTCAGGGAAGGGGGATGTGATAGGTGTGTCCTGCCCTTCCTCCCCACTGAAGGGGCTGATGCCAACAAACAAACTGAAATAGATCAGTAGGATGGGAGAGTTTGAAAATGAATCAGTTTTGACATAGTGGTTGTCTATCTTATTATATTTGGAAGGTTTTTTTTCAGAAACCTTGTTAAGGTCTAGTAACTTGATTTTGATGAAATGGTCAGATTAATATGACGCGTAACTGGTGACTTTTGGTGTGTTCAGGTGGAAGTTCAGGTATTGGTAAAGGAACAGTTCTTTTGTTGTCCAAACTTGGATGCAGTGTAGCTTTTGGAGGAAGAAACAAAGATGAACTTGACAAAGTGGTGGCCAAATGCAAAGAAATTAGAGCTGATGCTCAGGTAACAACTACAGCCTTGATTACCAAGGAGTTGAGTTTGTTGATATAAAAATTGTCATTCTCATGGCTGATGAAATGATATAATTTAATTTAGGTTCTGTCAGTGCAAGGCAATCTAGAGAAAGATGAAGATGTGAAAGCTCTTTTTGAAGCAACCATCAAAGAATTTGGAAAATTGGATATTCTGGTAAGTGTGCATGTGTCTTTCTTACTATAATATTTATGGAAAATTTTATCCCTTTGAACCCTGACATGGGTATCTATATTCTTCATACTGTTCTCTGTGCATTTCTTATAGTGCTGAAATGGAGAATTTGTTCACCTAGCTATCAAGAGACTCTCTAGTTTTAAATCATTTCCTCCATTCTCATGACCTTTAAGTTTGATTCAGCAGTGATACTGTTAGGAGAAACTAGATGCCAATCAGTCTTAGTGGTTTTTAGGGTTAACTTGTTGATTATAGGAAATACCTGCAGGGTCATTTTTCTTTCTGAGCAGGACAAGAAAATAACTTACCACTTGGCATATAGTCTCAAGAGTAGCAATAAATTATTACACTTGTCTAGTGATAGTGGAGTGAGAACAGAAGAGTACTCATCTAGGAAACATCTGATTTGAATGGTATGACGACTGAGTATCAAAGATAACCTGTTATCATTGATTGACAACTGAGTAACAGATAACCTTTTAAGATAATGGGTGAGTAAAAGATGAGGATAATGATATCTTAAGGCTGCTACTGCCAATTAATAACCTCAGTGATCATAGATGTTTAATCTCCGTACAGGTCAACAATGCTGGGATAGTTATACCCGGGACCATAGAAACGACTTCACTGGAAGACTTTGACAAGGTTATGAGAATCAATATGAGGTGATTAAATTCCTTTATTTTCTTCTGCGCAAGCACTTTGGCACCCTATGTATCATAAATTCACCAGATTTTAGTCAAGTGCAAGGCAAATAAATATTAGATATTTCTGGCCAGGAACTTACTGTTAGTTTGAAATTGCTACCAGTAAAAACTTGACAGATTAAAAAAATCAAGAAAATTCAATCATTCTGAGAGGATGCTATGAAAAACACTTTTTAATGGGTCCTTTTTTTGGAAAAAATAGAACTCATCAAAGAAAATCTTGACAAGTTTCAAGTTCCTGAACCTTGGCTTGTTCCTGTTACCCCTAAAGAAAATCTGGAGAGTTTTTCCCAGCTTTCTTCAGAAGAATTGTGAAACATTGTTCAGCAATGTTTGAGTGCTCCCTGTCTATTAGATCCCGTTCCCACATCCCTTGATGAATAAGCCCCCTCCATCACTGAGACAGTTATTAATCTCTTCTCAGTGGTCATGTTCCTAATGCACTTTTCCTTGCTTTAAACATGTGATTGTTTTATCAATGAAGTAAATTGTCATTTCTTGGCTTAACCTTTAGGGCTGTTTTCTACTTGACATCACTGGCAGTGCCTTACCTCATTCAAACACAAGGTAAAATATTATTATCTACTGCAATTCTAAATGAAAGTTTTAATAGGTAAATTGGGCACAAAAGTTATGAATGAAATATTCAATGCTTTGCCATTCTTGCTCTAGGTTGCATTGTGAATGTTTCCAGTGTGAATGGCATGAGATCGGTGAGTTCATCAAATTACTGAATAACAGCGAAGAAATTTTTATGCTTTTTTAGATCAACTTTTTTCATGTGTCTATTGTATTATACCTGGTTTGCATGATTGAAGTTGCCCTTGTTGCAAGAACACTCTTTTGATTTACAGAAAAATAATTTCCCCACCATACCATTTTTGCCTCTTGCTTGAAAGTCATGTATGCACAACAGATTTGTATCATTAGTAAAGATGCAGTGTCTTGTTTTTCTGTTTGGGACATGATGTCTGTTATTGAAAGGCCACTCATGAAACAGTGTGTTGTGTGACAAACCCAAGGGCTGCTTGAAAAAACCAAAAAACAAGGAATACTGATTTTTTTTTTACTGTCTCTGTAGTTTCCTGGAGTGCTTGCCTACAACATGTCTAAAAGTGCTGTTGATCAATTTACAAGATGTGTTGCACTTGGTGAGAGTGACAAAATAATACCACAACTATTCACAAACCACCCTGTATAACATTATAGCTTTTTTGTGTGTCCTCTGATTTATTTAGGGTCAAACTATTTAACAGGTCTTTTCTTAGTGGTCTCATTAAAAAGACTTTAATGGTCTTGTTAACCTACTGGTAGATATGAACCAAAACATCTCAGTTTGGGTAAATACAAGAATTATGAGTATAGATGGATTCACTGGTATGTCAATACTAATATACATATGGTCTTGTACATGTACCATTCAAGTTATACTTTGCACATTTTGGTCTCCTTATCTCTGAGCTGCATTGTAACTAATTAAAAGACTGAGAGATAACAAATATTAAAAATTATGTAGGGGAACACTCACCTGAAACTTGTAGAAGCAGCAGCATATTACATTTTATCAGCTCACTTAAGACACTATTTTACAGAGGAGCTATCAAGCCTCAGAGTTATTCAGAGCATTTCCTCTAATATTTTAATTGTCATGTTATTTTCAGAACTTGCATCAAAAAACGTTCGATGCAACTCAGTCAAGTAAGTAATTTTTAATTAATAACAGATTAAAATATAATCGAAATGTTATACAAAAACAGGAAAGTAAGAAAACTTTAACTGTCTTTCCCCTTACATAACCTTATCACTCTGTCCCCAACCCCATGTAAGCGGAGTGTGTAATTAAAACAAGTCGTGGAGCAATTTTCAAATGACTCTCTTAGAGCAATTTTTTAATATAGTGTCGAAAGAATCCGGGATTGCTCTGTTTTTGCTTTACTTTACTATGTGGTCCTGATAACTTGTGCCGCTCTCTGAACCAATCAGATGATGCGAAACTGAAACCAATCACGACTTGGTCGCTCGCAGCTTCCCGCGCTTTAGACTATTTGTTCTGTTTAACTTTGAGTTTTCGTTGGTGTTTAAAGATAATTTCCTTTCTTCCGATTGACCGTTGTCATAACTTTTGTTTTGGTTTGATGAAACTCCATCAAGAAGCGCTCTAAGTAATCGGGATTGTATTTGTTTGCTTTACCTTACTCACTGATTGACAAAGAAAATTTTGGCTACTTTCTCAGCCTCACATTTGCCGCGCTTCGAACAGATTGCTTCTTCGTGCCGTGTATTTTCATTGGTTTCTCTTTGGTCGTCATAATTACTTTGGTTTTGACGCGACGAAGCTCAGTTGAATTTTACTCTAACATCTTGCGAGGTTTTTCCCTCTTAGACACAGTAGGTAACGGGTTTCAGAGAATTGTCTATATATTACTATCAAAAAGTCGTGAATGCTTCAACGATCAAATTGTAAAAAGAAAAGAAAAGTATTCCTTAAAAAACAAAAAATAAAAACAGAAAAACTTGCAGAAGAATGGAAGTGATGTTTTCTCTCTAATCTTTGAACTCAATTTAAGCTGTGGTATCTTTATCTGCTGTGATACTTCTGTTTTCATTTGCAGCCCTGGAGTAATAATCACTGAAATTCATAAACGGGGAGGTATGGATGACGAGGCTTACGCAAAGGTAACTTTACCCTCCACTAAAGTTCAAACATTGCGCATAGTACCCGGTCATCTCTAGCGGTGTGGCGAGTTGACCAAAGGTATGGGCGAGTTGGCTAATGGTGTTGCTCCCCCTCTGGCCGGAGTAAAATGTTGTTTTGGAGTAGAGAGGGCAGAGAAATTGGAAAATAAAAGGAACGGTCTCTTTTTGCTCAGCGTCATAAGCAATTTTGCCGCTGACTATCGTTCCAAAGTCCCAGAGCCAAAAACTAATACGCAAGTATACCGTGGACTTTATGGTCGAATTTGTTTTGTTTTAAAACTTTTTTGTTCTTTTGTGCAGTTTCTAGAACGTTGCAAACAAACTCACGCTTTGGGAAGACCAGGAAATGTGGATGAAGTATCGAGTGTGATTGCTTTCCTTGCATCCAGTGAATCGTCTTTCATGACAGGTGCTTCGTTGCCTGTTGATGGAGGAAGACATGCCATGTGTCCGAGATGAAAGAAATACAAACTGAATGCTCCTGCTTATAAATGAATATTAAAGTTTGTTAAATTTCTTCGGGAGCAAAGGGTGGAAAGTTTGAATAGAAAGATAAGTCTCTGTAATTGTAGCACTATAAGCAGAACCTCACATGATTTACCAATGTCAATGATAAGACACAGTCGCAAGTTTTATTCAAATCGTTTTTCTCTCTAGCATCGACAAAATAAAAATCCAATTATTTATTGCGCATTGGAAACGGTGGTTGTAATTGCAGGGTGCCGGATTTCAGACAGCGAATATTCTTGTTGAAATTAAAGGGTCTTCACTCGTTGATTTCCGCAGTCTTCAAAGGCGCATATATACCCTAGGGACTAGGAAAAGTGTCCCTAGAAAGAAAGGCTCGCCTAAATGACGGTAAAACATACAAATGTTCTTGAAGCATTTTTTCGGGAGGGACCAAAGATGTTTCCACTGTATGACAATGCCTTACGGTTCAGTACGACGCGAGAACAACCTTTAAACATGGGCTTCAGTTGACTGATAAGTTATCGAGGAACATCACAGTCGCCACTAAGTTATCATTTCAACTTCAACTCGTTGCATCATTTGAGTGACGAGAAAATTCCATGACCTTGACCATTTTTTGGCCAGCCAAGTTGGTCGCACATCATAATTGTAAGATTTGTAAACGAATATTTGCGAAGGATCATCAGCTCAAGTGCTTCAATGGGTGCGCCCGGGCGGACAGCCCTGGGTGCGTTTATGAATTGCTCCTTTAAGTTTGGGAAGTGTAGATCTCTTTCGCATTCACGTTTTCTTGGTAAGTAAATACTGTCTTTCGCTCTCTCTCGACGAAATTGACAACAAAAAAGACCGGATACACCTTAAGAACCATATCCACCGATAAGTCAGTCAGTTTCCCTTTACTCTTTTCTCGCGAAATCCGTCCCTACATACAACGTTAAGGTTGTAGCTAATGCCCAACAAAAAGTTGTTGGATCCTGGTAGTTTGAATAGTATCGTTTAAGTCCTCCATTCTCTTTCAAAAACTTTATAACCAAGAAGATTGCTGAACAACAATTTTAACCTTTTCAAATTTCAAGTAATTTGACTCAAGGTAACAGAGAATTAAATCTTGAGGCAAATGTCGTTTTTGGGAATGACACGCAACTCGTTGGGAACACGTCATTGCGTGACAAAAAAAAAATCAGCCAAGGATCCTGTATTGTCATACATTCCACTTCTGCGTATTTATTTTCCATCTTGTTCCTTTGTTTTGTTGTGTTCCTTTTTCAGTTTTCATCATCTTCGTTTTTTATGGTTTCTCACGATCTAAGGTTGTGTTTTTTGGATCTGGTGCATTTTTTTTTTGTTTCGTTCCGCAAACCTTTATTCTCCAGTCCATCCACACTTCTCGATGTAAGAGGGATTCAACAACTGGAAAAAATCCAAAATGGCGGCGGGAGGGATGTCTTTCGCAGGCAAAGTTGCATTAATAACAGGTACATTCTGAGCTTTTAAGTCAAATAAGTATCTACTCCTTCTGTAGTTTTTCTCTCAATCAATCGTCTCCTACGGTGAATTGTAAAGTACAAAACAATCCGCACCGAAATCCTCTTTTCATTGAACAGTGGTGCCTGTGTTGAGGTTTTTAAAGAATCTTGTCGACCTTTACCTTTTAGTTTTTATATCAACGAAAATTTCCCGCCTAGTTATAGTCAATTAATTTTCACAATCACCCAGTCAGATATATAACAATAAATTTAAGTACTTAAATATCTGGTCATGAGGGAAACAATTTTTCGTATTTTTGTTTTCCCGAGAGTCTCGTTGAATAGATAAATGTGGAATTTGCGCAGTGATAATTTTTGCATCAGACTATAATTTTTGTAATTAGTACACTCAATGAGTAGTGCATTTGAAGTAACTGCAGAATACCCTGCCCCTTTGGTCCACCTCATATAAATGTGTCGTGAGGCTTTCAAGAACGAGGCATGTTCTTATTCAATGACATGTAAATGAGTGGCAGGGTATTCTGCAGTTAAGCCGTGCATTTTATGAATAATAAATATTTTTTTCTTGGCAGCTCATCTCTATGACATTATGACATTAATGTGACCACTCTTCTTAAACTCTAGGTGGCAGTTCAGGTATTGGTAGAGCAACAACTTTGCTGTTATCCAAGCTTGGATGCAGTGTGGCATTTGGGGGGAGAAATAAAGCCAACCTTGAAAAAGTAGCAGCTCATTGCCAAGAAGCAAGAAATGATGCTCAGGTAGCTCAACAACAGAAAAAATAGAATGGAATAAATAAGTGAATAAATAGGTGAATAGAAGAACAAAGAAATGAATGTATGTACAGATTGTTGAGAGGGAGAGTTTGTGGACAAAACCATGAAATGAGAGTTGAGCAGATCAGTGGCTATTTTTTCTTCCATCTCCCTGGCAAAATTCTTGTAGTTCTGTATCATTGGGTGGTCGTTTATACATTTAATTTGGTCTCCTTAATTTGATAAAATTTTGGAGTCTCCTTGGTTGAACTGCCTAATTGCTAATTGTTTTCAAATTTAAAAATTTTCAACTTAAGGTTCTTCCAGTGCAAGGTGATTTGGAAACTGATGAAGATGTAAAGACGCTTCTAGGAACCACAATCAAACATTATGGAAAGCTGGATATTTTGGTAAGAAATTGTTTTGTTGTTCTTCTGTAAAGCTTGTTCCAGAGAAAAAAATGGTTTCTTTGGTGAATAAAAAGCTTCAAAAATGTGCTCACTTCATTTATCAATCTATGAAAACAGCTTTTGTACAGGTATTTTTTATGTCTGACTCAGAACTTGGATAATATTTAATACCAGCTATGTCTTAACTGCTGGCTTTTGCATTGTAGAATTTTCTTTCACAAATTTTGATGCAGAGTAACTTATTAATTGCAATGATCCATTTCAAGGTTAACAATGCTGGAATATCTGGTTTGGGAACTATTGAGAACACTTCCTTGGATTTATTTGATCAGATCATGAGAATCAATGTGAGGTATGAGCTTGAAGAAAAATCTTTAGTCAATTGTCTTATCATCGAGGACAGACTTTTTTCAAGCATAATTGGGCTGCTTAATTTCTGTTATTTTGATTACATTTCCTAGGTCAGTGTTCTATTTAACTTCTCTAGCAGTTCCATTTCTAACACCAACACAAGGTTAGTTGTATCATGTTTTGGATTGTTTTTTTTTTTTTCTGAATAACATCAATCGTGAGGTGCAAGCAAAACCTATTTTTCATATCTCACTACACTCTTCTTGATTTATATGTCATATTTTGAATACTTCTCTAATTACAGGGTGCATTGTTAATGTGTCAAGTGTCAATGGACTGAGGTCGGTAAGTTGTCCATCAGTTTTAACCCTTTAACTCCCATGGGTGACCAAGACAGAATTTCTCCTTACAATATCAATACAATATCAAGCAAACAAGTGATGAGAATAAAGAAAAATCTTAATTCGATCTTATAACAAATTCTCCGAACTAACGTCACAGGAACTATATTGTAGACAGTAAGGAGAATTACTAATGAGATTCTGGGAATTTAAGGGTTAATTGCTAATGCTTTTACAATTGTTTGAAAAATATTTAGAATGCTTGAGCAAATACATGTATGTTAAAGCATAGTGGAAATATTGAGTTTCATGTCTTATGTCTTTTTGACCACATGCATATAATTTTGACCAGTTTGCAGAAGCTCGTAGTCACAGTTGTAGGGGCAGATCACAGGGAGGGGTGCAGGGGGTGTGAACCCCACCCCTCCTCCCTGTGATGACCTAAGGCATTCTCATAAAACTTTACAGTCATACCAAATCTGCTATATTGTTTGCTTTGTATTCCCAGTGGTTCACATTATGTTATTGCTTAGTCATAAGCCTTCTTCTTTGTTGTTCACTTTCAAAATTTGTTTACATCACCCATCAGTTGTGTCATCAGGGAGTTTAATAAACAACAATGGCAACATTGTAGACAGTGTTGGTTAAAATATGAACTTATATTTTACCTATGAATCTTGTGATACTCTTAGGTTATTTAGTTTGTTTCTTACTGTCAAAACTATCTAAATACTGAAGTGCTAAGCAGTGTTAAATGAGAAATTGAAGTTGTTCTTCTCATGAAACTCTTTGATTAGTGAAGGTCCCATTGCTGTTGCCTTGGTGTTTTTCTTAAACTCCCTATTCCTTACTGTTGCAACAGCTCCTAAGGAAAATCGTGGATCCACCCCTTGGGTGACAGCTCAGCTAGCACTTGCACACCTGCCACTCAAAGTCTAGTTTTGGGTCTGCTACACATGCAATTTGTTTGAGTGTACAGGGACACTTTCAGAACAATAAATAAGTGCTATCATGGATTCTTTTTGGGTGGGTCAGTTATTAATGTTTTATCTTGGGTGAATTCTCCTGAACTGCCTCTGTTTCTATTGAAGTTATTTAAATAATCCTGATTCAAGCAGTTCTGTCATAGTTTCCAGGAGTTCTGGCCTACAATATGTCAAAAAGTGCTTTGGATCAACTAACAAGGTGTGTGGCTCTTGGTGAGTTCTTCTATTTATACATTTATTTTATATATGCAAAGAGGTTTTGCATATAACCTGCATTTAGAGGATTCTACACATTAAGTGGACACTTGCTCAAGTACTTCATGCCTACCGCCCACTACCTCCCCTGGATTTACTGTGAAATAAACCTTATTCAGTGGGTAACTCTTTTAAGGAGATGTAACCACCAGATTTAAGCAGCTAACAGGACTAAAATAGATTTGAGCTTCACTTTTATCAGATTTCAGTTTTATATTAGAGGTTTTACTGCTGATTAGTTGCTCTGTTTTATGTGAGGTTTACATATGAATTAATATAATTACATAATTTTTTAACTTGTGTTAGAGGTTGCTTAACTTGTGAGAATTTTTTTGTTAAGGAATGTTCTTAACACCCAAGAAGGGGTTTTTATTATTAATGGTGGACGCTGCTCTTAGAAACATTGAGAGAAGTGTCCTGCAATAACTACTGTCTTGTTATTGTTTATTTCATTAGAACTTGCACCAAAGAAGATCCGCTGTAACTCAGTCAAGTAAGTATTGTCATTAAACAAAACAATTTTAGGTGGTAGATCTAGGATGTCAGTTAACATCAAAGGCAATGCAACAAAAGTTCTTGGAAAAAAGAGGAAACAATAAAAACAAGAATTCTAACCTTAGTAACTTCATGGAGATGCTAGCTTTTTTTTTTTTATATTTCACTTTCCGCTCATCAGCCCTGGTGTTACGATTACTGAATTGCAGAAACGAGGAGGGCTTAACGAAGAAGCTTACCAAAAGGTACGTCATGTGTCGAGTTGCGTCATGAAAGCATTGTGTGCGGGTATATTTCATCCCTCTCTTTACCACTGTTCCACCATTTGGAGATTAGTATTCAATTCATAATGCTCGGTATTTTTTAGAGGATATAAAACAGTCCCGTCTTTAGAAAGAATGGGGCGTAACTACGCCATTTGAGAAGAAAAGTTACCAAACAAACTGTAGCTTAGCCTGGCTAAAGACTGCTTGTTTCTCTTGTTGGTGTCTTTTCTTCCGATACGAGTATTTTTTTTCCCTCGTCACGATGTTAGCTCGCCCTACACCCCGAATGGGAGTCCTTTCGATAGCTGGCAAACCAGAAATGTGCAACTCACACGGGCGTGGCTAACACGAGCGCACGTGCGTCATAACCAAACAACTTGTCGCAAACCTTCATCCATTTTTCGCTCTCCGCCACCATTTTCTTTTCTCTACCCTACTCCCCCCTGTTTACTTACTGAACAACTGGGAAAGGCTATGGCAGTTCCTCCCTCAATGTAAACACCACGAAAAAGTCTTATCTCGCTGATAACGAAATAGTTTTCCGTACATTTGTCTTTGATTCACTTTTACTCTATATCTGTTTTTCCTTGCGCAGTTTTTAGAACGTTCAAAGGAAACTCATGCCTTGGGGCGTCCTGGAAATGCAGAAGAAGTAGCCAATGTGATCGCTTTTCTGGCTTCAAGTGACGCGTCTTTCATAACCGGTGCTACACTGCCTGTGGATGGAGGAAGACATGCGATGTGCCCGCGATAACACATCCTGCGGCTACTCGTTCAAGACATGCGGGTTTGTGGTGGTAGTGGATGCGAATTGAATGCGAAAATGAATGATGAAGGATACTAATATCCGTAATTATATAATTATATGCTTCGTCATGATCATCAAAAAAGACCACTGTTCCAAGTATTTTTCACTTAATGGTGGTCATGGTGCGACTTCGATTACTTGACTTAGATGACAGCATCTTGTTTAAATAGAACAACAAGACGTTTCCACACGTTTGGTTTAAGATAATTGGTTTAAGATAATTTTGTGATCGTTAGGGATGATCGAGATGAGATGATTGAGGTGAGATGATCGAGATGAAGAATTTTTCGTTTATCATTCATTGTTCTTTTTTGTTCATGACGTTTCAGTCTCTTATCCTTTTGTCTGTATTTCTTCTCGTAATATCGTTTATTTTACAATCCCTGATGTTCCTCTGTTAAACTAGAGGTCAATAAAATAGTTAGAGAGCCTCAAACAGATATGTTTCTTCTCTGCAAAGAAAAACCGAAAACTGGCTAAAACCTAACGTGGGTCTGGAAGAAATATAATACAACTTACCGAATACTTAACCCTTCTCATTTTAACATCAGTATGCTTTTTTATCCACTCTGTTGAATATACAATTCCCAAGGTGGTGACAAGGAGAGTTTATTAAAAAAATCAAGAGCTTCTTTAGTCGGCGATCGTTTCCTTTATTCTCGTTACCTTAATATCTGATTCAGGGGTGAAACTGTAAGGAGAAATTAGATGCTAGTCACCTTAGGAGTCGAAGGGCTAATGTGCCTTGAAAGAAATACATCCGGGACCATATAGTGGCGACGGGTGCGACACAAATTTTAAAGACAAATGAATAAAGGGGGTAAGTTTCTAAAGATTGTGTGGTTCTGCGCCGTTGGGAGACTATAATAGGGTAATTTTGTACTTTATTAGGGTAATTTAGTATTATCCATTTTCTGCATATAAACGCACACACAACCCACAATTCCTCCATTCGCTCTGACGAAGGGCTAACGCTCGAAACATGAACTTTAAAACTCTTGACGGTGGCCAATTTACGTTATTAACTCAGTTGATAATACTAAGACATCAAATTTGGAAGTTACGGTACTTTGTGGGAGTCAAATGAGTTTGTGTCGGGTTTATTGCGTGGGTTACATCATAGTGAAGAGGATCCACACTATTGGTCAAAAGGCATAATTGCCTGTACCTATTCGAGAGATATCCCTGTCATCTTCAAATATCTCTATCATGGTCAGTTGTAGTAGTTGTCTGCAGGGCCTTTCATTCAGAAATTGTTTAGAAACCTTTCGTAGCTCGAAGAAAGTTACTGCATCATCGTCAGCGCGTTATCGGATTTCTGAGCCTTTGTCGGGGAAAATAATTTGTGCTAGTATCAAATTCTTTTTTTTAACATTAATACGCAGTTAGTGACGAATTCCTGTTAATTGCTTTGTTTCCAAAACAGTGTAAAACGAATTGCGTACAATAATCAATTAAAGCCATCATTACGCATATAAATAATGCGCGTTATACGCAAGTTTGGATTTTTGACAAAATCACGGGTAAACTGCGTTTTAAAAAGAAAGGATATGAAAAATTGTGGTTTACAAGAAGCAGTATAACACACGAGGAATTGCGTTCACAAATCTTTCAGTGATGCTTCGCAGGATTAGAACAGGGCCTGGATGAAAGATTTCTATGGAGGCCAGTGGATTTTTACAGAGAACTTTCAAGAAAAGAATGGAATAAATTACCTGAAGTTGGGAAGAAGTGATGAACTAGACTTTTTATTTGTGGCTATTCATGCAAAAAAGAAAAAAGATTCACGTTCTCTTCTATCAATCGGGTAGATAAAAGATCTTAATTCGTCATATTATGGCGTTTGATACGCTCAATGATATTGATTTTGTATTTCAAATCATCGTGTACACTTCTCTAGAGTTACACATTTGAACCCACTTAAAAAAAAAGTATCTGAGTTCAGATTTGGTTTAGAATTGCTCAGATTCGATAGCCAGTCGTTGAAGTTTACAAAAATACATCGGACCCCAATTCTTAATCTTGGAAGGGACGACAAGTACCCCGTGTTTGGTCGTTCTGTAATCAAACATTTTCGCAAACGAATTATTTGCAAACTGCGAGTCCACAACTTCAACTTTGAGCTGCTTGTTTTCTGAACATTTTGATAAAACCTCATCTATGACTCCGTCATTTTCTATCGGCGACATGGAGCAAGTAGAATAAACCACTATACCGCCAGGAACAACTGTTTGTAACGCAGACATAAGAAGCTTCTTCTGTATGTTAGCGTTTGCTGCAGAGTGTTTTTCTGACCAAAAACTAAACTCAAAGTTTGTGTGCAAGTTATGTCGCTCAGCAGAACATGGTACATCAAGTAATACCCTGTCATACGTGTTTGGTTCGTACTCGCCGTACTTGAAACCTGTCAAGCTCCTGACATGCACCAAGTCTTTAGTTTTGGAGATCTTTGGTATGTAGTCTTTAATTACCTAACCAAGAAGATCAGAAAGAACAATAATACATAAACCTTTTCAGGGATGAATCCTGAAATTTTAGAGCTTTAAAGCTTTAATTTAGAAAACACATTTTTTTTTTACCATAGCCTAAGTAAGCTGAGAAATGTTTCAAGACAATTAAATTTAAATACTTCATATTGAGTAGTCACATGCAATCCTGTTGTTGCTAGAATTTTGGCGTCTGACATGAGGTTAAAAAAACTCACAGCTCCTATGTGGGAGTGGGGAGGGCCACACCCCAGGACCCTCCCTCTCGATCTACCAATTTTTTTTCATAATGAATTCATTTTAAATCTATTCAAACAGTCTTTCAAATTAGAAAAACCTAATTATAACGATTTTCTGTGGATGAATGGCCACAATACAAAATTGCTGTCTGACACATTTGAGAAGCATGCTTCTTAAACAAATCACCATGGTTACCTCAGAGGTTAGTCACTCCTACCTTAATAAGATTTGCCCTTCTCTGGTTTGCAATTTCACTGGCAATAATACAACCTCTTATTGAAAGAAACTGTGATATCAGGACACTTTTACCTCCAGGAGCAGCACACATATCAAGCACTGTATTGTCCGGACAAATGTCAAGAGCTAAAACGGGTAGGAGAGATGAAGCATCCAGAAGATAGTAATCAAAAAATCCATTGCTTGTCTCTCCTTGCTTGGGAAATCTAACACTTTCCTCAGAACTTGGAAAGTAACAGGACAACGTAAGTTGACTTTGCTCATCTTCACTAAGGGTGCTTGTAAAAGGTTCTACACTTTGAGGCCGTGCTGCCACCAAAGAGAGTTTTTCCTGCACTTCTTCAACTGCAGAAAACTTGTTGACCACTGCACAGTGCTGGATTGGTAATTTAAGTGACTCAAAAATCATAGGCCACTTCTCACCAAACTGGTCAGCATAAAAGGTTTCAAAATTTTCCAAAGAAGAAGCTTTTTTCCTTTGCATCTAAAACAAAGGATAAGATATTAGAAATAAAGATCCCTGTTATACCTATTTAAAGAGCTGAAAGCCCAATAGGTTCGGTTTCTGCTGTTTTCTCAAGTTTAATGTTCCATCCTTGCGAGAAAAAAATGATTGTGACTTGGGGGGGGGGGGGGGTGGTGGGGGTTGAGTGCGGGCTCATTTTCCGAACAGCAGCTGGTAATCAAGTCTAAAAGCCTGATGACAATTTGTCAATCAGCTCTTCCATACTCAATACTCTGGGGGGATTGGTGACTAGCAAGCCTTAGCTCGAAGAACGTTGGTTGTCTTTGGGCCTCGCAGTTTTTAAAAACACATTTCTATGTTAGAGCCTCTCTTAGGTCTGTGAAAATGTGATCATGTGCAATATTTTACCTCTTGATCTATGATGGTTGACTTGAAAAAGGCCATGAATTTACGCTTTGATCGTGAATATATCGAAGCCGCAGTAAGTGAATAAGATCAATAATAACCAGTTACCCAAGGCAATGTTTTCAGTTATGATTAAAACTGCATACATCTTACCTTCCATGACTTCTTCTTGTAATATCTTTTATTAAAAGTAGATAGAACATGGCGATAGAAACTATTTTGTAACAAGATTCGTGAAAACATGGTGACAATAGCAGAAAGAATCTTTCAAGGCGTTCTTTGATTACATGGATGTCGGAGAAGTACTGCGTACAAGTATTAAGATTAATCTTTGGAAGACTGGAAACGAATGAAGTCATTGAGTTCTGGAAAAGCAACGTAATTTTTGTCACAAGGACAGTACTGGAAAATAGAAATTGTCACGACTTTTATACCCATTCGGAAATGAATTATACTCCAGAGACATTCTCAATTGGAGTTCCTGGAAATAGAGGAGTAAATTTTGTAGGCGGCAATGTAGATCTCAGTGGTACATTGATTATTAAGGCTCGTCTAGGGGATGATATAAGATGCATTCCAATTCACAACGAAGATTTGACTTATGATGATCTACTATTGATGATGCAGAGAGTTTACCGTGGTAAACTTAGTAGCACAGATGATATTACCATCAAATATAAGGATGAAGGTGAGTTTAGTCGACTGGTCTTTTTGGCTTTCAGATTTGACGATAAACTCGGCTGATTGTTGAAAACCATTCCTTTAGGCACGACACTAAGCTTCATTTAATAGTTTTTCCCCTCTGTTTCAGATGGCGATCTAGTAACTATTTTCGACAGTTCTGATCTTGCCTTTGCACGAACAATATGCAGAATATTAAAGATTACATTGTTTGGTAAGTTAATTAAATTACATTTACTTGTGGAACGTTTCTTTTTGTGAGTATGTTCCTAACGATGCAAAGATGTTATCCTTGGACTGTTTCATTCATTAAGTTTAATACTTTGACACATGTCTTGAGATTTAACTTAGGGATAACTAGCTATATCATAAGTTGTATTGCTTAAGTTTTTGAAACGAGCAGAGGAATTCTGTAAAGACAATTATGGAATATGCAAACTAGATTTCCAAACTTGACAAATGGCAAATGTTTGAGGACTGCTGTCTGAAAGTTTTCAATCTCCAGCAAGTCTTTTATTGCTCAGTAAAATTTAAATTTTTGTTTCTCGGTCAATTTCTTTTTTAATTCTAGTTGTGGTAGAATTCTTGTCAATGTTAAATCATGATCATTTAAACAATTTCCTCTGCAGTTAATGGTGTACCTAGACCTCCTGAACACACACTGGTTGCAGAGTTTAGAAGGGAATTGACAGAGGTTAGGGATAGGATTAATTATCTTCTGAATAGACTGGAAGTAAAGGATGAAAATGAGGAGAGGAAGGGTGGACAAGAACAGCCAAAAGATATACCTAGTATGCAAGGTTTGTAAAGAAAGTCAGCTGTTTAAAAATTTCAAGTTCTTAGAAGTAGTATCCTGGAAAGTTTTTGGTAATAGTATTTGATTGCCTCATGAATCTCCAATATGCATTGTCATAGTTGTAATGAAGAGTTTGGATTAGTTTTTTTTTTTTTACCATGCTCATTATGCTTTGAACAGGGATCATGAATTGAGTTGACTTTAACTGGCATCTAATTTCTCCTTACACTACCACCCCTGAATCAAACATTTAGCTCGCAACAATAAAGGAAATGATCACCAACTGAAAAAGCCCTTGATTGTTAAACAAATTCTTTTTGTCAATTCCTTAAGAAATCTACAGAAAACAGTATGGAGAATATACATACTGATGTTAGGGTGTAAAGGGTTTAAGTGGAGCAATCATAACTCTCATTGATTTTTTTTGTACTTATGGGTCTGGAGCTAGAAATGAAAATGATGAAAGTGGACTATTTGCTTGTCCCTATGCAGTGTTTCCTTTTCGTGTTAATTGTGATGGTCAAAACATTCTAACTAAATCAGTATCAGGAAAATGGCCCATAGTTTTATGCTCTGTTTCTGTTTAGGTCCCCCTAATGAAAGAACACTTCCAGCCCAAATGCCTCCCAAACCAACCCCTGAGGTGACCATGTTTGATCCTCTTGCTAAGGACAAAGCACAACCGGACAGTTCGACGGGAAACATCTCAGGACACCTTTACCCTAGCACTGCAGGCACTACTGAAGGAATAGGTTTGTGAAAGACCATAAATACAGTCATGGAGTAAACTGGAAAAACAATCAAACTGCCATACACAAATTCCAGTTGGAGAAAAATGTGTCTGTAATAGTTCTTTGTTTTCCTTGGTTCAAATTGCTTGTGGTTGGCTTCAATTTGATGATCTGACACCTATCCCTCTGACGAAGGACTAATGCTTGAAACGTCAGCCTTAAAACTCTTTACAATGGCCAATTTATGTCTTCAACCCAGTTGATAACACTAAATTATCCCATTATACTCTCCCACTGACGCAGCACCACAGTTTCTTTGGAAACCTACCCCCTTTATGACACCATTTATGCCCTAATTGAAGTAAAGTAAGTGTCAGTGGTATAAAAGGGACTTGGGGTATTGCCAACCCACTCTTCTTGGATGGGATGTTATTCCATCATAGAATATCCTTCTGCTCTCTTTCTCCCCCCCCCCCTCCCCGAAACGTTTACTAGGTGTCCTTGCAAATTCAATGGAATACATAATTTAATTATGTTGAAGGAGGGGGAAGTACTGCTCTGGGTAAGGTTTTCTCAGAAAACAACACAATGGCCAGGAACCTTTCCATCCAAAGTCAAGGGTTTTAATTTTTAGGTCACTGCATCTACCAGACTCTATCCAGAGATAGCATTTTACAGATGTTGTCCTTTACAGCATAGGTTCAATAAGTAGGGAAGATATTGATAAATTACAAACTCACAATTCAGAAAAAATTTTAGAAGGTTTTAGAAGGGCAGATGAATAAAACATCTCTGTCTGATTTACTGTTTAGGTGTTTCAGTGTTTTACTGGGTAGAAACTTTACAGTTGCCATTAATAATTTTTAATGCCTTTTGAATAGCAGGTTCCAAGAACCAAGAGCCAACCTCACAAGGGTACCCTCCACAGTCCATCCCAGCATCACAGCAGATGCAGGCTCCAGGGCAGCAGAACATTACACCATCACCTGCCAACAAAGTGGCTGGATCATATGCCCAGCAAACTCAGTATCCTCAGCAGGCTACACAAACTGGACAAAATGCTCCGCAGTCTTATGCCCCCACCTCCACCCAGACGCAATCTTCTTACCCAGGTATGACAAGTTCTGTGTCAGGTTACCCGGCTAGCCAACCGCTGCAGCAGCCTTATAGTCAACCAAGTCAACAAAGTTACCCACCACCCACCGGCTCATCGGCAGGGGTAGCACCCTACTCAACTGCAGGACAGACGCAGACACAGAGCTATCAGGGTTATGTACCTCAGCAGCAGCAACAGCAGCAGCAGCAGCAGCCTGCTACACAGAATGCTTATGGAAGTACTCAAGGGTATCCTACCAATCAACAGTATTCACAGCAGCAAGGGTACAGTCAGTATGGTTACAACTATCCGCAGCAGCAGCAGACATATCCAACATACTGATATCTTTGGCCTTTAGCCATGGAGGTGGTATTAATGTCAACATTGTAAATGATTTTGTAGTTACAGGATCATTTAGGTAATGGGGTTTGGTAGTACATTGAAATACAATGTACACACTGGCTGACTTGCTATAGATTGAATAGTCGACTCTTTCTGGGGTGCACACTGTCAACAATAATCCCTCCTTTTTGTGGTTGAAATAAGCTAAGTTTTTTTGTCAGTGAAATGGTTGGGACTACTTTTGATTGTCCCTTATTTGAAGGTGTCTGCTTTATGGGGGTGTCCATTCAGTGAGAAGTGACTGTCTTAGTTAATGACAGAAACTCTAAGAAAACACAAAATAATTGCTGCAAATGAGCATGGAGGTGCAAAGTTTGAGAGGACTGATGCACAGATAATGCATAAATTTAAAAAAAAATTTGGGTTGACCTTTAGCAAGTTTATCCCAATTTTTACTGAATTTTCATTTCTTTTTATTGGAAGCATATACTGTATTTATTCAGCTATGATTTTAGTTATACTGTTAGTTATACACTGTAACTACTACACCTTTTTTTTCAACCTCAAGAGACTATGAGTAATAAAGAAAACAAAATTATTTTAAATTCTGTGTCAGCTCCTCATAGAAATATTTGGATTTGGTCTTGGGATTGATACCATCACTGTGAAACTTAGAAACTGACTGCAAATATTGGAAATACTTTATGGCTTGTTGTTGTGTTTAAAAAAAAACTGAACTGTGAAAAGGGAAGGACTTAGTTTGTCACTTTGAGGTTTGTTTGTGGGCATTGACAGAAGCTCATGATCTATCAGTACAAAATTTACTTGTCAGATTAAATCAAAGAGTTCATGATTTTTTGAGTTTAATGATAAGACTACTTAATAATTTTTAACCAAACGAAAATTTTCAAGACCCTTTGAACCTTGGGTATATATATAAAACTTAATGATGTTTAAACAATTTGTCATTAAGGTAGAGACTGAGGAATTTGTTAACCGATGTTAGCAAGCTACAGAACTCTTAACTAAATCGTTGCAAAACAACTTTGATATGCAAATGAAGAAGGTTTAGATTAAGCATTCTTTTTCTTGGTGACTTGCACAACCAAATTTTTAAAAGTGTTGTAACTTATTTTTGTAAAAGCCACCCATCTGTGTAGGCTAGTCATGAAAAAAGAAAATCGGAAGGCAAATGCCAAATGCTATGTGCTAAACGCCATACAAAACTCATAAGGGTTGAAGGCAATTGTATCCTTGAAAATAGACACAAGGGATGAAGATTGACAATAAAATAGTTATTTAGAATGTTGTCCTAAGTGTATTTAAGAATCTCGGTCTGAGGAAGTTGTAACTAAAGGTTAAGAATCCTAACAACTTTTCGGGTTACCGGGGGCGATTCTCCCCAGCATCCAAAGGGTTTTTACAGAAGGCTAGGTACCCAAGCATTTTCTTTCGAAAGAGGTTATCGCGTGAGAACAATTTGACCCAGACACACGAGAAAAGGGAAACGTAGTTTAAATATATTTTTTTAGGCATCTCCTTGTATGCTTCCGCGGGTGCTTACCTCAAGGATTGCTTTTGGTGTAAATCAGCTGAGAAACTGTAGACTGTTACTCAATCCACATATTTATACTCGCATATTTTTGTCCTCGACCATCAATTCGACTGGGATGGCTTCGAATGATTCGTATTCTGCTGACGAAAAATTCAATTTGATCACCAGAAATTTACAGGTGAGGGTTTCAGATGTTTATATTCGAATTCAGGAAAAAGTAGATTGAAGTTATGGAACTTTCTCCAATTATATTTCGATATAATGATGTAATGGGTAATTCGCTTATTTTTTCATCCGCGTCTGCTCTGGCGCTACATTATGGCGAAACATATAGGGAAATAGGTTTTCATTTTCAGTAGTTTTTTTTATTATCTGGTATGAATACTTAAGAAAAAGGTATGAATCAAACGCTTTATCACAGAGATCTTTCCAGAGTAGTTTGTGTGAAAACAAGAAATATACGAGACGGGCAATGAGACCTAAAAGATATTACTTCCTTTGAAGGAGGTCTGAAAAGATGAAGTGGAATATTGATGGAAGGAAGGAAACATTCAATACCTCTCAACCTTTTTGTAAATGAGATTTTGCCATCATAGTCTTTTACAAGTAGATAAGTGACTGGATTTTGATATCAGGAGCATTTTATGGTTGGAATTCTTGGTGAATTTTTTATCTATGTAGGGGATTTCCTATTGCAGAATGGTATGTACTTCGAATCTCCACACTCACTGTCCAATTTGATATAATTAGACATATTTCAGATTTTCACCAAAAGAGCTATGTGCTTAATGGCACTTTGCCACAATATGTTGAGTTATTGAAGAGATTTCTGCACAGCCACATACTTTATTATGCATAAAGTTCTTGGATAAAGAGGACTATGATGTAATCTTTGGGACTGTAACTTTGTTAAGAGTTGTATGGGGCTATATAGAAATTCAACCAGTTATTTCTTCAGAATGAAGAGTTGTCTTCATTATAGGGGGGAAACCGCAAAATATTTATATGCTTGATAAAAGAGAGAAACATTTAGTCTAATGCAAATGACCATGTCTTCATCATTGATAACCCTTAAACTCTCTTGAGTGACCAAGACAGAATATCTCCCTATCAGTGGCAGATCTAAGGGAGGAGCCTAGGGGGCCCACCCCCTTTCTTTATTTTGGGTACAAAAAAAAAAAAAAGAAAAACAGAGGGAAAAAAAGCTGGCAGGACAGGCAACAAAAAACCAGGTCTCCCCCCCCCCTTCAGGTCAAGGTTTGGATGCACCACTGTGTACAACATTAATACATTATCAAGCTGATAAATAATGGGAATTAAGAAACATATTGGTTGGGGATTATCATTAGATTCCAAATTCTCTCAAGTAGCATCATAAGATTTGTATAGCAGACAGTAAGGAGAATTACTAATGATATCTTGGGAGTGGAAGGATTAAGTGAGGTGTCCACACATGAGAGGTTTGATATGTTTCTTGTGTGGCTGGGAGAGGGATGTTCAGCTTTAGTAGATCTACTGCATTATATTGGCTAGGCTAATAATGATCACTATATACTGAGATGCTCAAATCTTTATCAGATGACTTGCCTATTCATGGAGAGAATCAATTTTTATTATAGTTTACGTCACATTATGTTGTTTATTATTTTCATAGGAAGTTATTGGTGAGGATCGCTTAAAAACAATTTTACAAGAGAAAAATTTATCTTTGTACTGGGGAACAGCTACAACAGGAAAACCACATGTTGCATACTTTGTACCAATGACAAAAATAGCTGACTTCCTCAAGGCAGGCTGTGAGGTGTGTTACCAGCTTGAATATGCTTATTGGTGTTATGACATGCTTTATACCAGAACAATTTCTTAATTTTTTATTACATTTTGTATTTTTTGTTTTCCTCCTTGTTCTGTGTTAAAAATGACAATGCATTCCATCTAGAATTGATGAAAATTAAGTGCCCCATCCATTCGAGTTTAATTGAAAGCCAACTTCACATAAAAAAAGTTATGTAGTTTTTTCCTCAATATTAACATGATACTGTTGCAGGATTTATTGTCAAAATGAAATTCTCGCCCAGTGCAAACATTGTCCAGTAACACAAAAACTCCCCCTTTATGTGAAATTATCACAAGCCTAAGGAAGGGAACTTCAGTGTAAAAATTTTAACCCTTTAACTCCCAAGATCCAATTGTCAATTCTTCCTTCTTGCTGCTAGACATTTCTTTCTAAGTTAGTTATGAGGATTTGATAAGATCAAGATAACAACTTCTACCTGATAAGTCTGGGTATTCTCATTACCTGTTTGCTGGATGGTGTATGGATATTATAGGAAGAAGTTACATATTTATCACTTCTGGGAGTTAAAGTGTTAAGGATAAAGGAGAGAAAAGTTAATATGGCTTAATAAGCTTTATAGGACTGCCAAGAGATATCACTTCATTATAAATGACTATAAATAGTTGTAAAAAATATTCTGTCATGACAGTATTTGGATCTAATCAATAGTACTAACCACTGAAAAGCAAGAAAGGAATTTGGAGCTTGAATTATATTTATGATACATTTTCCACTGCATAAAATATACCATTATGCTTTTGAACGACTTTTATTGGTACTATAATGGAAACATTTTCTTTTTTTTGTAGGTGACAGTACTTTTAGCTGACCTTCATGCATATTTGGATAATCTGAAAGCACCTTGGGAACTGTTAGCCCACAGAGTCAAGTATTACGAGGAAGTGATTAAGGTTGGATTTTGATGACACTCGTCAGTCTTTTTTCTGTTACAGTGAATTGTTTGAACTATGGAGAAACATTTGATCATTTATTTTGATTGACTAGGTGAGAGTAGTCCTGGGAAGAACTTTAGTTGAAAATAATTATGGATGTTGAATGTACACCAGATGACAACCAATGTCTTAGTTCAAACGTTTCTCCACATGTAACTATTCTTTAGAGATGACAAATCATAAATGGCTTTGTCTATCAAACTCTGATATGAATATGATTTTGAGGTGACATCATGCATTGGGTTTTATCACGCAGGCAATGCTAGAGTCAATCAATGTCCCCCTGGATAAATTAAAGTTTGTGCGAGGAACAGAGTATCAGCTGGACAGGTAATTGTAAACATTTTGTGATGTTCCAATATCATTAATATTACCCAATATCAGCTGCTCTAGAGCTGGTGGTTTGAGACTTCATGTGTCGCTCTCTTTGTTGCCTTCATTCAGCACAGTGATTTATTTTTTTGTTTCCTCTTTGCATTTTCTCAGAGCCTACGTCCTGGACATATTTAAACTTTCCACTGTTGCCACTGAGGTAATGTCACTACTGCTTGACATTTCTAAATAAACAATAGCCTTTATTTGGTGCAAAAATATGCACAGATATTTTTACTGCAGATATTGCCTGTTCCAAGGTGCAAATAGTTTTGTGAGAGCTAAGCTTGTGGAAACTGTGAGTTTCCAGGAACAAATAATGTCCAAGGACAAATATACAAGCATATTTTTGAAAAAAATAGTGGCTATTGTGTTGATTATCCTTCAAGTATTTTGCAATGTTAACAAATAGCTTACTCTTTGCTGGTTGGGATGTTTTCTTTTTAGTGTTTTCTGGTACAACTTTATGAACAAACAAATATTTCTGTTCTTTTGTAACAATCATAAAATGTTCTCTCATCTTGAATTAAATTTTGAATAAAGACTTATGGTAGTGAATGTATGGTTTGATAATAGGAGAATATCACTGGGTGATATCTTAAGATATCCCCAAGTTTTAGCTGAGGAATATTTGGTAACATAATGCATTTAGATTAGTCATACATGAGCAAAAATATTTGATGCATGATGACTCAAAATGTCATTAAAATGTTATTTTTATTTTAAAAACCTTCTAATCAGAAAATCTAGCCATTATCATATACATGTAATCAATTTAAATTGGAAATTAATGCATTCTCTCTAAATCAGATGTTATGGATCTATTTTAAGTGATTTATTTGGATTTATTTCTGTTAGCATGATGCAAAGAAAGCTGGTTCAGAGGTTGTTAAGCAAGTCCAACATCCTCTTTTGAGTGGTCTATTGTACCCTGGACTTCAGGTATTGTAGTTACAATCTTTGTATTTATTTTATTATCACATAATCCTTTAATTCCCAGAAGTGATTGACAGGAAACTTCTCCCTAAAATATCCATGAACTTCCAGCAAACAGGTGATGAGAAATACTTTTAATTAACTTTATTGGGTGGAATTTGTTATCTTGGTGTAATACCAAATTCTCTTAACCAATTTACAAGGAAATGTGTAGCAGCTTGAGGGGAGGATTAGCAATCACATCTCCAAAGTTAAAGAACTCAGTCTGGCACTTGTGCCATAAAGTGATACTCAATACACTTTCTTGATATTGTAACTTGTATTAAATGGTGATCCCAGTATTGAATGGTATTTGTGTCATGTTGCCAATAACATCACAGCAAACCTGAGCAATCAGTCTCCGCAAGTCCAAATTGTAACATTCCACTGACAAGGAACTATTCACTTTTTCCTGATGATGATCTTGCTCTCTAGTTGTAAATACCTCAATCAGTGTTTATGACAAACCTCAGTCCTTTACAGAACTAACTGCTCATGGTCACACTACACAATGAAATGTTTTTCATGCATTCAAACAAATCACCCATTGCTTTTTAGTAAATATTTCAACAGTTATTACATGTTTACAGATCACATTTGTCAAAACTACCCATTTTTACATATCTCTTTTTTTATACAACAGGCTCTTGATGAAGAATACCTCAAAGTAGATGCACAGTTTGGAGGTGTCGATCAGCGCAAAATATTCACGTTTGCAGAAAAGGTAGTAGATTCTGTTTGAGTACAGACATCTGAACAAGTCCATCATAGTAGTCATTTAATATGTTCTCAAAATTTTCATCTACCTGTTATCTTCAGTGTTATTGTTTTACTTAACATTATATTTCCATCTGTTTTTCAGTATCTTCCCTCTTTAGGTTATGCCAAGAGAATTCATCTTATGAACCCAATGGGTAAGAAATTATCCAGAATGTTGACAGACATCTAGCCTGTGGTTGTGGGCCTAGGATTTGTTGATCAGCTTTAGAAAAACTTTACAGACTGGCCAAATTACATTTATCAATCTACTCAGTTGACAAAACAAAATTATCTTGTAAAACCCCCCACCTATGCAGATGATTTGGCTTTTTTCTTCAATCTTGCTGGCAAGGTATTGTACAGTATACCTAATTTGGTTTTTGTAGATTGTAAATGGGGCTAAAGCCATTTTACTTTTGAGGTCCAAGGGAATGGAATGGGCTAGCCAATAATATGAAGAACACTGAAGAAGTTAATAGTTTTAAGTGGATACTTTTTAATATGTTTCATACAAAATAGTTTTGAATAACTCTGAATATATTTTGAATTCAATTAAATTACAGTAACTGTAAATAAGTTTCCTTAGTAACAAGACTTATTACGTAACAGTTAACATTGTGAGTCTCAATTAAGTATGTGTGTATGTATGTGTATGTACTCCTGTATCCTAACACCAGCAATCTCCATTTATCATCCTTCTTTGTTCTTTGTACCCTCATTTCTACTGATGGTTGTTTGGGCTAATTTTCTGTTCCCTTGATTTTCTATGTAGTGCCCGGTCTCACTGGTACCAAGATGAGCGCATCAGATGAGGTCAGTTTTTATTAAACAATATTGATATCTACCTATTGACAGAGATGAATAGCTGGAAAGTTTTTTTCTCAAGGTTATGAAGTATGCAGTCACAACAGAGAGCCACACATTTTCCCATTCAGCTTGATATAATTCAGTCAATAAGTATTTTATTACATGACCACTGCTCTTACCCTCTCTTTCTTTGCGTATTTAGCAAGGCTAAATGGCTTTTTCCAGCCCTGCTCAAGCCACCATGTTCATGTGGGTTTTTTATTGAAAGCATGGTGATTACTTTCCAAAAGACAGCAATAGCAGCAGCAAGTATGGATGATTTGTGCACCATCAGCTTTATTAGTGTTGTAATTAGATCATTCAATTAATTTAAATTTTTTTTCTCCAGGATTCAAAAATTGATCTTCTGGATGGTGCTTCAGTTGTTAAGAAAAAGCTAAATAAGGTCAGTGATAATGCTGTCTAGGGTTAAACAACCTTTGGCTTTGCTCTGTTTTTAAAAATGGATCATTTTAAATTTTTTATTTATTGTTATTTAGGGAAGTTTATGTGCATTACCTCACTTGTCTCAGATGTCTCAATTTCCAATTTATGTGTAATGAATAATTTGTTCCAATTGCTTCATGTTAGGCATTCTGTGAAGAAGGAAACATTGAGGAGAATGGTATTCTTGCATTTGCCAAGTTCGTGATCTTCTCGGTGTTGGAAATAAAGAATAAAACAGGTAGGTCAAGATTAATAATCTGGCCTTCAAGGCAGTTAATATATACAATTACAAACTACATCTTCCCCTCCTTTCCCTCCCTTCCCCCCTCCTCATCCACTCCAAAGGATCTTTAGAAACTTATTCCCTTCTCTCAATCCTGAGTCCAGCACGTTGATCATTACACTAAGAGCACCATCTTTCTGAAGAACAAAATATTTTGTCCCTAAAGTACAATTAATTGAAACAAGTGTGAGGCAATTTTAATTAAGTAATTTTGTTTCCCTTGGGCTCAGAATTTGTGATAGAAAGAGCTGAAGAAAATGGAGGAAGAATTGCATTTAGAAATTATGCATCACTTGAGGAAACATTTGCCAGAAAGGTTGGTCTATCATCAAAAACATCTGTTATTTAATATATCCTATGAATTTTGTTTAGAATGAAATTTTATGTAGTAGACATCACATGTATTGCTGCTTTTTTCATTGGTTCACCTCACCAGGAACTACATCCACTTGATCTGAAAATGGGAGTTACAGCTTTTTTGAATGAGGTATGTATATACTCCTTCCCTTTGCGTGGATATTAGTTGTACAAGGTTGGTGAATTATTTAAACAAATTCTACTACATGTTGTTATCTTTGTCGGGCATTGTGGCTCATTTCGTGGGCTAAAATGGAGATTTCTGAGGCCAAAAATTGAGATTTCCATGGGCTAAAATGTATTTTAATACAGTTTATGTTCTTGGGCTTAAATATGTTTTGGGCCCTTCTCAGAGTCATTGTAACTCTTGTGTTGCTCAGGCTCAAGCTGAAATGACTGAGTCTGCTCAAGTAAGTAAGTATGCCCTTGAAAATTAACGCAACTAGGTAATGTGTTATTATATAAGTTTACATATCAGGAACCCAATCACTGCTTTAACTCGGGAAAGAGCTGTACCAATATTATGTTTCCCTACTATTTGTTCACCAATCATTAATGTCTGTTTCCTTCTAAAGCTTCTTGATCCCATAAGAAAGAAGTTCCAAACTCCTGAACTACAGAAGCTGATGAAACAAGCATACCCTGCTCCAAAGAAAGCAAGTAAGTGAACAGGGTTCATTAAGAGTATATTTATGCCTCACATACTCTGCTGCTATCATTTCTCTGGGTGTTTTTCACGACTAGGGGTACCACTGTACCTTCACCTGGATAATCACAACACAGTCAACTGTTACTCTGTGCAAGAATAGTACTGTCTTCAGTTTACTTACTAGTCTACTTTGTAGCTGTTGAAGCACAGTGCCAACTAAAATGAAAGTAACTAGTCAGTATTTATAACATTTCTTTGTTATTTCTTGAATTTCAGAGGGTGGAAAAGGTGGAGCAAATGCCACTCCTGAGAGAGCTGTTGATCCTTCAAGGTTGGATTTAAGAATTGGAAAAATTTTGTCAGCAAAGAAAGTGAGCGCATTGAGTTTTCATTTCATTTTATTATTCCCTTTGTGATATTGTTTGAAATCAAGGGAACCTTGTTCAGAACAATGTTTTCAGCTTTCCTTGTGAGGTTAAAACCTTTTGCTCCTAGGAGAAGTTTACTATATTGCTCTCTGAGATGGAAATTCTGTCATTTTTTTACTTCCTTTCATTACAGCATCCTGATGCAGATTCCCTGTACTTAGAAGAAATTGACATTGGAGAAGAAAGTATGTGATGAGATCAGCTTTACAGAGTTTTTTTTTTCCTTCCTCAGCCTATTGCTCCTTGTTTTTGTTAACTCTTTAATCCTTGAGAGTAGTAAGCATCTAGTTTCTCCCAACAGTTTCACCCCTTAATCAAACATTAAGGTCATGAAATAAAGAAAATAATTGCAAGGCCAAGAAGCTCTTGAGGGGAGCAGGGATGGCACAGTGGCGAGAGCACTCACCTTCCTCCGCTGTGGCCCAGGCAGGACCCAACGTCACATTTGAGTTGAGTTTGTTGTTGGTTCTCGTCCTTGCTCCGAGGGTTTTTTCTCAGGGTTTCCAGTTTTCCTCTCTCTGCAAAAAACCAACGTTCAAAGTTCCAATTCGACCTGGAGACAGTGGATAAGAAGGGCCACCTCATGGGTTGTCCGCTGCTAAATAATTATCATCATCGTTATTATCATTAATAGTATCATTATTATTATTATTATTATTATTATTATTATTATTATATCTATTTCTCCTTATAAGTATCATAGGAAATGCATAAAGAACAGTACGGAGAACCTGCAAACTGATCCTAGGGTGTGGAGGCGAAGGCAGTCATGTTGTGCTCAATGCTCTGTACCGTCACGAGTACTCTCAGGATTTTATTTAGGTATGAATGCTATATTTTGGTTATTTTTTTTTTTTCCAGAGCCTAGAACTGTTGTAAGTGGTTTGGCAGAGTACGTTCCATTGGAGGAACTTCAAGACAGACTTGTTGTAATGATGTGCAACTTAAAACCTGTTAACATGAGAGGTGCGTTTTTTTCTTAATTGTGGAAAATTTGATGCCTGGACAAACAGTTTTCACCTGCACCTTTTGTCTCTGAGTGAGCAAGAATACATTTTCATTTTACGTTGTGGATTTCTTATGTCAGGCGTCACGTCAGAAGCGATGCTCATGGCGGCATCTGTAACAGGGTAAGTTTATGCTTGTCATTTTATAAGTTGAAACCGACTGTGATTTAAAAAACTATTTTAGAAAATAGCGTAGCAGAGAAGCCTGTTTCGATGAAACTATTTTAATTGTAGGAAGGTTTTTGTCGTATTATTGCAAGGTACAGCTAACTTGAAATGATAGTAATATCTGGACGTAAGTTTATTGGAAGTGAGAAGATTGATTTCGGCAAATCTTTACTCTTAGTAATCTCAGTAAAGGGGTGAAAATAGTAGCTAAGAATGGGTTTGGAGAGGGGGGGGGGGGCAAGGACGCTCTTACTTACAATCAAATTTATGGACATAGGCGAAAAAATCAGACTAATAGCCTATGGTTTCTGTTTGTAGTACTGATGGTAAAAGACAAGTTATTCCTCTAAACCCGCCAGCTGAATGCAAGCCTGGTGACAGAGTCGTGGTGAAAGGCTACGAACATGAAACTGCCGGAGGTAAGGTGGAAGAGAATAAGAGAGTGGCTTACAACCAAGCTGGTTTTCAAAAATTGCGTTTCCAGGATTTATAAGAAACACGTAGACTCGGTGGTGACATTAATACTTACAGAGTTTTAATTAACCGCAGGGTTTCTTTTTCAACCCTCTTTAAAACTAACGAAGTATGGAGAATCAACGAAAACTTCACGCCGCCATATAACAAGCGGTTTATATGATCATTGCTTAAGTAATTTACATTTAAGAAAAAGAGTGCATCGATAGTTGATTAACGAATGAAGCCTTTATTTATCCATATTGTTCATATTGACCAACGCCAAATTAAGTGAAATATAAAACAACTTTCCATCTTATATTTGTCGTTTTCTCTTTCATTTAGAGCCAGATGAACAACTGAATCCCAAGAAGAAGATTTTTGAAGCCTTAAAGGTTAACAATTCTTTAAGCTGTTATTCTATGACCTTCTCGCAACATTTACAAGTGCACTGTAAAATCAACAGCGGGGCGCTTTTAGACTCGGTGAGGTCCTACTTGGCCTTGCTCACAAGCAGGTCCTTATCATTAGTAATGCTAGACGCGTGTTTCTTCGCCCATGGGAAGATTTAAGACGAGTCGGAGGGAGGTTCGCAAGGGGTGGCACTAATAATGAGGTATCAATGCCAGACCCCTGGCAGACCTCTCGCCGACTCGCGTTGCTCAAGGCCTCGTACTTTCCCGCGGGTAAGCCGCGGGTAAAGAAATGCTGGATCAATATCAGTATCTGGGCAACTGCCCACCTACCCCTCCCCTAACCCAACATTAACCCTAACTTGTTATCAATTGACTGTTGTTGGGTTAGGGGAGGAGTGGGTGGGCGATACTGATATTGATCCGAAATGCTCGTGCCTAGTTGCCAACATGCTCGAAGGCCATTCTTAGCCGGGGAGTCTGGATACAGAGGTCTAGATTTAAGTCCTGACCAGGTCATTATGTTGTGCTCTTGGGCAAGACGCTATACTCATAAATGGACACTGGAGTCTTTGGTAGTGTACCAAACGTATGAACAAAGAACCCTACTCGTATAATTTGCTAACGAACTTTAAGGGTCATATTAGTACGAACTCAAAATAATGACAATGTTAAAAAATGAAAAATGTTTTTGTTTTCGTTTTCTTTCAGCCTGACCTTTGTACCTCTGACGATGGTGTCGCTGAGTACAAGGGAAGTCCATTGATGACAGCCGCTGGCCAAGTTACTTCAAGTCTCAAGAACGCACAGATCAGTTAACGATCGAAACTTGGGAACTTAATGAAATCGTAAAATTGTTGTCACGCTGCTCATGCTAGACTGATATGTCGTCAAAATTCAAATGTGGTCCTGTAGTGTAGTAGCAAATTTATATTTATAGGTAATTTAACCAGCTTTTACATCATGTTTAAAATGGAAGTAAAACCGCTACCAAAGACTGTCGCTTTATTATGTTTGTGGCTTGCACTTTATCGGAAAAAAGTGTTGAAATCAGAAGTCACTGGAAAAAAACTTTCGTCACTACATTTACGGTCCGAATACGTCTTTTCTGCACGATTTTGCTTCTTTCCATCGTTAAAGAACACCTTGATAGGCCTATTCAACTATAGAGACGTTTCTAATTAATTCATAATTTGAAGTTAAATATCTAATCTCCAAGGTATACTTCAAAGTTCTTGCATGATTTTCACAAACCACAAAATCTCAACAGAAGATGGATAACCCTAAGCCTCTAAATCATATTTTTGGTGTCTATTAATATTGATGTCGTTACAAAGATTTAAATAATCTTGTATTAGACCAAGCAAAAAACTGGGGGTGGCTAGCCCTTCGGATTTCACCAAGCCGTTCCACATCAGGAGGCCCGCTAGGTATCTCCCATTCGCTACGGCATTAGTATGCGGGATCAGAGATCCCAATGGAAAGGCGCTTAGTTCGTTTTAAATAGGTGTGTCATCAATGTCTGTTATCATTATGGTGTGTGTTTGCCCTCAGCCTATATAACATCAGGCCAAGATGGAAATTCGTGAATACAAAACGAAAAGAAAGAAAGCAAACAAAGTTGACAGCTTTCTTCTTAAAAAGCAAACAATCAAAACAAAAACCTGAATCAGTATCTTTGAGAGGAGTGTATCATCTCACGCGCATGCGCAGTAGTTATTTCAAAACCTGAATGATGAAATAAATGACGTCACAATTTTCTTATTTACCACATTTCATGCATAATTAAAAACAAAAGTTCCAGAGGTCGTTTGTTTGCATATCAAAAGAGGAACCTAAGTGTTGGTCACAATCTATTCACAGCCGCGTCTCTCAATCTGTCATCTGAGCAGTACTGAGACTAAAATTGTTCATGTAATATATCAAACACGAGGAAGAGTGTTTCATCCGATATCCAAACACCGAGAAGTGGTTGAGAAAACGAGGCGCAGCCGAGTTTTTTTTAACCAACTTCAAGGTGTTTGGATATCGGATGAAACACCCTTTCGAATGTTTGATATAGCTTCTCAAACCATTAATAATTCTTGGAGAAAATCAAAGCAAAAGTTCACCAGATTTTATGATAATTAAGATCACACATCCAAACCTCCTTCACGGTTGTAATTTCCTTTGTTTTCTCAGCATTAATTATTAATGAGTTTGAGAAGTAAATATCCAGTGATTGTACGTATAGTTACTCACACTGCTTTAAAATTCTTAAAATTTCTGAGTTCTAAAGTAAGCTGACCAGGGAAAAACATAAGTTTAAAAGGCGTATCGAGTTGACAACTAAATATTATCAGTGCTGCCGGACGCGCTTTCCTTAGCTTCGCCTGCGGGAAGGTTTGAGATGAGTTGCGAAAAGATTTATCGAGACTCCGGCACTAATAACTAGTGCCAGACCCCTTACAGACCTCTTTCCCGCTTGCTTTTGCCGCGGGCGGGAAGCGCTAATAATGAGCTAATAGAGAAGGGGGTTGGGGGGACGTGGGATTCAACTGTTCATGTTTGATAGTAAATGTCTTATCCTTAAGCTTGAGTGCATCTGGGCATAAACGTTCCAACTGCACTCACCTACTACATTCCCTCTGTTAGTTGTGCATTTTTGGGGGCCTCAAGAGAGACTTTCTCGTCGGTTACAATCCACAACTAAGTACACAACTCGCAGCCTTTACCTATGGTTACATCATAATACCCTTTTAGTTGGATAAAAAAAGGTCTTCGTCACAGAGAAATTCCACGCATTTCTTTGCTCCAACGCCCTCAGAGCTCTTCCGCTTAAAGAACCACAACCTCTACATCAAAGAGAGGAATTAGAAATTCGATGGTATGGCGAGATTTAAAAGATGTCTGTGTAAACAAGGCAAACGGCATTTATTATGATTGCATAAATAGATATGAAGACATTTGGCTTTCCGTGATGTTTACTAACAGAAAATCATTAGTATCTGGCTGTGTTATTTATCGCTTCAATGATCTTTTCTTGTCACGCAAGAATTTTGTTCCTGTTTCCCTCAGCGTATAAAATCTGGGCATAAATCTTAAAGTTAAAAAACGAAAACATTCAATCCAATGCGAATAAAGAGGTTTATTTTAAAGCCAGCACTTCACTCAAGAAGGAGTTAATTGTAATGAATTAAATTAATTAAATTGACAGACAATCAAAAAACGTCCAAGTTAATAACACACCTACTGAGAAGCTTGTACCCGCCTCGATATTAAAACCATCTAATTAAGATTAGAATCAACTGGTTGAAAAATATTGATTTAAAAGCCCCTAGAAAAAGTTAAGATTTCAAACAAGGCACTTATGATAAAGGTCAAATTCTAATTTCACTCCTAACGCAGTAAAATATTTCATTTGTAAAAATAGTCATGTTCAGGAGTTCGCATTGTCAAACTTTCGGATCAGTTACAGCGCATAAAACCCAAATGCGGGATTATTTCATTCTTCATCTTCTTCCTCTTCGGACCTGACGGGTTCTGGCTCCGGTTCGGGTTCGGGATTTGTCGGTTCTTCCCCGGGCTCGTGCTCTTCCTGTACTTGATAGCGATCTGTTACCTTTCTAGGTTCTTGTACATCAACATCATCTATTGACGCTTCCACCATGTCTTCCATTTTCTTCATTTCTTGCTCGATATCTTTGATTTTGTCCGCATAAGAATCGTGTTCTTGCGTCAGGTCATCGATGATGGTTTCTTGTGGCTGCACTTTGCGCTCGGCTTCTTCTGCGCGGGCAATAGCTTCTTTCAGCTGTCCCTCTAAGAACTCCAACTTCTCTAGCAGCTCCTGTTCTTTTTCCGCAGACTCAGCATCCCGACCTTCCATGTCTCTCAAAGTGGTGCTTGTGCTAGAAATACCGTCCTCCAACTCTTGGCATTTTCCTTCTAAGTATTCAGCGCGTTCTTTTGTCTTCTCCACCTCGCCCACAGTGACTCTATATTTTTGCTTCGCTTCTTGTAGACGTGCATCGGATTCCTTTGCTAATTGCATGGCTGCAAGAACCCTCTCTTCCATGTCAGTCAGTTTTTCGTCGCTCTCGCGGTCTATCCCTTCCAGCTCTTTGCAGGCGACCTCATGCTCGCACGAAATTGCCTGTATTTCGGCCAATCTAGCCTGTTTCTCTTCCAGAACTTCCGTAGTTTTTGACAGTTCATCTTGAACGAGGCGAATTCTTCGTTTGAATGAATCTGCTTCGCCTTCATTTTTGTCACAGGCTTCCTCTACCTCTCGAAGCTCGTTCTTACAGTCATTGCATCGATCTTCGGCCTTCTCGATCTTATCCTTCAAACCCTGTAGCTTTCCTTTAACTTTGCTCAATTTGATATCAGCCATTCTAAAGAGTTCTGGAGCTAGAAAGCAGAGATTGCAACGCACAGAAAAACAGCCGCACCGCAGAGAGCTAAACAAAACACGACGTGCGGAACGCTCCTTGTGTTGTGTTTGTAAATGCAAATTATCAAGATCTCATAGGTGTGGGCCTTTTGACGAGCAGAGATTGGTGGTTTCTCGGCTTCTCTTATCTATTGAAGCTCGACTTACTTTTGAATTTTACCTGTTAATCCTACTCCTGAAAACACTTCCATTCCACTTTTGATTTCTTATGAGTTCATCAAAAAATCAACCGGGTAGTTGCACAGCCAAAGTGGTTTGAGTGGATTATTTTGTCATGAGAGTTTTCCTGCTCGCAGATGTTGGAGCTTGGGCAGTCGTTCATCATGAATGGAACTTCATTTACGTAAGCAAAGTTGTTATTGTCGGACAGTAACGAGAGGAAGTACTGGCGTGACCAATTTAAGCGGTCACGTCTCAAAAAGTTTGTTATCGCTCAGAGAAAGACAAATGTTTTCATTTCGAAATGTATTTGAACAATTGGACGAACGATTTCAGAATTTTGTTTTTTTGACCTCAGGACAGTTTTCGCGCGAATACAAAGTATTTGTACGATAGCGACCTACCGCCTTCTTATGTACATTATTAAATCGACGCAAAAAATCACGCGATTTTCTTTCCAGTCTTATTTCACTTCGTTTTCAATAAAATACAAAATGACAACAGACTGAATTTAAAAAAGTACTCCATTAAAGCCTCATTAAATAATCGATTTCTTTCATATTTGAATAAATGCTATTAAAATAAACAGATACTTTGAATTACTTGACTACCACCAGATGTTAATCCGACAGTGAATTCACTATTCTAGCAAGCGATAGAAAAATACATTTTACGCTTCAATATAATCCCCGAAAGGATTTCATTCACTTCACACAGATAAAAGTCGACTCGCAGTTGAATCTTCCATGGCAATCAATTTTCAGAGCTTAGCTGATTTAAATGCCAAATCCGCCCACACCTCACTTCGCTCATTGATCTAGAACAAAGCAATAGGGTTTTAAGGTCATGGTGCGGTTCTTTCAATTCATCATGATCAGTAACGCAAACCTAGTTATTTGGGTGATGGAGACTGTAAAGAGCAGGAGCCATTGTTTCTATGCGCTGGTTACAATGAGCATTTTGTTTACAAAATGGCACCTTCACATACCGCCCGATTAAAGAAAGGTCATCGCCAAACAATAACTTATGATTTTATTACTACTCCAGTTCAAGGTTACTTGGAAAATAACCAAAAAAAAAAACAAACGTGCATAAATGTCTAAGAGAGAATATGCTTTATCTAATTCAATTTGAATAAAACCAATCTTTTCGTTACCATGATGGTATCGCTAACTAAAAGAGATGATTTTGATTAACAAAATGCTGGAGGATGAATCTATCTACAATTTGTATTATTTTTTCCCCCGTGCAAACCAAATATGTAACCACTGGTTTGGGTTTGATTGTAAACATGTTTCTTTTCTGTTCATATCATCCTCGTGACTCTTTCCAGTAATTTTTTCTGAGGTGATTTACGAAACTTCCCCAAAGACGAATGCACCGACGAATACGCCCTCTCAGCGCTCAGTCCCAATACACGAAAAATTACCTTAATCCTCGTGAACAGTGCAACAGTGAAACTCCTTCAAGACAGAAAAAAACTGCCCATCCTGCAGATCGTGAAAGGTCTGGGTATGAGACCATAGAGAGCCTTATGAGGGGGGGAAGGCATCAAGTAAAGTGACAGGACCAAAATCCCCCAACCTCTCTCCCCCCACAGCCAGTCAGTAAATTAAGACGAGTCCCTTAGTTTCCCGCGTTTTAATTGGATGAGTGCCCTGGCTCCAACAACTTCTTCACCTTGCTCGAGGGTTCACTGCGTCACTTACAGGTTTGAGGTTTCCATGGTAACTAAGTATAGCCAATCAGATGTAACGAGACCTGTTCAGAGCACTTAAAATTTATTTCAAGCACACTTCAACTGTGCAGTGTGAACATACCTAATTGTATTTTAGAATGAAAATTGTTTTCATTGAAGATTACGATGAAGTAAGATTCGAACAACCGTCAGTTGCAGTTTCAACGTAAAGACAATTCAGGTTGGTAAGTCATTAGATGCCATAAATTCATTTTTCGGGTAGCTTGATTTGTAGGTTTTCAAAACAAAAAATTCTTAAATTTGTGCCAAAGTCTGGCAAGGTATCTTGCGAACAAAATCGATTCGTTCTTTTTAGATTATCCGTTGCCACCTAACAAGCGCTTTAGAATAGTTTATCATGATTTTACTTTTATACAATTTAGATTTTTTCGCACGGGTTCATTAGTTATATGGGACATGATGTTATATTCTGTATTTTTCTTAAATGAAAGAAAGATTCCGTGACTCGGCATTGTTATTTTCAAATCAATATTTTTCGAGTTGCGTCGAGCGTTTCCAAGATATGACGCTTTCTTCAAAATATTACATTTCTTAATGATCTTTATCCTAATGTTCGTAAAAATTGGTTTTAATAAGAGCAAATGGAACGGAATTGATATCTGGGAATAGAATTTTCATCAACGTTTGGGTTGTACCTGGATTGAAACATTTAACATTCTCCGCCAACTTATTAATGTTCTCTATTTAATATTTACATTCAGGCGGCACAAATAATTAATTTATGATCGAAGCTTGGCACTTTTCTTTCTCTTTTGTTCATTTTATCATTTAACTTTTTTTGTTTTAAGCTTTTTCACACACACGAACACACACACACACTTACAAAAATCACTTTGAATTAAAGATCAAAGCGATGTCTTAGTTGTACATTTTTTTTTTGGTGAGCACTTCAAACTTCAATTAAACTTCGTTTCCTAGCAATTACTGCCTCAGAATTTTGTACGTGATCGGTTGTAAAATCAACGGAACCCCATTAAATTTATTGCTCTTAGCTGCGAGTTGACGTTGTCATTCCTGAATAATGCTTACTTTAGTTTTGACAATTATGAAAGAAAACGTTCTCGTAGTTTTTAATTTACGTTTCCTTATCGGGCATATACCACATGTCTCATTTGTTTGGATTTTCTTATTGATTGGAATCCTCGGCAAATGGAAAATGTTTCTTCAATACGGCCAAGTGTAGCTTATGAAGGTTTGAGTGTTGGACGTCTTAACTCACTGAAACTTGCTCTAGGTAGCGAGCTTAGAGTGCACACAACGTGCTGAAATAATTGCAGTTACTGAACACGCTGTAGGAGGCCTCTATCTACGTTGTCGATTTTTAAAGCAAAAGCACGTGTTGCCGGGAAACGTTAAGTTATAAAATTGCCATTAAAATCAGTTTAGTCGCAATTAATTGTGGTCATCCGAACTTTCCTGTTCCCGACGGAGACAGGGAAAATAAATTGTAGTTGTAATTGCGAGGAATTTATTAAGATGTGTATACCATAAATTTATAATTGAGCAAACCAGTCTTCACCGGGAAATTATATGAAAGGGGGCTCATACGATTTTAGGTTTCTGAGTAAACCTTATTCATAGAGGCACACAAAAAAATATTGGTAACTTTTTTTTTTCAGTTTTCAGACACAGTAACCTCTGTAGCTCAATAGTATTGCCAACCTTCCGTCATGTCATCTGATGTTGCCTTGACAACCGCACTGACCATACTCATTATTGTGGACATAAGTGGTAACTGTTTGGTCTGTTGGGTCGTCAAGAGAAATCGGGATATGAGGCATGTTGTATCTGTTAAAGAATACGAAACCGTGTGTCCCTTAGTTATAGGCTTAATTTCGTCTTCAGGGTCCTCATAGTTAATGCAAGCAGTAAGACAGAGGGCCTCGGGAACGAGGTCACGTAATGCTCAATTGCGTTTCCAGCTCAACACAAGCGGAAAGGCATGCGCAGTGAGATGTTATCATTAGTGCCTTTCACATGGGAAATCACTAGGCAGAAATGCGCACGCATGGATCCCTATGCCTTTGACGAATAGTGAAATCCCCTTTTCGCAGTTAATATGCTCTTTTATTATCCTGAATTTACCGCCTATTCGTGAGAAAGCAAATCCTCATTTTCCTTTTCTTTTTAATCTTACTTCTTTGAAGCTTTGCTGGTATTATTTGAATAATATTGTTTGAATGTCATCTTCACTCCGTAGGACACCGTTTAATTGGCTGCTTGTCAACCTAGCTTTAGCAGACATTACGTTCGCGTTGTTCCAAGTACCGAATCACATTTTAACGTTCACCCCCCCTGACGGGACCATTGGCTCAGCTTTATGCAAAGTGCTCACCGCTGGTAATGTGGCCTGGGTTGGGGCGGCGGCTGGATCTATTACTCTGGTCGTAATAGCATTTGAACGTTACTATACCGTCAGGTGTCCTGTTAGTGGCAAAGGAAAACTTACCAAGAATACAGTGAAGGTGACGGAATAGAAATGTGATCACAATATAATGGTACTAGACTCGCGCTCAAAAGTTTACAGCTTTACATCGGTATTACTGTGCTGACAAGAAGAATTTGATATCTTAACCCTTAGCAATCAAAAGCTTCTTCTGATCATTTCCTTTATTCTCATGACCTTGATGCTGGATTCAGGGTTGATATTGTAAGGAGAAATTACAGGCTAGACACCGTAGGGGTTAAAGAGCTCAATGTATAGGGTCATTGTAATGGGTCTTCTGTCCAAAAAAGATTGCACTGCAAATCCTATAGTACTAGTCAGGAATAAAAAACGTGTTGTTGATACAATATCTTTTGATATCTCAGGTTATCATTCCTGCTTGTTGGATCTTTGCAGCGGCAGCCAACATACCTCTTTTCTTAGTTACAAAATATGATGAGAAAACAGGAGACTGTCAGTGGAACTGGCCTGAAGACTGGATGGGTGCGGCGAATGAGACCTCATGGCTTGTGCTGTTGGCCTGTATTCCTTTGACACTGATGATCGGCTTATACTCGAGGGTCGTCTATGAATTGTGGTTTAAGCCTCGTGATGGTCCTGAAGTCGTTTGTAGGTACAAGGTAATGATGACTTAAGACAGTTCATCTCGTATCACAGAAAAAGATGAATAGCTCAGCTAACTCGGTCAAGCGGGTGGAAAGTAATCAGCGAAAAAAAAGTGAAAGAAGATCTTTCTCTGTGTTTTCTTGGGTCGACTTATTGTCTTTGCGTATTTCTTTTCATTCTTGCGTCGTACGAAGCTAAGAAAGAGGGGAGGGTCTTAGACTAGGTATAAAACAACTTCGTTCATAGATCCGTACCAATGACGCTCTAATAAAATGCGATTGAGATATCATTCCTTCGCCTACATGATATCTGAACGGTCCTACCGAGAATTCTGACGTCACCGATTGAGCTTCAACTCGCTCACCCAGCTTTCCCAATATCTCACGCAGACAACATAACAAGATATTTTACGCGTTCCTGTGGATTTTGCTATTATGCAGTGGTGGGTTTCACACTTAGGAATAATATGACCTATCGTTAAGGCTCAGAATTATTAAACCAACTTAGTGAGGAGCTGTTAACCGAGTGGTTCATTCTATTCTACCTACACTCTTCTTTTTCAGGGAATACTGAGAGTGCGCAAACGAGTCACATTGAGTGTAATCACTGTCAGTGTTATCTTTGGAATCTGTTGGATCACAGGCCTTCTTATTTACGTCTTGAGTTACTATGACATTCTTGTGTTTGGTTCGGCTTCTCACGCCGTTTCTGACACTATGTTTATGGTTAATTCTTCTGTCAATCCTTTCGTGTACGCGCTGCTCAACGAACGTTTCAGGCAGAAGATCAAGGCAATGTTACACTGCACGTGCAAATCAAAAAGATACTCCCCTGCAACACACGAGCCAGCAACGATAATCCATCATAAGCACCAACTAAATACCAAGTAAAAATCAAAACAATTCAGAGGAATTCACCATATTAACAGTGCATATTTTGAAGTATTTTTAATCTATAGCAACCCGACCCACTTCCCACTAATTAGATCCTCTCTAGAAAATAACCGCGTGGTGTTTAGATCAGTCCTACGATGTACTTAGAAATATTAAGTTTGTAACATGTCTTAGATAAGTGTCGAAGTTTTGCCGATAAAGGCTGATTGCCCAAAGTCCTAAACATGATCCAGGTCTATAGGTGGATAGGTCGAAGCTCGCCACACAATCATTACATGAAATCATTGTCCATATAGGAGAGGATGAACCAAGAGAGACCGTCCTCTTCTTTTAAAATATGCGCAACTCCCTTAGCAAGAAAAACTTAACATTACATTTTAGGGTATGGGTTCTTGTTCGGATAATCAGTTGCACGGAATGATGTACATACTGAAGCGCAAAGTTAGGCGCCTCATTCTCCCTTGCTCGTGTGTTTATAGTTTTATTTAAGTGGCACTTAAACTTGTTTCTTTTGCTTAATATTTGATTTTTGAGAAGAAATAACAACGATAAGAAATATTCATCGTTAACTTTATCATTATGAAGTATCGATATTTCTAGAAACAGCATAGGAACAACTCCATACCATCCCTGACAAACAGTGGCAAACGTGATTTCGCGATCAAAGAGGAGTCTGTTATGAGGTGATTGAATTATTTCGTGGATTTCTTTCACTGCCACTTTTGTTCCTCGAAAATTCCCTTCAAGGACTCTTCCCCACGCGCCAGTACCAAGAACCTTATCGGAGAGTTTGATTTCTTCTCCTGTGATGATCCATGGTTGATCTCCACGGAATATGTCAGTAGTTTGACGCGCTCTATCAATTTCATGTTCTAAGACATGGTTGCGTCTTTGGTATGTTTCAACATCAGCTTGAGCGCGTTGCAAACGTTCTTCACACGCACGTTTCTCGTCACGTAACGCATCATACGCATTTCGTTGTGTTCTGCGCTCGTCCTGCCATTGCTTCTCGAGTTTATCCAGTCGATCAGACGTGCGACTTCGCTCCCGCAATTCATATTTATCATTAAACATTTTCCAAGAACGAGAATTCTATAGGTGTGGAATAAGAAAGAAACGGGAAAATAAGTCGCGTTAGTCTATGAATTAAGAATTTCCATTGCTGACTTGAAGACATAAGGAAAAAGGTTTCATCATGTTCAAGTTTTCTAGTGAGCGGTCTGCTTACGATGTAATCGCATCCTATTCAGGTTCAAGCATCATTTCGAAATTTTAAAGACTTAGACGTCATAGGATAAATGCTTGGTGACTGAATTTGGTGGGGCCGGAGGGAAAATATTTGGCTTTCACTTCTGACGCACGAACAACCATGCCGCTTCCTCGAGCTAAATATTCCTTGTTGGGCCCTTCCTCTTCTAGACACTTCACTAAGAATAACATGGGATTTACCACAGTCATTTTTATGTTCTTTCGTTTCAAAGAAGCACCACAATCAATTTTGAATTATTTCGTCTCAGAGAAGCACGAATTACCCTGACAAGTTCGTATCTTTTTTTTAATAATGGTACTATGTATGTTCGGACGGTGTAGCCATAAGAGAAGTACTCGTGCAAATAAAATTCACACGAACAGTTATAACTTAGATGCAAACAGTATTAGCTACTGGTCAGCGGATGAGTTTTTAGAACAGCTCCTCGTCATGGCTAAATCAATTTGGTTGTAGAATTGAAATAACAAAAATAAAAAACTTTATGTTCGGTTAGTCGCTGAGATTAAATTCTCATATAAAACCTTCACAACTATGTCACCATCTATACCGAGTCTATAGTGCGAGTATCAAACTGCTTTTTGCGAGCGTAGCGCGAGTTAAATTTTGGTTAGCTAAAACGGAAACGGTAAATACCTTTTTAAAACACGTTCATTTTAAATACAACCGTTTGTGGCTGCAAACTTAAAGAATCACATAACACTGAGGATCTACAACGAGGAAACTTACCGTATTCTTCATGTTTGATTCCTTTCAATCTACTGCGAAAGTCGCAATTCAGATTCTTTGAAGAAACAGGCTTGCAACGTGGACATCAACTGATAAAACCCTCACCTAACGTTGCTAACACATCCTTCAACTTGATCGCTCGCTCGTGTGAGAGCTTCACCAGAAAAAAACAAGGCAATCACATGGCGATAACAACACTTAAAATCTGGCCAGAGGTCACAATATTTTTACCTTCAAGACCGCTTCCTTTAATGTTCATTTTCCACCCACTAAAAGAGATGTTTTTGATTAACAAAATGCTGGAGGGTGAATCTATCTACAATTTGTATTATTTTTCTTCCCTGTGCAAACCAAATATGTAACCACTAGTTTGGGTTTGATTGTAAACGTGTTTCTTTTCCGTTCATATCATCCTCGTGACTCTTTCCAGCAATTTTTTCTGAGGTGATTTACGAAACTTCCCCAAAGCCGAATGCGCCGACGAATACGCCCTCTCAGCGCTCAGTCCCAATACACAAACAGTGACCTTAATCCTCGTGAACAGTGGAACAGTGAAACTCCTTCAGGACAGAAAAAAACTGCCCATCCTGTAGACCGTGAAAGGTCTGGGTATGAGATCATCGAGAGCCTTATGAGGGGGGAAGGCATCAAGTAAAGTGACAGGACCAAAATCCCCCAACCTCCCTCCCCCCACAGCTAGGCGGTAAATTAAGACTGGTGCCTTAGTCTCTCGCGTTTTTATTGGATGAGTGCCCTGGCTCCAACAACTTCTTAACTTTGCTCGAGGGTTCACTGTGTCACTTACAGGTACACTTCATCTGTCCAGTGTGAACATACCTAATTCTATTTTGGAATGAAAATTGTTTTCCTTGAAGACAGGGATGAAGTAAGATTCGAACAACCGTGGGTTGCAGTTTCAACGTAGAGACAATTCAGGTTTGTAAGTCATTAGATGCTATAAATTTATTTTTCGGGTAGCTTGATTTATAGGTTTTCAAAAGGAAATCCTTAAATTTGTGCCAAAGTCTGGCAAGGTATCTTGCGCACAAAATCGGTTCATTATTTTAGATTATCCATTGCCACCTAACAAGCGCTTTGGAATAGTTTATCAGGATTTTACTTTTGTACAATTTAGACTTTTTCGCACGGGTTCATCAGATATATGGGACATGATGTTATATTCTGTATTTTTTCTAAACGAAAGAAAGATTCTGTGACTTGGCAGTTTATTTTCAAATCAATATTTTTTTTCAGTTGCGTTGTGCGTTTCCAGGATATGACTCTGTCTTCAAAATATTACATTTCTTAATGATCTTTATCTTAATGTTCGTAGAAATTGGTTTTTATGAGAGCAAGTGGAACGGAATTGATATCTGGGAATAGAATTTTCATCAACGTTTGGGTTGTACCTGGATTGAAACATTTAACAATCTCTGCCAACTTATTAATGTTCTCTATTTAATATTTACATTCAGGCGGCACAAATAATTAATTTATGATCGAAGCTTGGCACTTTTCTTTCTCTTTTGTTCATTTTATCATTTAACTTTTTTTGTTTTAAGCTTTTTCACACACACACACACACTTACAAAAATTACTTTGAATTAAAGATCAAAGCGATGTCTTAGTTTTACATTAATTTTTTTTGTGAGCACTTCAAACTTCATTTAAACTTCATTTCCTAGCAATTACTGCCTCAGAATTTTGTACGTGATCGGTTGTAAAATCCACAGCACCCCATGAAAGTCATTGCTCTTTACCTGCGAGTTGACGTTGTGATTCCTGAACGATACTTACTTCAGTTTTGACAATTATGAAAGAACAACGTTCTCGTAGTTTTTAATTTACGTTTCCTTATCGGGCATATACTACATATCTTATTCTTTTGAATTTTCTTCTTGACTGGAATCATCGGCAAATGGAAAATGTTTCTTCAATACGGCCAAGTGTAGCTTAGGCGGAAATCATGAAGGTTTGAGTGTTGGACGTCTTAACTCACTGAAACTTGCTCTAAGTATCGAGCTTAGAGTGCACACAACGTGCTGAAATAATTGCAGTTACTGAATGCGCTGTAGGAGGCCTCTATCTGCGGTGACGATTTTTAAAGCAAACGCACGTGTTGCTGGGAAACGTAAGATCAAGTTCGTGATCGAATCCTTATTCTTTATTCATTGAGGAAAGTTTCGTTGATAAATTAAGGTGTTGTTGCCTATTGACAGTTTATCCAACAATTTATGTAAAGTATGATTGACATTTGATTAGAAAAATGATTATGACATATTCTATTTTTCTACCGGAAATTCTCAGAAGTTGCAATGCACCAACCTGAGCTTAGAAAAAAGTAAATTTTGATTGTTTTGATCATGCTGTTTCATACTATTGTTTTCTGAACGTGAGTCACAAAAGACCACGTCTGTATTCAGTTCGTCTTTTGAATTTATCTAAATCGGATATTCAAGTTATAAAATTGCGATTAAAATCAAGATCTGAGTCATATACTATACAGAGGACTCAAATCTATTATTGGTGGTCGTCCGAACTTTTCTGTTCCCGAAGGAGACAGGGAAAATAAATTGTAGGAACAGACATATACAGTAACAAGGAATTTATTAAGATGTGTATACCATGAATTTCTGATTGAAAAAACCAGTTTTCGTCAGGAAATTATATGAAAGGGGGTTAATAAGATTTTAGGTTTCTTAGTAAACCCTATTCATGGTTGCGCACAAAAAAATATTTGTAACTTTTTTTTTTCAGTTTTCAGACACAGTAACCTCTGTAGCTCAATAGTATTGCCAACCTTCCGTCATGTCATCTGATGTTGCTTTTAAAACCGCACTGGCCATACTCATTATTGTGGACATCAGTGGTAACTGTTTGGTCTGTTGGGTCGTCAAGAGAAACCGAGATATGAGGCATGTTGTATCTGTTAAAGAATACTCAGCCGTGTGTACCTCAGTTATAGGCTTAATTTCGTCTCCAAGGTCCTCATAGTAATGGCATGCAGGAAGATAGAGGGCTTGGGAACGAGGTCACGTAATGCTCCATTGCGTTTCCAGCTCGATATAAGCATAAAGGCATGCGCAGTGAGAAGTTATCATAAGTGCCTTTCACATGGGAAATCACGAGGCAGAAATGAGCATGCGGGGATCCTTGTGCTTTTGACGAATAATGAAATCTACCTTTCGCAGTTAATATGCTCTTTTATTCTCCTGAATTTACCGTCTATTCGTGTGAAAGCAAATCCTCATTTTCCTTTTCTTTTTTGCATCTTACTTCTTTGAAGCTTTGCTGGTATTGTTTGAATAATATTGTTTGAATATCATATTCATTCTATAGGACTCCGTTTAATTGGCTGCTTGTCAACCTAGCTATAGCAGACATCACGTTCGCGGTTTTCCAAGTTCCGAATCGCATTTTAACGTTCACCCACCCTGATGGGACCATTGGCTCAGCTTTATGCAAAGCGCTCACCGCTGGTAATGTGGCCTGGGTCGGGGCGGCGGCTGGAACCATTACTCTGGTCGTAATAGCATTTGAACGTTACTATACCGTCAGGTGTCCTGTTAGTGGCAAAGGAAAACTTACCAAGAATACATTGAAGGTGACAGAATAGAAATGTGATCACAATATAAGGGTACTAAAATCGAGCTCAGAAGTTTACAGTTTATGAGTATGGGCGCCCCCTTCAGAGAAAGAAATGCCAATGAACCGGCAAGAAGCAAAAGTGTAGCGTACTCAGAATCGGCCATTAATAACCACCTAACATCAGTATGCACATTTTCTACACTATTCTGTATTCAGATTCCAAGGTGCTGACAAGAAGAATTTGAGACCATCACCCTAAGCAATCAAAAGCGTCTTCTGATCATTTCCTTTATTCTCATGACCTTGATGTTGGATTCAGGGCTGACATTGTAAAGAGAAATTAAATGCTAGACACTTCTAAGGGTTGAAGGGTTCAATGTATAGAGCCATTGTAATGGGTCTTTTGTCTAAAAAAGAATTGCACCGAAATTTTAAAAGTTTCTCCTTATAGCACTGGTTAGGAATAGAAAACGTTTTGTTGATTCAACATCTTTTGATATCTCAGGTTATCATTCCTGCTTGTTGGATCTTTGCAGTGGCAGCCAACCTACCAACTTTCTTGGTTACAAAATTTGATGAGAAAACGAGAAACTGTCGGTTGAATTTGCCTAAAGACTGGATGGATGCGGCGAATAACATCTCATGGCTTGTGCTGTTGGCCTGTATTCCTTTTGCACTGATGATCGGCTTATACTCGAGGGTCGTTTATGAATTGTGGTTTAAGCCACGTGATGACCTTGAAGTCGTTTGTAGGCACAAGGTAATAATGATTTAAGACAGTTCATCTCGTATCACAGAAAAAGATAAATAGCTCAGCTAACTCGGTCACGCGGGTGGAAAGTAATCAGCGAAGAAACGGTGAAAGATCATCGTTGGCTGCGTTTTCTTGGGTCGACTCATTTTCTTTGCGTATTTCTTTTCATCCTTGCGTCGTGCGATGCTAAGAAAGAGGAGAGGGTCTTGGACTGGGTATAAAACAACTTCATTCACAGGTATTATTCCTTCGCCTACATGATATCTGCACGGTCCTACCGAGAATTCTGACGTTACCGTTTGAGCTTCGACTCGCAGAAAATAACATGGTGCTTTACGCGTTCGTAGGGATTTTGTTATTATGCAGTGGTGGGTTAAACACTTAAGAATAACTTAGCATATTTGTAAGGCTTATAATTCATAAAACAACTTAGTGGGGAGCTGTTAACCGAGTGGTTCATTCTATTCTGACTACACTCTTCTTTTTCAGGGAATACTGAGAGTGCGCAAACGAGTCACATTGAGTGTAATCACTGTCAGTGTTATCTTTGGAGTCTGTTGGATCACAGGCCTTCTTATTTACGTCTTGATTCACTATAACATTCTTGTGTTTGGTTCAGCTTCCAACGTCGTTTCTGACATTATGTTTATGGTTAATTCTTCTGCCAATCCTTTCGTGTACGCGCTGCTCAACGAACGTTTCAGGCAGAAGATCAAGGCAATGTTACACTGCACGTGCAAATCAAAAAGATACTCCCCTGCAACACACGAGCCAGCAACGATAATCCATCAAAAGAACCAACTAAATACCAAGTGAAAATCAAAGCAATTCAGAGGAATTCACCATATTAACAGTGCATATTTTGAAATATTTTTAATCTAGAGCAACCCGACCCACTTCCCACTAATTAGATCCTCTGTAGAAAATAACCGCGTAGTGTTTGGATCAGTCCTACGATGTACTTAGAAATATTAAGTTTGTAACATGTCCTAGATAAGTGTCGAAGTTTTGCAGATAAAGGCTGATTGCCCAAAGTATTAAACATGATCCAGAACTGACAGTAATCTTTTCAGTAAGGTCTGTAGGTGGATGGGCCAAAGCTCGCCACACAACCATTACATTATCCATATAGGAGAGGATGAACCAAGAGGGACCGTTCTCTTTTTTTATCATATGCGTACCTCCTTTAGCTAGAAAAATTTAAACACTACATTTTAGGGTATGGGTTCCTGTTCGGATAATCAGTTGCACGGAATGTTATATTTAGGTGGCACTTAAACTTGTTTCTTTTGCTTAATATTTGATTTTTGAGTGGAAGTAACAACGATAAGAAATATTCATCGTCAACTTTATCATTATGAAGTATCGATATTTCTAGAAACAGCAAAGGAACAACTCCATACCATCCCTGACAATTTACTTTACAAGGTATAGTTGCTCGAACAAGCATTTAATAAAATTCACGGAAGCTTCAATCACGTGCGAAACATGTAAGATGATCTCAGACTTAAAAACCTAGTTCTAATGTCTCACGTGGTCATGGGCTCTAACACATTGATGACGTCAGTCATGGTACATCGTGTAAGCGGATCTGGTGTGATGCACTGCTCAGCCAACTCTCTCAGGTCCTTGTTCCACATCAGTGCAATTTGTCGCTCTCTTTCAGCAGGATTAGGTGTTTGGTTGATGCAGAGTTCACAGAGGAGAACACCAAAGCTGTACACATCCATCTGTTGGGAAGCAAACATGAAGAGTTGTAGATCAATGTCAGTATCTGAGCAACTGCCCGCCTACCCCTCCCCTAACCCAATAAAACATTTGATAAGATAACAAGCTGGGGTTAATGTTGAGTTTGGGGAGGAGTAGGCGCGCAGCTGCTCAGATACTGAAACTGATCCGATTTTGTCTGTTTTTTTTTCTTTGCAGTTTTATCCAAAACAAATTATTAATTGCAAGAAAAAGATTTCAGGGTTGGGAAAAAATTGTCAAGCCAAATAATTAGTCGACAGGTTTGACGATCTTTGCTACGTGGGTTTCGCTAAGCTACTCTTTGACTCAGTCCGGATAAAAAGCGACTGTTATTGTCTGTCTAATAACCTCAAACCGAAAAACTCGGAATAAGAAATCCTAGACACTGATGTTTATGAACGCACTTCTCTATGATATTTTTATATGATAAAACCTGGATAATGGAGAGACTAGACGGGTAAATTTTCCATAATTGTTATCACATTTTTTACCTTGGGGCAGTGTCTAGAACTGTTTGCTTCAGGAGCACAGTAAAACGGATTTCCCGGATTCTCTGACATCTTGCTTCCCATGAACTCCGCTGACCCAAAATCGCAGAGTTTCCCGCGCCACTTGTCACCTTGGCGCCAAACCATGACATTCCCGCTGTTTACGTCACGATGCAGTATGGGATTGGGTCGAAAGCAGTGAAGGTAGTTCAGACCATAAGCGACATCAAGCGCCAGTATCCTGATGTATCTGTTGCCTAAGGTTTTCTCATCTTTAACAAGTTGAGACAAGGACATGTCCATGAGTTCCGCCACTAAGAGGGGTTTGCTGGTACGGTAATCAGCCACAGCTAAGAACTGTAAAATACATGGATGTCTCACTAAAGTGGCAAACGTGATTTCGCGATCAAAGAGGAGTCTGTTATGAGCTGATTGAATTATTTCGTGGATTTCTTTCACTGCCACTTTTGTTCCTCGAAAATTCCCTTCAAGGACTCTTCCCCACGCGCCTGTACCAAGAACCTTATCGGAGAGTTTGATTTCTTCTCTTGGGATGATCCATGGTTGATCTCCACGGAATATGTCAGTAGTTTGACGCGCTCTATCAATTTCACGTTCTAAGACACGGTTACGTCTTTGATATGTTTCAACATCTGCTTGAGCGCGCTGCAAACGTTCTTCACACGCACGTTTCTCGTCACGTAACGCATCATACGCATTTCGTTGAGTTCTGCGCTCGTCCTGCCATTGCTTCTCGAGTCTATCCAATCGGTCAGACGTCCCTTTTCTCGAGTTTTCTAACGTTTCCAAAGTCCTGTCCTTCTCCAAAAGCAGATTATCTTTGCGTTTAAGTTGATCTCGGAGTTCAATACTCTCATCTCGAGCTTGCTGCATTGCCTGGTCCTTCTCTTTTAGTCTTATCTCTAACTGGTCGAGATATGCCAAGCCTCTTTCCTTCTCTCTGTTTAATCGATCGACTGAAAACTTTCGTTCAAGACTGATCTTATCACAATGTCTTTTCTCTTCTTGAATAGTTTCCTTTTCACGCTTTAAAGAGTTTATCTCGCGTTCTCTCTCTCTTAGAGTGCTAAGATTTTCTTGCAGTTGTAGCTTATAGCGTTCATTTTCTCTCTTGAGGGACTCAAACTCAACTTTAACATCTAAGTCAGCATTGAATGCTTCTCTGGAATGATGGCCGTTTTTCGTTTGCTTATCCAAATTTTCCATTGTGCTCTGCATTTCTTTCACAATCTCCTCTTGTTCGGCTTGCTGTTTCTGTAACAGCTCAACTCGATCATTCGCTTCATTTAATAATCGTTCTTTTTCTCTTAGCTCTGACTCTTTTTCGTCTATTCGTTGAATAAATGTTTGCATTTTCTCTTGAAAAGACTGGATAACAAATTCCTTGCCTTCAATGACCTGCTCCTTTTCCTCAATGCGCTCCAAGTGACGTTCTCGTTCAACAGTCAAACGGTCAAGAATTTCCTTTCCTTTTGAAAGAATTTCATCTTTTCCATGCAGTTCTATCAATAAATGTTTAATCTTTGCTTTCATGGCCTTCTTTTTACGGGGAATGTGCTCTTCAAGGTATGTTTCGGAAAGTTCTTGATCAGCTTTGCTCTCCGTTTTCAAATTATCTCGCTTTTTCTCTTTCTTTGGTCTGGCTTTGGCCTTAAAATTGTCACATGCTGGGATTTCTTCATTAGATACCGTGTTTTCGTCATCCTCGTTTCCAACAACTTGTAAAGTTCTCTCGACATCTGAAGAGTCCTGTGAGCTGAATTCTGGGATGACTTCTCCCATTTGTTCAAGTTCTTTTATGCTCTGAAAGATAAAGTTTTTGTAAGAGCATGTAACACTTATCTGAACTCACTGAATTTGTGAAATCCTAAACATCCACCAACCGTTTTCAAAATTAAGGTTTCGTTCACGCAATCTTATGAAAAACCCTCCTGAAAGCAAGGACGTTTTTGAGGCGGGGGGGGGGAGGGGGAAAGGGGGGAATGGGGGGGGGGGTTGATGTAAGCCAACTTGGAAACAGCTGTGCGACTCCGCACCCGCAATTCATGTTTATCATTTAATTATTTTTCGAGGACGAGAATTCTAGGTGTGGAATAAGAGAGAAATGGGAAAATAAGTTGCGTTAGTCCATGAATTACGAATTTCCATCGCTGACTTGAAGACATAAGGGATAAGGTTTCATCGTGTTCAAGTTTTCCAGTAAGCGGTCTGCTTACGATGTAATCGCATCCTATTCAGGTTCAAGCATCATTTCGAAATTTTAAAGACTTAGACGTCATAGGATAAATGCTTAATGACTGAATTTGGTGGGGCTGGGGACAAGCAATTGGCTTTCGGCGATGACGCACGAACAACCATGCCGCACCCCTGAGCTAAATATTCCTTGTTGGGCCCTCCCACTTCTCGACACTTCACTAATAATAACATAGTTTTTACCACAGTCAATTTTGCATTCTTTCGTTTCAAAGAAGCACCAATTATCTTAACAAGTTCATGCTATATTTGATCCCTTCGTTTCAGACAATGGTATGATGTATCTTCGGACGGTGTAGTTATAAGAGAAGTACTCGTGCAAGTAAAGTTCCCAAGAACAGTTCTAACATAGATGTAAACAGTATTAGCTAGCCACTGGTCAGCGGATGAGTTTTTAAAACAGCTCCTCGTCAAGGCTAAATTAATTTCGATGCAGAATTTAAGTAATAAACATAAAATTTCATGTTCGGTTAGTCGCTGAGATTCAGTTCCCTTGTAAAGCCTTCACAAGTCTGTCACCATCTACAACGAGTCCATCGTACGAGCATCAAACTGCTTTTCGTGAGCGTAGAAACGGTAAAGCGGAAACGGTAAAGACCTCTTTCAAACACGTTTATCAAATACAACCGTTATTGGCTGCAAACTTAAAGAATCATATGACACTGAGGATCTAAAACGAGGAAACTTACCGTATTCCCCATGTCTGATTCCTTTCAATCTACTACGGAAGTCGAAATTTAAATTCTTTGAAGACACAGGTTTGTAACGTGGAAAGCAACTAGCAGAACCCTCACTTGACGTTGCTAACACATCCTTTAACTTTATCGCTCGCTCGTGTGAGAGATTTATCAAAAGTTATCTTTACAACTTGTCGAGATGCACATCAACTGACTGAGAACCGAGGTGCGAACGTTTAGGGAAAGTTTACTTCAGTCGCTTGTTGTTAAACCTTTGATAAGTGTTTCAAATGCTAATTATTATTGGCATTGCGTTGTCAAACTGCACGGTTAACTTGTCATGGACAAAAGACCTGTTCAAGTCTAAATTATGCATATCGCGCTCAAAATACACGCAACGTAATCGTTAAGAAAACAAGGCAATCACATGACGATAACAACACTTAAAATCTGGCCAGAGGTCACAATATTTTTACCTTCAAGACCACTTCCTTTGATATCATGGCCTTCATTTTCCACCCACTTTCCACTTTTCTCTATTCTTGTGAAATAAACCTCTTGAATACAAAATAGCCACTCAAATCGGCATTTTCAACCACATAGTAGTTCAATAGGTCTTGGATTGAAATGCGGCCAGGTTTTTCAAGTATTCGCGTCACCATTTTCGCAAACCACCCCACATAATGGTAGCCATTGCTTAAGGCTACATAGTCTGCATACGCACCTGTTGGATCCGAAACGAAGCGTGATCAAGTAAAATCACACCGACATTTCTTTGGCTTTTCTATGACGCATGAGTTCATCATGATAAATAATAAGTTTTGTTTTTTATTTCTTTTTTCACTTTTTTTTGGTATTAAAATCCTTGAAATCATAAATAAACTCAACGTTAAATAAGATGGTAAGATATTTAAAACAATAAAAAACGCACAGATTTCCCTCCAAGAAAATTGTACCGGTGTTACACCAAAGTTCAAAGTTACTCTAACAAGTTCGTGAGAACGAAGACATAATAAGGTTTCATAAAGTAGCTGTTCTTCCATTTAACGACACCAGTCCCAGCGCTCGTATGGACTCCGATTGCTGAGTTAGCACCGCGATGACGTCACTGACAGAGGGACGCGTTTCAGGGTCTGTTAGGACACACCGCATGATGAGCTCTCGGAGAACACCGTTCGTTACCAGGCCTATTTGTTGATGGATCTGTTGCGGAACCGGAAGCTCTCTGATGCACATCTCGCATAGCAGTAAACCGTAACTGTACACATCCGCCTGGAAGGTGAAGTAGTCGTAACGATGTTAAGTGGGACTTTCAGTCAAGGGATTAAATCGTCACTAGAGAAAGTGTCTCAGAATAGGAGTGTCCCTCTCAATGAATATATCAGATACTAAAGGTAACAGGAGCACTCAGTAGATGTCTGAGTCTAACTTCATGATTAGAGGTGTCCTAAAATAGATTTTCCACAAAAGCGGGAAGTAACAGGCATTACTGCACAAAAGTAGAGGACATTGATATAAAACAAGGGAGACTCAATGAAAATACATGCAGCTGATAACAAGCTCAAAACACTAATCAAAATTCGAATAGGGATCTAAGGTTCCGCGAGGAACTTTTATTAATAATACGTACACATCTTTACCTTTGGAGATTGCTGGGAAGTAAGGGCCTCAGGAGCAGCGTAAATTCTGGCTCCTGGATTGACTGTCATGTATTGGCGCATGAAATTTGCTGCTCCGTAGTCTGAAAGCTTTGCCCTCCAACAGTCATCCCGTCTCCATAACAACACGTTTGAGCTGCTAATGTCTCTATGCATGATGGGGAAAGGTTTGTTAAGATGGAGATAGTTAAGTCCTTTGGCGACATCCAAAGCGAGACAGATGATCTCCTCTTGGTGCAGAGCCCGCTGTTCTAAAACTCTCCTCAAATCCGTATCGAGTAGTTCGGTTATAAACAAAGGGCTGCCATCATCATTCGTCGCACCAATAAACTGTAGCAGGTGAGGATGTCGGCATCGTGATGCGATACTCATTTCACGCTCAAAAAGTCTGCGATTATGCGGTGACAGAATAAGATCGTGAATTTGTTTCACCGCGACTTGACAACCGCGAAACGTTCCTCCGTAAACCTTTCCCCAGGCCCCTACACCCAAACTGTTTTCAGTGAGAGTTACTTCCTCTCTTCGAATAATCCAGTCACGTGGCTCAAGGCGACGATATTCGGCTAAGGCGTCTTGCGCCACAGAAACCGCTGATTGCAATTCTCGCAGTCGACGTTCGCTTTCGGACGCGGTTCGTTCACTCTCTCGGATTCGTTGTTCGTACTGTTCGCGCTCTCGCCCCATGGTCTCTCTATTCTGTTGCACAATCATTCTTTCTTCATCTAGTTCTCTCTCCGTTGAGATACGCCTGCTTCGCTCCTCGTCCACTTGAATCTGCAGGTTCCTTAACCTTTCCTCCAGATCTCTCTTCTCCTCGCGTTCCTGCTGTAAAAGATCGAGCTGTTCAGCAATAGTGTCCTGCTTTGTTTGAATATCTTCTTGACTGGACTGACTCGACAACCGTTCACTTTCCAGACTTCTCTCCAGCTGGGTGCAGGCATTTCTCGCTTGCCGCAGCTCCTCTTCCAGCCTTAATCTTTCCTGCTGTTCGTCACTCAGTGTTCTTTGTATTTCGAGCAAGCTTGTCTCCTTCTCCCTCAGTTGCTGCTCTCTCATGTCGCGCACAGTTTTCTCTTCATCCAGCGCTCGACGAACACGAACAAGATCATTTTGAACTTTGCGCAAATGGGAACCCGCTTCACGCTCTTGTTCGAGCTCTATTTGAAGCTGTCGCAACGAAACACGCTCTCGTTCTAGTTCATTATTAATCATAGCTAAATTAGCAGCTTGTTGTGCTAAGACGCGATCCTTTTCCACTACAGTGTTTTCTAAGACTCGAAGACGTTCTCTATCGGTGGAATAACTTATCTCCAAGTCTCTCATTCGCCCGAGTTGTCGTTCTTTCTCTTCCTCCATTTCCTGCAGCTTTCCCCTTTCTATTTCAAGCAGCTTCTGGTGTTGTTGTAAGTTCTCCCTTTGCTCCTTGCTGTGCTGATCCAGTAAGGTGATTTGCGACTGCATTTTTGTATGATGGAGAAGAATGTCCAGCTTGACAGGTTCAAAACCAGTTGTTTCAGGTTTGTCCATGTTAAGGACCTCTGACGCCTTCCTTCGTCTACTCCGAGTTAGTATGGCGTTTTCTGCTAAGTCATTTTTTTCCGCCTGACATCCCGATTCAGCCTGCTTTACACCACTAGAGGGAGATACTGGTTCCTTGGCCTGTATGAAAAAAAAACAAAAACAAAAGAAAAAAACCAATTATTTTTTGACGAACGTCACCCTTTCAGTTTTAAGGGTAAACTGCCATGTACAATTGTTTCATCACTTTTCCACGTCGGTGACCGCACCTACCCCATTCCCCCGAAAAAGAATCGACATTCTGATAACTGTAACGGTTTCCCTCAAAATATTCATTGATTAACCTAATGGCTCCTTTTACGACCCTGGTCCTATTATTGCAATTCTTCCTCAATGATTTATACACACAAAGGAAGTTTACGAAACACGATATAAGAATTCCTCACCGGAGGAGACTTTGTTTCATTTGTGAGAAGCTTTTTCCGAGCATGCTTTTTACCTGCGTAAAGAAATGAACATAAAAAATTATCTAGTGCTGACAAAAAAAAGAAGTAAATAGGGTCGTTTAAGTCCAAGCACATATATATATTGGTACGTGAGCAAAAAATGAGGTTGGGGGTGGGGAGGGAGAAGGGGCGGTAACCTAAAATTATCCAGGATGAATAACAAGACCTATAGTTGCATCATACTACATGTAAGAGAAGCAGGTCAATGTGTAGCACCTGTGCAATTCCATCTTGCATGCATTCTTAGCCTTTATTACGATGTACATGTCATGGCTGCAACTCAGTGCATGTGCTGCAACATGCAGAGTAGCAGAGTAGAGATGACGTTTTACCATGAAAGACTTAAAAAGGTTTTCATAACTTGATTCCGAAATACGCAAAAAGTACGAGAGTGATATAAAAAATGAATAAGCTATATACATGAATAAACACAAAACAAACGGAACTATTTCAACTAAATTACACAGATTCCCAAGTTCGCGGCATGTAACTAAAAGAGTTCTTCACGAAGAGTATTTTAATTACACGGATTATTTTAATAACAGAATACAACAGTACCTTTGGGTGTTAGTATTTTCCTTTGCTCTAAATTGATCGGGCTTCTTGTGCTCAGGCTTCCTGTGCTCGGGCTTCCAGTGCTCGGGCTTCCAGTGCTCGGGCTTCCTGTGCTTGGGCTTCCTGTGCTTGGGCCTTCTGTGTTTGGGCCTCCTGTGATTGGTGGATGTGGACTTTGTGGCTGTTCACAAGGAACAACAACATCTTGCTTCTTGTCGAAAAATTCCTGTGCTTCCTTTAAACTTGGGATAACAACAAAAAAAGCAATTTTTGAACACTCCCATTGTACAAAAATGTTCAATTATTTTTCTTGGGAAGGGCAAGCAAGTTGATGTTCATAGGTGCATTTGAAGGGGAGAAAAGGGCAGGGCTGAGGCTTTCTAGCCTGCCCATCTCTAGCAGCTCCTTGCTGCACTACCTAATAGCTAACTTCCAAGCTACAGCTTCCTCTTTCTCTTATTTGTTGAAAAAGCCCCTAAGAGTGACCATTCTGGTAGAATTATTTTAGAACAACTCCAAAGATGGATGTGTGCAGTTAAGTTAAAGAGGAGCAATATCAATACCCTCCCTCCCACATTTAAAGCAAAATGAAATATTTAGCTAATGTTTATTCTCTGTATACCTCAGCTCACTCCACGATAGCTGTTCAGCAAAACGGTTCTGAAACTGAAATATGGCAGAAAAATTTACAATCAATTTTGCTCTTCAGTTTGGAAGTTGGAAGAGTAAGTTTCTCAGCTAAATGCTTTTCTGACTAATATCTTACCAGCTCTGGAGAAACTATACATTCATTCCCCAGTCAAAGCAAGTGACTGTAAGTGCTTTTTTGATTGGTAATTGAATGCTAAGTAAAAGCATTAGCAGAAAGAGGCATTAAACCTTGAGTCACAAAATTTGGATCATCAGTTAAACACACTGAGATATAGAATTAGAGTATATAATTAGAAATAATTATTTATTAATTATTGTGCAACACAACAATGATAGAAAACCCACCAATTCAATTAAGTCAGCTTTAGTGTCTCTCGGTATCACTTTGTAATTCATCACCAGAACAATGTCCCTCTTTCTTGTATCTGGTACAAAATATAATTGATGTATAGTATCATTCAAATCTACTAAGTTGACAGTTTTGACTCAAAACTCAATCCTACAAACCTATAGACAATCAGAGGCAGGGGTTTCAAAAAGGTTTGAAGTAGGCATCAGACTTTGCAGAAGTAAGTGACTGTGAAAAGTTCATTAAGGGCTTAAAGATAATTATTTTGACCAAAACAACCAGCGACATGTTATCGAGTAGCTGGCAGTCGTTGAACTGCTTTAAAACCCCTGAAGGGACAGTTGAGAACTGAGGCTTGAGGATCAAAAATCAAGGATAAATGAATAAATTCTGCATCATTCTCTATATATGACAGCTGGCATACCTTGACTTTCAGGGTCTAGAAATTTTCCTTGATCCTTACATTTTTCACAAATGGCAGCTGCCCCAGCAGGCGTTGGTCTGGCAACAAGAAGTAAAGGGGAACCCACAAAACTTGCCTATCCAAAGACAAAGAACAAACAGCGGCTGAGACTATCACTTTATGCTACTGTGCAGCATGAGAAGCATTTAGTATATGTCTATTAATGAAAATACTGATGATAAAAATAATGAAGCCACTAGCTGTCATAATTTTGAAAACTGTACTGGAAAGGAATAAACTAGAAAAACCAGAGCATACCAGTAAGTAACATTAGTAATTTACCTTGCATTCTGTTAAATCTTTACAGGGAATTCTGAAGTGGTGCGAAACAGTTTTGGAACCAACTCCTAATCAAGCATAAACACATTTGATAAATTACCTTGAGGGCTTTATTTGTGTGAGAAGCATGCACTTTCCAAATTACAGCTCTTATGACAAAATAGTACAGAGGGTGAGTTTACCTTCATTTGTCTCCATTTCTATGAAAATTTTCTCTGCATATATCTATTAAAAAAAATTGCAAGTACTTCATCACTCAATCACAACTATTAATAAATAATTATTAGTATCAATTGTTCAAATCATGGCATTCATGCAATTTTTCCCCGGTATTTTAAAAATTCTTAATAGAAAAAAATTCATAGTGCATGGTAGATTGCAATATTTTAATTAGTATAGAACTTTAACTTATGTTAAGTGCTTCTGATTATTGTTTATAGTTTTAGCGCTATATAAATTCCTTTTCATTATCATTATCATTATATATGATAGGATGCTATCCCTTCAACTCCCATGAGTTATCAAGACAGAATTTCTCCTTTCAATATCAAGCAGACAAAGGGCGAGAATAAAGAAAAATTTAAATTAGGGGATTGTGAGATGATCCAATAATAAATTCTTACATCTTCACTCACATCAAGAAAATTGTATAGCAGGCAGTTAGTAGAATTACTGATGAGATCATGGCTGTGAAAGGGTTAACACTTAAACTACCATGACTGACCAAGACAGAATCCCTTCTCACAATACATGTAGAGTACCAAGCAGATGAATGATGAGCAGAAGAAAAATATCAATTAATTAGGTAATTATAAGTTGATCTGATACCTAATTCTTGGCATTATCATCATAAGAATTGTATGGCATATAGTAAGGAGAATTTCTTAAAAGATCTCGGGAGTAAAAGCAGTAAGGACCAAGATCACTTTGTTTCTTTGCATTACCAGTAATTACTTGTAAATCAAATATGAAGTACCCCTAACAAACTCATTGCCTTATATATACCTTTACTGGAGCTGATGCCTTTCCTGTGAACTCTCCAATCTGAATGTTACCAACATGAAGGACAATGTAAATTGGCCTCTTCCGGTTCACTGACACAGTCGGAGCAGCTTTCAGTGTTTGCAGCTTCTGTTCCTTTACCTCTTTTTTCTGCTTTGCTATCTGAATTTCTTGCTTTGGTTCCTAATAGGTAAGGAAAATAAGACAATTTTAACCCATTCACAACCAATATCTAAAATGAAAATTCTCCTTACAATCTGTCATACATTTCTTATACAGTTTGTTCTGAGAATTTGATGTACGATCAGATGATAATCCCCTAATTAATATTTTTTGTTATACTCACTCTGCCTGATATTGTATTCATACTGTAAGGAAAAATTATTTCTTAGTCATTTATGGGAGTTAGTGTAACCAATATTTATTTTCTGGTCATAAAACACCTTATAACACTGGTGCATTCTTTGTTTTAATTCAAATTAAGGTGTAAATTGCTTATTAGTCAATTCATTCTTAGCAAATAAGTATAACCAAGTTAATTTGTGCCTTCAATGAAATTCTCAGTTATCATTTATTGGTGTGGTGATGGAAATAACTAAATTTAAACATAAACAAAGGAGCCATGTCAACAGATTAACCTTGCTGTAATTGGCATGGAATAATGAAATGATCTATGATTGTTTGAAACTGGTGTCATGATTTGCCAAAGAAAATTGGGTGGTCCTGGAATGCAAGAATAGTTTTGACTACCTCAATTAAAACTTACTGTGTAATTACTTTTTCAAAATATCCCACAATCTTATTGTCTCTGATACTTACCTTTGATTTTTCACCTGAAGAGGAAGATTCACCAACAACTATTTTGATCTTGTGTTCCAAAGGTTGATCTTCTACTGGAGCTCCCAACTGCCTGGAAGCATTAATTCCCTCTTGTAAAACAGATGTACTATTTCCTTCAAAGCCAACACCTTCATCATTCATCTCCTGGTGATCAATATCCATGGCTTCCTCGATATCAGATCCTTCATTTGTAAGATGAGAGGCTGAAGAAAAAAGTGTTGCATTGAACTTTGCAATTCTAGAGTTTGATGAAAAGTTACTGGAATGATCAAGGTGTATGCCAGGGTACAAATTGTTTGAGTTGTTTCCACTTCTGTAGTGTCCCAAAGGAATTTTCTCCATGCTGGCATTTCCTGCTGTTAGATTTACTGGGCCTCTCTGCCATGTATTGCTGTTAGTAATGTGGTATCCATTGTAGGTTTTTGCACGGTTTTTATTGTGCCTCTGAGAGCTTAAGCTCTTTGATGATCTTGCTCTAAGACTGTGATTACGAGCACTGTCACTGGCTACAATTACTTTCTTTGTTCCTTCACCCTTGTCCCGCGCAAATGGTTCCATAGCTGAACCAATCACATTGGAATTCTCATTGGAAAATCAGCCAAGGTGGCCTGTTTTAAAGAAAGAAGAAACATATTATTAATGATAAAGACAAACAGATTTAATAAAGTGAGACCTAATGGGAGACATTAACAGCAATTACACCCTGATTGTTTCGGCGAGATTGATAGTATTTCCAATCTCTTCTGCCAAAAGTAATAGTTTAATTTATTGTATCGATATATTCTCTTTGAAATAAAACAAATGGTCATTCAATTTTTTTTTCTCTTTTTCACTAACTTCCGGTTCTCACATGAGCAGTTTCCAACCCTGGAAAATAAAAGGCTTTGCTTGTGACCCATTGGAAACAAAAGGCGAAACCAAAACAAAGTGTAACGACGGTTGTTGACGTGTACATAAATAACTCGGCTTAAACCGGATCCAGATATCAACTTGTACCGTAAGAACTTTTGAAACTTTTAAAACCGGATGTAAAACTGACGATAGTTTCGAAAACAAACACGCACTCTAGTCCTTCCAAGTTAAAAATTTTAAATAAGAAAAAGCAACTGAAGGACATACCAGTCTGGTCCGTGTACGTTTTCGGCGCAAAAACCTCCACAGGCAATACCACACCCTCGCTTGACCGTACCTGAAATATCATCTTACATATCTAAGAGCAGATCAAGTGGATAAATGTACAGTTTCCGCTCAGTCCATCGCATTTGATTACAGCGCTGCCTCAGGAAAGAACGTTAGCCACTGTGTTGTTTACATCTGGAAATCTGCGCAGCTCTAATTCGGATCGTTGCGCATATGATGGTTTCAGTTCCGCTGTGAATTTTACGAACAGCCCTTAGCACCAAAGCGAGGCTGAAAAATTTGCTTGCAAAATGGCGGGCGGTTAACGGAGAAATAGTTTTACTCGAGCCACGTATGGTACAGTTGATTGCTCCCCAGTTTCAGGAATTGCTCCGTTTGTTTGTTATGCCTGATAGAAAAAAATGAGTGAAAGCCTGTTGGAAGGTATTGCAATTTCTACCTGAGTATTTGTGAAGTGGGAAAGGAAGCTAACTTCCACACATTAAACAAAACATCAATCGAATGCCTTGCTGCTGCAGTTCACTAATGTCAGTTTTTTTCCTCCTATATAGGCCTTGACAAAGCTGAGCAAAGACCATACTCGGGTTGGAAAACAAATGGCTTTGCCTCAGGTGGTTCTCCGGAGAATGAGTAAGTTTTTGCCGTTCAAAAATGGGTATTTATCTGGTCCCAATAAGATTTTTTTTTTGGATATGATCGTGATTTCCGCTTTATTCCGACCAAGTCGCGATCTTCTGTCATACTGTCAGTTGTTGTCAATGAACGCTTAAAACGATGAAGTGAAGTGACGATAGAAAACTTGCGTTTCTTTCTAAGTGATGCCTGAGGCTTTATTTGGTTATCCAAGCTTTGAACCCGAGGGTAAAAATTTTGTCTCGAATTCGAACCGTTAACTTCGTTTGTTATTATTTAACAGAATTAATTTTCACAAGCTATAACAATTCAACTTCTTAAACTAAAGTAATTTATGAGATGCTTGATCACAATATCCATAGTCATTTGACTTTTAGAATATGAGTGGAATTTATTTTAGTTGTTTCATTTGTGTTTTCCTTTAGATACATGTTAATTTTTTTTTGTTCCTTTGCTTTCCAAGTGATGTTTGTTTGCTAGATGAGGGTGTGAGTCAAAGTTGTAGGCAAGCTTCACCACCTTCCAAGGAACCTGAGAAATGTCTGACAGATGGACACAGAAATCCTAAGGTGTGATTTTTCTCTATTTTACACTTCTTGGGTCAGTTATTGAAACAAGGTCTGATATTGGAATGTGGTTTTTGATGATCAGTAGACATTGAAAGTTCCTCATAGGTGGGATTTTTTGAAGTAATTAGATCTTTCTTTTAGTGCTAAAAAGAAGCCCTTTAGACAGTTTTGCAAAAACTTAATGTTTAGGTGATATTTTCTGCTTGATTTAAGATTGTTTAGAGCTCAGTTTGGGTTAACTAGAGTTGAACTTTGTTAAAGATACATGTAGCTCTCAGTTGGTAAATTTACATGCACATGTACCTCTCCTAATAGATAATAAATGCCATAATCAAAACTATTGGAAAATTCTCACTGGCTTATCACCAGCCCAATTTTAGCATTAATAGGACAGTGTACATGTCATGTTTTTTATTGGACAGTGTATTAGGACAGTTGACAGGTCATGCCAGTGTAAGTGGAGAGCATGTGGCATATGGGCAGGCTGTTGTCATGCATTTTGCACTAACTGTTTTTTTTTTTAATGAAATTGTGGAACTGTTGTCTAGTTTCTCTCTCAAATTTTGTCATAGTTTTGATCAACTGGTAACAGGAATTTGTGTTGTCCAATTCTGTCTGTAATCATACTCCTGATCAACCAATCAGACTCCTTCTCTGCAGTCATCACTTGTATGAGTACAGATTGAATTGGACTCCACTCAGTTCTATTGCCATCAATTATCAAAAGAAGTAATGTGTCAATGTTATTTCACCAATGTATATGAATTGTATGGGTAAGATGTTTGCATACGTGTACATGTAGCTCAATACTTCATTATGCATACTATTCTTGGATAAAGAAAAACAATGTATTGCCTTTGGGTTTGCATCTTTGTTTTACAGTAGTATGGGCTGTGTTGAAATCTGACCATTGTATGATAATGCAAGAACATCAAAAGATGTAATTTTGCTTGTAATAAAACTTTTGACTGCCAGCCCAGGTACAGGCTTGGCATCCAGCGACCATATTAGATTTTTCAAAATAGATCATAAAGACTTGTTTTAATTGTCAGTATTTATTTACACATTGAACTTGGAGTGTAACATTGATTTGTGATAAAAAAAACCTCAAACTTCTCTGTTCAGTGGCTTTACTAGTACTTCCCAGGTTTTCTTCATGAATTTACTCTGCAAGGAACTCTTGAACTATTAAATTAAAGAGAACAAAGGCTTTCATAAGATGTATACAATGTTCTTGGTTGGCTTGGCTCACATATTAGGACATATATACATGTATATGTCCTTGGCATTCAAAGGGTCTTTGCACTTGTCTTAGTGAAATGATCAATCTCTTCCTTTCAATTATTGGCTGGTATACTATCATACACATGGATTCAGAGCACTTTCTAACATTTCAGATTGTTTCAAACAAAGGTCGTTATTATGCTTTTTTGTTTACAATTCCCCAACTTGTGTTTTGGCTTGGGCATCATTCAGTTTTTTTGTTAGTCTTGATTACTTCAGTTAGTGATAACACTGTCTGCAGTGTTAAGAAACTGCAAAATTATCAGGATAAGGGCCTTTCCACACTAGGCCAAACTAGAATTGTCGCAATAAAATAAAAGGAAAAATTTTGTTTGGTCAATTCTGTCAGTGCTTGATCTGTTTGTAAGACTGGTCGGCACAGTTTGCTAAAGGATACCACCTCTAATTTACATTAATTTTAAAATTTTAGAATCCCTGAGTTCTGAAACAAAAGACAATTTTTGCCTCTATATTAAACTGATTTCAGTTCAAGTACATGTTTGTCATAGCTTTTACGACTAATGATCAACAAGTTTAACACAGTTTTGTTTATTTTGTCAATTTTGTCCAGTAATTATCATGGGACAAATGTCAGGGGTGCATTATTTTGAAGATTGTCTGCTTCAGCCAAAATTTGTCAAGCAACAAACAATCCGCACTTGTAAAGTGTTGGTGATGACAGAAAATTTGTCTTAATAAACAACCTTGTTGTTAGTGCATAAAAGCCCTTATTAGGGTCATTTGAAGTCTACATTACATTTAACTGACAATTTTTTTGTACTGTTAGGACTTTGATGCTAAAAAATCATCATTTAAAATTCCCAAGAAAGCCAAACCCCAGACATGGATTGAATCATCATTCTCTTCAAAAGACAACATGTTAAGTGAAAGCCCTCAAACAAGACTGAAAAAGCAAGCAAATAATCCAAGCACTCCTAAGAAAAGGAATTTTGAGAAAGAAATTGGATATCGCATTCATCGTCAAGGGCATATGACTCCAAAAACTCGAGGAAGTGAAGAAGTTGCCACTCCTAGGTCACGATGGAAACATACAAGCCCCCCTGGTTGGCGAGATAAACCAACATGTACCAGAAATGATTTCTCTTCTCAAGGTTTGTAACATTGTGACATTTGTGACATTGTTAAGGTTATGAGTCACAGTTAGTAGATAAGGTTGAGCTTCAAAGAGAAACCTGTCGCTATGTCTAAGTTGGTGATTGCTGATAATAACTGGATTTCCATTTTGAAATGAAAAATTTGTATGTCTATTGTACTTGTATCTGTATAATAACAAAAAATTCTTAAATTGCAGTTTCAAATGCTCACAACGATGGAAAATGCAATGGTTCTGATCCAGATGTCCTTACAAGAGCTAATATGCAAAATGAATGTAGCTCTCTTGTGGAAGAGCAAAAACATAGTCATTCAGTTTTGGATTCCCTCATGGGCAGTCAGTGCAAGGGCAACCAATCCAGTACTAACTCTAATGGTGAAGTTTCAATTAGTAATGACACTGACTCAGACAACAATTTAAGGAAAAAAACAAAACTGGACAAAAGTGCAAATTTAACAAATGATCTGCTCTCTGATGAAAATTATGAAGATTGCTATAAAGATTACTTTTGTGCAAAATGCTCCACTAAGTTGTCAAAGAACAGAAATTGCTCACATTGCAGCAAAGACAATTTCCCTTCACAAGCAGCCACCCCAAGGAAACCTCTTTCACCGGACAGATTTTATAATGTATATGACAGCAAACATCCAAACGTTCAGCGGACATATGGTCGGCAACGGAGAGATGGAACTCCTAAATTACTGCAGAAGGGATCAGTGAGAACAGTGACATCTGCAAAGGGATCAAGTAATGAAGAATGCCAAACAAATGTGACTGCAAAGAAGAGAAAGAATCAGCTGAAAGTAGGTTTGATTTATAAATGTACTACATTTGTAAGAAGAACAGTATGAAGAACATGCATACTGATGTTAGAGTGTTAAGGTTTAAGGAATGCATAGTGAGGCTGGCATATTGCCATCTTTTGTGCATGAGTACACTGAAAGTTAACAAATCAAATGTTCTTTTTCCTTTTCATGACAATGAAGTTAAGCAGCGAAGACTCTGATTCAGGTAGAGTGTACATGTATTGTCATATTTCATTTGATTTTAGCTCAGTTTTTTTGTAAATTTGAGCTTTGGTATCTTTTTGTACCTTATCTCTATAATGCAAAAATCAATTCAATTGTGAACCAACTTTTAAAATATTCCCAGAAATTTAAAAAAACTTGATTAGCAAATGGTTATGGGTAAAATGCCATGATCCTGATGCTTTGATTTTTTCAATATTTTCATTGTGGTTTACTCAATTTCAAAGAATCAAAAGTACAAGCCAAGAGGAAGCGAAATATGAGGCAATCGAAGGTCATTGCTCCAAAAAAAGGTTGGTGACATTCTTTATGTTGAAAATTGTATATATGATGCACCACAATCAATTAGATGATTTAATGATATCATAATTATTGTTGGTTACATTTTGTTTTTAGACTTACTTTAAATGATCAGCATTTGTGGATCCATTTCCATTTGAGCAAAAAAACAAAAAAATCTGGCTAAAAAGTCACTGGCAATAAACTTATACTATTCACCTTTTTATTTACTCCATTACTTTTAAATGATTACCAGAGAACAAGTCTCAGTCGGTCAAATTGTCTGAATAACACTTGATCTGTAACACTACATGTAATCTCATTAAGGATATGGAATGATGTACCTGTAGTGTTTAATTTTCCTAATCACTAACATTTTTTATGAACCTGTTTTTTGTAGTGGATGTCATAACATTATCAGATGAAGAAGAGGTTATAGGTGGGTTGTGTGCATAGTCCTATTAACCTTTTAACTCCCAGATTAGATTTGTAATTCTCCTTACTGTCAACCATACAGTTCTTATAATGTTAGTTCAGAGAATTTAGTATTGGATTAACTTATTATCCCCAAATATATATATTTTTTTTATTCTCATCACTTATCTGGTTGATATTGTATTGATTTTGTAAGGAAAATTCTGTCTTGGTCACTCATGGGAGTTAAAGGGTTAATTTTCATGCAATTGATGCACTTAAAGACAGTTTACCAATTTTTGTCATGGTAGCTCAGAGAACCTTTAAAATTTTGTACTAGTTGTAGAAGAAAAAAACTGAACTACACTGTACTCAATTATTCTTCTTACTTTCTCTTCACCCTGCAGAAACAGAAGCAAAGCTTGTTGTAGAGCAATCTGATATTTCTCTAAAGGAACTTAGCAACTCTAGTGATACTGTTGTCTCAGAGTCACCCATCAATCAGGATAAAGAAATTGCTTTAGAGTCAGGTTACATGAGCACTAGTGTTTGTTCAGACACATCCAGCAAAGGAAAAACATCACCAGAGGTAATTTTTTTTTCTTTTGAAGAGAATTACTCACTCTACCTGGAAAATTGTGATCAGTGTATAAATTATAGCTCCTTTGGTGAGAACATTGTAAGAAGAAAAAAGGGGAAATGTGTTAAACACTTTTTCATGACTTAATAGATGTTTGGTGAAACCAATAAGGCTGGATACAGAAGATTACATGTTCCACAGATCAGATATGTTTATTGTCTTTTAGAGGGAGGGAAATGCCCAGAAGAAATCTGAAAATTTTCAGCCCTATGTCAGAGATGATGGTGAAATAGAGATAATGCTGGGACAGAATGTGTGGATTGGAACTTTGGCATGTAATTCTACTAAACCATTAAAGGTGAATTAAATTTTTAAATTACCAGCTTCATGTAGATTACATTAGTGTAGTTATTAATTTATTGCAATGATAACTGTAACAATATTTCTTGATATAATGATCTTAGAATTAACAATTGATTCATATGTCAGCTTGTGTTCATCGAGATATGAAGCACGTGGGAAGTTTGGAGAGCACAAAAGATACGTAAGAGTTGCTTGAGGTGTAGCTGAGAGCAACTCTAGCTTTTTAAGTGCTCTTCAAACTTCCCAAGTGCTACATATCTCGATGAACACACAGCTGACGTATGAACCAATTGTTTTATAACATTTTCAACTAGATGGAAAATTTTTTTCCTCGAGGGATTTGTTTGCTCATGTCATGAGTGTGCACAATAGGAATATGAAGCACACTCATGCAATTGAATTTGATTACATAAATTTACTAGCTATGTTATAATTGTATTTATGTACTTTCAGATAACTCGCTGTGATGATGAGATTTCGTTTGGTATTGTGATTGGTGAGTGGTTCAGTTGTTCTGTAGACTTGTGTAAAAATCATTTGATGATACAATCAATTGAATTTAAAAAAATTGGAAAAGGATCCAAAGCTGTTTGGTTTTATAGCTTTTTTGGTACTTTGGGCTTTCATTTGAAGGTAGGTCCTGCAAACCAGCACCACAATAAGCAAGTGTCAGCTACCTCTTCATTTGGCAAAACAAAATTCACAACAGGTTTTGTGTTGTTTTTGCAGCTTTTCTGTTAGAGGTATCTTACTTTTCTCTTGTGAAATTAATTTTAAGGGATAGTTTGGGGTGAGTTTTCTACATTAAGTGGTCAATTATGGTATAAAATGGTGTATTTTACTGTTTTTTACAATACCCTTATTGTGTGGAACCTGTATTAAGGGGTCAACCAATTTCTTCTGTAAGTTTTTGCATATTTACTTACTTTCCTGAATCCACCAGAAACCTTAGTGATATAATAGTCAACCAGACCAATTCTGGTTGTATTATACATTCACGTGTACCTGTTCAAAGTTTGAAAGTAAAAATGAGACTCTTTTTGTATTCTACTTTTTTCACAGGTGATAAAAATCATGAGGTTACCATTGTTGAGAATGACTTTTCTTCTTTGAAGGTAAGAACTATGATGAACTGTATTGTGTATTAAATTGTACTAGAGAGGGGATATAAGAGAGCAGGGATTGTCAGAGAAAGGGGGATATTAGAGAGGGGAAAGTATTAGAGAGGGGATACTTATAAGGGAGGGGGCTTGTTAGAGAGGGGGCATATTAGAGAGCAGGGTTTATTAGAGAGAAAGGGTTATTAGAGAGGGGAAAGTATAAGGGAGTGGAAAGTCTCAGAGAGGTTGCTTGTTAGGGAGGGGGCATATTGAAGAGCAGGGTTTATTAGAGAGAAGGGGGTATTAGAGAGGGGAAAGTATAAGAGAAGGGGACATCTAAGGGAGAGGAAAGTCTTAGAGAGGGGGCTTGTTAGAGAGGTGGCATATTGGAGAGCAGGGTTTATTAGAGAGAAGGGGGTATTAGAGAGCGGAAAGTATAAGAGAAGGTGACATCTAAGGGAGAGGAAAGTCTTAGAGAGGGGGCTTGTTAGAGAGGTGGCATATTGGAGAGCAGGGTTTATAGAGAGAGGGATATTAGGAAAAGTTTTATAGAGGGTCTTAGGACTTGGAGAGCAGGGTTTATTAGAGAGAAAGGGTTATCAGAGCAGGGGGACTTAGCAGAGAGGGGAACGTATAGAGGGAGGACTTATAAGAAAGAGGAAAGTATTAGAGAGGTGGCTCTTCAGAGAGGGGGGCATATTAGAGAGCAGGGTGTATTAGAGAGAAGGGGATATTAGAGAGGGGGGACTTACAAGAGAGGGGAACATATCAGAGATGTGGCTCTCTAGAGAAGGCATAGCTGACAGGGCAGTGTTTAAGAGAGGGGTTTCTCATTTTATTTACAGTATCTAAAAATACATGACCATCGAATTTCTCAGTTTAGCATGATGTTTATGAAATTTTTTCTTCAGGTTCATCCTTCTTCAAACCCAGGTCTGATTGTGTTGGGAGTAACTGCAGGCTACGCACTGAAATTAAGGGAGAGGATTGATCACAGCAGAGGAGCTTTCCTTAATCCAGGAAGTGCCGGTAAGTTTTTTTTAAACTATTAATAATATTTTGCTGGACAGGACTATTAAAAAAGAAGAGAAGGGTCCAATTCAATATTACCGTTTGCAATGAGCTGTGCTATTGTGCCATAAATGTTCATGAAATAGCACTTCACTTTGCACAAAAGATTATATAGGAACCTTTAAAAGGGACATCCTAACAAGGAAGTTTTTATTTTAAACAGTGACAGCTGAAAGGGACATTGTTCTTGAACTTAGTGAACATGTGAAGCCAGAGGTGACTGCTGATTTGGATGATTGGGTATGTGCAAGGTTTCAGTAGCACCCTTATCCTAGGCGGAGTAGTGGAAGAATTTTGTGATTCTTACTTTCAGATGTGTTACTGAGCATCAACTTTGTTCGAGAGCTGCGCTATAGTTTATTCTTGCTATTAACTATTGTATTTTGTTTTATTTTTAAGGTGACAGAAAAGTTATCAAAAGAGTTTTCTCAGTTGAGGTAAGTATAAATTTAGACAAAGAAGCAATCAGGCCTCAAGCCTTTAGAAAAATTTGACTTCAATATTATTTCGGAGTTCGTATTCAACGTTTTGACAGTTGTTCCAACGTCATTCGAAATTGCACGTGAAGTCATTTAATGACTTGATAATTGTTTTAAGTTAATGATTACTTTCTGTGCTCAATTTTAATTTTTCAGTACTCAAATTTCACGTCTCTGCACCATTTCGTATTATCAACATGCCCTCAGTCAATGAGCGTGCTAAAATGTTTGCGCGTATATATTTTAAGCCCTTGTCCACTTCCTATTTTGCAGCTTAGAAGAAGCAGAGAGAATTCGAACATACAAAACCCAAAGTCAAAAGCATCAGAAGAGTAAGATGACATCATCGCTTTCTTTTGCCTCTTTCTTACTCCTCTTTAAGGTTTTCAACCATAATTCTGTTGTTGCTAACACAGTTATCACAACGATTGTTTATAGCACCTGTTGCAACCCGTGATGGAGGCAGTCGTTCTACTATTGCTACTCGATCCAAGACGTACAACACGAGAACAAACAGTGATAAGAAGCCAGCGGTAGCAGCACAAACGTACAGTAATTTTATGATGTTTATACAGTTCATTATCATATCTTACATTGGATGCGGTAACAAAAGGACTTATGCCATGTTAAATTACATAACCTAACTATCAACTGAAATGCTAAATAGAAAGCCTCTAGTTTGGAAAATTATGATATTTATCTGTTTTTCGTTGAACTGAGTGTCGAAAGTAATGCAAGATTGTTTTGGTTTTACATCATTCGGTCTGTGATTGGTCTACAAAACTTGCGCTATCCTCTTAACCAATCAGACACAAAGCTAAAACCGATCATGACTTGGTCGCCCACGTTTTCCCGCGTTTTTGATCGGTTGACTTTTTTTTTTAACATATTTTGAGTTCTCATTGGCTAATAATGATGTAAACCTTGGGTTTTGGATTTTCAACACTCATTTGAAAACTTCTCTAATGTGTGATGTGTACTTTGTTGAAATCTGTTGTCGGTTTTTTTTTTAACAGGCTTATTGTTTATCCTCGTCCTCCTCAACCTGGTGGAATCACAGTCACTACAGAGGACGTCGCTTGCCTTGCACCTGGTGAATTACTAAATGATGTCATCATCGACTTCTACCTAAAGTGAGTTTGATTGATGGCAGTTACCCGCCCAGATATATTTTATTGTCTTAAGAGCAACTATTTTCAGGTTTAGAAATCCGTAACAGAGTACATTTTGAGTTATCGCTGCAAAACTAAACCAAAAGTAAATATAACGGCTTATCCGAATAACTTTCGTGAAGTTCGGGAAAACATTTGTGACCTGGTCGCAATTAGTTTTAGTTTTGCATCTGATTGGTTGAGAGGAAAGTCCGTTTGTTTTCAAGGCCAATCATAGCGCGAGGTGAAGCACAAATAACGCAATCTCGATTTACTTTCGACACTCAGTTGAAAATTGCTTTTATTGTTTAAATGTATCTCTGCCTTGTTGTCTTGTACCTTCTCTCATTTACAGATATATATTTTTTGAGAAGCTCTCACCCGCTGACAGAGAACGCACACACATTTTAAGCTCATTCTTTTACAAGCGATTGACTCAGAGAAGTACCAGTGGCAGTTCCAACACCTCCACCAGGTTTGTTCGTCAAGAAATCGATCAAGTTATATTTTAATTGGCCACCTACCTACTTTTTTAAAATCATTTGAATTTCCATATTCTTTTCAAAGCGCACGTTTATTATCGCATCATGAAAGTCGATGAATTTCAAAGGAATTGCTGTTGAAAGAAAATTAATTCGTTTTTTGGATTTATATGAGCGTATTTTAGTATTAGAACCTTATCGCAATTTTGTAGTTAATGTTTTTTTCTTTTTTGTATTTTCACCTCAGCACCTCAGACAGAATGCATTCTCAAGTGCGAACATGGACCAAAAATGTGGACATATTTGAAAAGGATTTTGTAGTTGTACCTATTAATGAAAGGTGCGTTAGAAGGAGAAAAAGAAAAACAGAACTGGAATAATTTTAGCCGCATGTAGAACAAACATAAAAACATTATCAATACACCAGTTAGAGGGTAGCTTAGTAATAGATTGCAGAGAAGCCAAGGACCTATTAAATTTTAAACGCTTATTGAATAAAGAACTACGCTAAGATAATGCAGGCAGTAGTAAGTGGCAAGTCGTCCGCAAAATAAATTTGATCTTTGATTAAAGGGAGTATTTTGGCTATATGGATGGATGTTGTGAAGAGTGAACTTGAGTTTCATTTTACCTCAACAGCTCACATTGGTACTTAGCGGTGATCTGTTTTCCTGGGAAGGATGGCCAAACTCTTGTCAATGAAATCAATGATGAAGACGATGGGAGTGACTCAAAGGTACTTGTTTCTTTTAACAACCTTTCTGATGGACGCCAAGTAGTCCGAAATTAAAATGTGTCTTTTCAGTTAATTACGAAATTCATGTTAAAAAAACAAACAAAAAAACAAACAATTTTAGGAGATCTTAAACAGTTCGAGTTCAGTTTTTTATTAAATCAATAATGCCGCACTGCATATCCTACAAAGGACCTAACTGTTAGCGCGCTGGACCCTGGGTCGGGAGGTCTGGGTTCGAACCTTGGCCAGGCCATTGTGCTCTATTTACGGGTAAGACTCTCACAGCACCTCATTTGGTAGAAATAGGTAGTGGTGGACTTTCAGAGAAAATAGAATGGACAAAATGTTGAGTGGCGATGCTCTTAGTCGTGTTATGTTATAGACTAATGACAGTTGTGCGAGGAAGTAGTAACAAAATTGAATGAAAATGTTCCACTTCAGAATGAAGACCACGATATTAAAACTGGTGAAGAAGCAAAAAATGGTCGCGATAACGATGACGATGTTCTTCTGCTCCGCTCTCCATTTGCAAAGGACCGGAAGAAATCACCCAAACAAAACCAGAGTAAAAGCTTGTCGAAACAGATCATCACATCGCGGTAAGTTTTGTTTTATTGGGGCATTTGATTCAGATTACCTCTTCCATGTGGTCAAATTTTAGAAAATACAGAAATCGATCTAGCCGGAACATTTAAGCTCATTTTGGACTTTGACGCAAACGGGTTCCAATGCTCCGTGTTTTGCTTTCTCGGCGTGAAACTGGGAAATCCTAACACCAAAGACAAGTTATCTTAGCTTTTTCCACAAATAGGTAAAGGAAAGCAACCGAAGTTCACTAAATTTTGTAGATGGAAAGTTCTCTTATTGCATATCATTGAAAAGTTTTTTTTTCGTTGTATCTCTCTTTTTTTCAGACCTTGTATACTAGTTTTTGACTCCTTGGGATTGACGAGATCAAGGTGTCTCTTTAATCTCAGAAAGTAAGTGTTTACTATAAACGTATAAAAAAATTGTTATTTCTGTTTATTTTTAACCGGCGAACTTTCTTTGGACTACCTACATTGAGCGGGAAACAGACTAGCGACGCGGCACATGGCGGAAAAACGGCACCGATCACCCGTGGTTATGTTTAGCTCAGTAGATCAACCTCTGTGAAGATTTTCGCAGTGAACCTGACGTTTTAACCAACATTTTTTTTCTTCACAGTTACCTTCAGTGTGAGTGGAGAGAACGAAAGAAAGAACCTAATACAAAGTCTTTCGACAAGGATGCAGTGAAAGGGAACCACCCAAAGGTAGAAATTTATTCATTTATCTATTTATTTGTTTGTTGCTGATTATGGTCAGTTACGAAAATTTCTGTCGTAATGTTTTTGTAGGAAGATTCTAGTTCTGCCCAAACTGTCAATCGAACGATCACCCATTGAAAATGGTTAAACAACTAGTGTCTAACTGGTACGATTATATTTTGTGTACTCTGATCTTTTCTGTACGTATTTGTCAGGTTCCCGGTCAAGATAACCATTTTGACTGCGGTGTTTACGTGTGTCAATACGTGGAGAGCTTTTTCACGGTAATAGTTGCTTTGTTGATTAATAATTATTCACTGGAATTAAAGCAAGCTTCCTTTCTGTTTACCCAAGTCTCCAGTACTTCATTTTCCAGGCCTGAAAAGTCACGGACTTTGAATAGACTTCATAGAAGGTCATAAGTTCAGCAAGTTCTGGATGTTTATTTGTTTGTTTGTTTTAATTGTAATACATCAGTAGAAACAAAAGGAATTACATATACATAAAATATAATATAATAGAATTGAAAATTTAACATATGGTGTAGAAACCCGCAGAGAAACCAAGATGCTTAAGCGAGCTACAGGCTCTTCATATTTTCTAAAATTGAGGGATCAGTCATATGGCGTGATTTAGGTACAAATATTTTAGGCTAAAAAAGGAAAAAACCCACACACAAAACAACAGCAGACACGTAAACAAACATATAGTTAAGGAACTTGAGAAGAGTAAGAAAAAAGAAAGCAAGAAGGGAGCCAGCTTTGGAGTAATATTCGCAATTTAATAATAATGACGATAATAATAATAATAATAATAATAATAATAATAATAATAATAATTACTTTATTTATCCTGATTAAAGACCGGTCAGTAAATCAATAGTGATTGACTGGTATCAATCGGATACCAATAAAAAAATACATAAAAGTCAATAAAAGCATGAAGTTTACAATTGAATAACAAGATCTTTTTAAGAATTATTGAATAAAATCTACGTTTAACTTGTACAAATGTGATTGGGGCAGTCCATGTTCGCCAGGTAAGTAAATGTTTTGCCCTTAAACTGTGCAAGTGTTGTGAGCTCACGTATATCTCTTGGCAGTTTGTTCCAAGCACTCGCAGCTGAGAATTTAAACAAGGTCTGTCCACATTTAGTCTTAACGCGTGGTAGATCGAATAAAGTTGAATCTCTGAAGGATCGATAATGTCTTTGTGATCGTTTTATTAAGTAAACTAACCTAAATTTAGACTTAAACAGAGAAAGCGTGCTAACATTTGGGGTTTCAATTTTAGGAGAATTGAAAAATTTAGAAGTGGCGTTGGAAAGTTGGAAATAGTGGGTGCCCTGTGTCGTTGTGAATTTCTTTTATAACAACTTTATCTTTTGACCTTCTCAGGATCCAATCACAGACTTCTCACTGCCAATAAAGAAACCAGACTGGTTCTCTTCAATCCAAGATAAAAGAGAGGAGATACGGAAACTTATATACACTTTGAAAACTTGTGCAGAGGTCGACAATGTAACATAAAAGCTATCAAAGGAATACTGATGACAGAAAACTTATGTGGGTCATAAGCTCCGTATATGCTCCGCAAGGTTTATGTATAGAAATAACCGACATCCGTGACCATGAACGATTTGGTAGAAGGTTAAAATAAAAACTTCACTGCTGATCCAACATTGAAACAGGGCGAGTTCAATGCGGATTGTTTTGCATCGACCTTTGGTGCATGTTATTGCTTTATCGGTTAAGGGGGCATAACGGTTGGTTCATGGTAAGATTTTGGTAACTTATTTAAAAAAAAAGATCATATTTAATCAACAATTCAATCAAACCAGCCCAAACTTGGTAAGAAGTACACCCAAGTAATTGCCTACATCATGACATGTTTATAGTAAACATGTTGTTTATTGTAGGTAAATAACTAACAAGTTACTGTGAAGGGCTATTTTGAGGGTTTACTCGGAGCCCCTCACTTTTTTGACATTTCCTTTTAAAATACTCACCAAAATTTTGTTACAGTGGCATTATCCAATCGTATCGAGAGTTGTCGCCTTTTTTATCATTTTGGTTGTCATGGTAACCAATTAGATTTGGCAAATGACAAGTTACTTATAAAACCAGCAGTATTTCAGAAAAAGAAATTTTGCTCAATTAGGTCGCAGATAATTACATAAATAATCTTTGTACCAAATTTGGTGTCAATAGCTGAAATACTCATTTAGAATTATGAGGGGCCAACAAAATTACCCTGAAAAAACCTATTTTTGGAAAAATGCAATTAAAACTTCAGTTTTATCTAAATGTCACTTGCAAGACTAATGACTCCCTAAAATGGCCTTTTATGAATCACAGCACACCTACTTGAAGGTATGCCTAGGTTCTTTCTCTTTTTACTCAGTCTGTACAGCTGTGTAGGTTATGCCTTTGCACATTATACACAGGTCTTCTTCTCTCTACTTAGCATGTCTTCGTACAAGTCTAAATCGTTTGTGTTTTTCTTGAGCTCTGTGCTCTGCTAACTGAATTCTTCCCCTGTCCAAAGCTTTGTCTTTTTTCCTTCCAATTGTGCTTGCCAGGTGAGATTTCAGCTTTCCTAATGACATCAATTTTTTTTTGTTGCACCACAACTGAAGTGCAAAGCAGCACAGGATGACAATTCCCTTTCTTCCATGCAACTCATGCTTGGGACACTTGTTCCATGCCAATGCATCAACAAACTCATTTGCATTCTGGGTGTATCCAGGCAAGCATATGATGAGGAGTGCTGGCTCACTCAAACGATCATAGATTTTCTCAAGGGGTTCCTTGAAAACACTATCCAGGTGATGTGGCTTGTCTGGACAAGGCAATCCCCTTTTGAACTTGCACCATGACAGTATTTGTGCCTTTCTTGGTTTGAAAATTTTAGGCAGTGATTTGGCAGATTTGCTCGCTGCCAACATCATCTTCGCCAACAAAGGTGACTTCTACAGCTCGTGTTTCTTTCCTTCTCTTCGGCACAACCTCTAGTTTCCTGGTTCCCCCATAACCTCTCTTCTTGACGCACCATTCCTCAAAACAGACTGTCTCTCCCAACTTTTAGCATGATTTGAACGATTTGTAACTGGGCTTCATATTAGTGGAAATTTTAACTTCAAGGATCTGGGGCTGGACTGAAGGGTCTCAGGATCAAATGGAATGAGTTTTTGCACAATTTTGGAGAAATGAAACGTGCTAAAACGATTGGATTACCTGTGATTACCATGGCAACCAAAATTGACACTGTACTAGCCTTCAAAAGCGGCTGTTTTTTAGCGGCGCATGAATTAAGCGTAAAAAACATATAATCGGAAACTAGATGGATTCTGGTATCACTTAAAAGGAGATAAGAAAAAGGGTGAATTTTTCAATTTTTCTTCAAAATCCAACCGTAATGCCCCCTTAAGATTTTAAATAGAAAACTGGTTTATGAGAGGTTTTGAAGGGTAGCGATTATAAATAGTTAAGTAGTGCTATTACTTTCTTTCGTTTTTGAGGCACTAAATGTGCATAAGTTATTTGTGAATTTTCAAATTACTGTAAAATTTTACGTGAGTGCAGATATTTATCGGTGGAAAATGGATAAAAAATAAATTTGCATTTTGCCATCTTTTTACCTGATTAAAGAAAAAAAACCTCAAATTTTTTTGTTACTGTTGCTGTTTTAATTTTCTGCACATGTCAAAGTTCACGATCAACGGGAATAAACCAAATCACCAAACTGCTTTAACTTCTTTTCAATATCTGGTCTTCAAGGATACAAATAATTGAGCCACGATTACTTTGTGTATAGTATGTGCTGGTCTCTAAGTTCAAGATTTTTCCCCTTTCCAGAGCGTTCCTATATATCCGTTTCTTACAAATGTTTTCGACGCCCTTCTTAAGTACAAGATGTAGAGACGTAAGGCGAGCAGGCGGACACACGCCCTTAATCATGTCTGCTGTTGAGTGTTTGTGGGCGAAAAAAAATTTATTTGTGTTGAGTTTCCATCAACCGGCTCACGGAATTGTTAAACTGTAGTGATCTGTTTTTCATTTTATTTGGATGGCCTAATCCATCATATCTATTGTAACTTCCTCCTCTGTGTGTGTTGGAAATAAAACTGAAACGTGCGCATGAACTTCGCATGCGGAAGAAGACAATGTCGGCTTCCTTTACCACTGCACCGACGGTTGTTTAGTAAATTCACGCGACTGAGATCGAAGTTTCTTTTTTTCCCACGAGTTGTGCAGTAACAGCAAGATCTATTTTCAAACCACTTGAAAAACCGTAAAGCCTGATATGGTTCTTTGAGTGGTAGGCGTCAAGTGCTTTGATTCTAAAAAGTAGTTTTCACAGCTCAAAACACTTACAACGTATTGATTCTTGGCTGTCGTTTTTTCACAGAGGTTAGAAATATCCACGTATTGTTTGCGTTTGGCTTAATGCTCGACCATGCTAAAATAGGTCAATTCAGAGTTGTTTACTATAGCGCAGTCAGGAGCTTCAGTGCTGATATCAGTCTCTTCACCGAAGATTTCTTAGTCGTACGTCGGCACGCAACGATTATTATGCCACTCCGGAGTTTTCGCATCTTTGCGCGAAACTGGGTACTGGTTTGAATAAAAGGACTGTTACAGACCGGCTGATTGATCTATGGAACATTTAGAAAGCTTGGGTACAAATCGTTGAGAAGTAACATCTACGCTATTCATGGTTGTCCCCGATCTGTGCGCATGGGTGGTTCTGTGGTTAATTACCCTTCTAGTTACTCCATATATAGTCGATCTTGGTATCGTAAATAAACATCGTCACAAATATTTAGGAGGAAAAACTAATCATCCGGAACAATAAAAATTTAGTTTAATGTAAAAATTTATTTTTTTTTCCTTAAGTTAGAATAATCACTTTAATATGTTGCTGTTGTTGACTTCATCTCTATTTGTGCGACAAATTTACTTCAAAACAAACACAGAGCACTATCTATGTTATTTTCCACAAGTACTTATGTAGGTCAATGGTCCTTGATCGATATTCAAGGACGGATTAATCCTGACACAACATCATAGAGGACTGCTGTAATATTGTAAAAATATACGCTAGAGATTTAAAAAAAAAAAAGCATCACCAAGACATCTGAGCCAAAAATAGCTCTGGGTGTAAGTGCAAGTTGGCACGGAAATACGATGATCTATCGCAATTCCTGTTGTCAATCAGATGACGCATTGCAACTACAAAAAATGCATCTCAGCTATAAATTCCTGTCATTGCTTTAAATAGTTCTTTATATTTGTTGTCGTATCAAGAAAGGAAAAAAATATTAGAGAGAACGGATAACTAAAAGTGAACAACAGGAAGTCATAGGTGTTTGGGTCAACTTGAATCTGATTACGTCAAAGCGAGCCATTCAACAACAAAATGACGTAATAGCTTGTTGGTGTGAGCCCGCCGGCCTATCCTCTTACACGTCAGCTGCACTTCATTAACATCACAGTCTTCTTATGAAAATTTCTAGTTTTAAAACTGTTAAATAAAAAGATTCTTGCTATGTGGAATATACAGACCTCGCCTGAACCTTTACACGCATTACCACTTTAAAATAATCAAGTTAAGAATCTTTACTAATCAGTTTTCTCTCACTATAGTTACTAAATTTATCGAAATTTTCCGAACAAGGGATCAAAATCGTTATCTTAACCATTTAAGTCGGATGATTTTCATCTAATCACTAAGGAAGCTTAAAGGATAGGAAGTAGAGAACACTTGAGAAGGCATGCACTAGGAGAGGAACTTGTCGTTTCAGCCCTCTCCTCCCCGCCAGTACATACCCTCAGGGAAAGACACAAATGAAGAGGCAGAAGATCATGAACATGTCTGTCACTTGCTGATGTCAATCCACGATCCTTAGTTGTTATTTTTTATGAGCTACACTCACTCTAAGCATATTGCTTACAACTTTAAACTAATCGCGTTTACCTTGTTTGCCCTCTGCCCTAGAGGAGACAAGACGGAAGTTTACCCGGAGGTCACCGGGTCGAGCACTTTTTATGGACTGATAACGTGATGCATGTGTAGATGAAAGGCTAAAACCAGGAACAATTTCCTTTTTTATTTTTTAACATTTACCTTTTTTAATGTTAACTTTGTCTACTTTGTCTCAAAACTTTGGCATTTCCTCTGTTAACCGCTTCCCATGTCCATTGTCAAGAACTGGGTCTGGCTCAAACGTAAGCAAATAAAGCAATACGTCAAAAGCAATTTTATCTGGCTAGAAAAGACCCAGACAGATTAAACGGCACAGGAAGCTGAATTTTGTATTTGTTATCTGCCTACTGCCAGGAAAGGCGGGAGAACATAGAACAGGAAGCGGGAGATTTTTACCCCTACCCCTACCCCTACCCTACCCCAGCCCTACCCCACCCCCCCATCTTTAATTGTATCATTTCGGCACTTTCGCTCCTTAGTCCCTTCTCGACTCTAATATATGCATATTCTTGTATTATTTTACCGTTTTACCGTTTTGTTTCTTAGCTATGGATGAAATGTGAAAGGCGTAACCCCACTTTCAATTACATCTGTCTCTCACGGAAAGTAATTACCGCCGCCGCAGTGATTTACTTAGCAAAGTAGACACGAAAAGATGCGTGTTTTAAATTGGATTGATAACCCTTCACTACACCAAAATATCGGCCCGGCTTTCAATTGCATGAGCGTGCATTTTCAACTTATCAGCGCCTTCTCAATATCTTGCCTTCTGCGATAAAACCGGTAGAGTGTGATAGAGCGTCACAAATGACTTTCTAAACATCTTTTGTTTTCTCTTCGAGTACTTTAAAGGATTTTAATTCCTTTGTGTTCTTCACTTTCATGTAGCGGCTAAGAACGCACACGCAAGTTGCGAAGGAAAGCGCGATTTAGTCTTTTATCTCGAGTACGACGACTAAAATTATGCGTCACCGAGAGACTCGACACACCAATCACGAGTTCAGTCATCGAAAAATCGAATTTAAGCGATCGTGCTGTGATACGCAATCAGATGAACAAATGCAAGTAGGAGGCCCATTACGTTAATTTTATCCTCTTTATCTCACTTTTTCTTTCTTAAAATGTTCCCGGAAAAGTTCATTTTTCCTTATATCTCTCAAGTTGTCGAGCGACCAACAAATTACCATCACAGAGCTGTCAGATAAGCTTTGTAACGTCTCACAATAAATTCCATTTATGGCGAAACTCCCTCGTTACAATAAATGGCAGCTGCAAAGTCAGTTTTATGCAAATATTTTATTTCAGTTCGAATATTACAAGTCTACTTAGGCAAATTCACATTAGTCAATAAATTTTTTTCTTTTGTCACGCACACGCAAACTAAAAAAATTAATTTTGCTCTAGTGTGCTTTCATCGTTAATTTCTCATGGCGTCTTAGAACTATACAAAAATATCGTAGTTTTCTTAAATTAAAAGTACTTTTTATATTATATTTACACAACGTGGCATATCTTTGCCTGCCAATTTTTACTCGACACAATAGCAGGATTTTTCACACATTTGGGGTAGGCGATATTTGAATATTTGAACACTCTTACCATTGTTCACCTCTGCGGTTTCGTCCATGAATATTATGCTAAAGATTTGAACAATTTGCTTGAAAATGTTCTTTGCACCTGAAGTCTCATATCCAAGTTGTTTTGCGGAGAGAAAAATATCCAGTTTTCCCTGTAAGATATTTAAATTGGCAGAGTTCGCATAGAACAGTTCCGCAGTCGTTCACTGGTTGCCACAGTGTTTTGAAACATAAATACTCCTCTTAAATCGGTCTATTTACAACAATTTCATTCTAGACCAAATATGTCCATGGTCAAATTGTGGTATTCAGCTTTCTCCTTGACAACAACTCTGACATATTAGGCATGCATGGCCCATGATTTCGCTCGAGAGACAGGAGAATATTGCTGTTGAACGCGATACGCTGCCGGAATCCTACCGTACTGTGCTGCGACGTAGTTCATCTGTTGTTGTCTTCTCCTGAAGAACAAAGTGCGCAGGTCGGGCAGGTCTTGTAACGTATTCAACTGCATTTCAACTATCAGCCTCGCCAAGGCTCCCTCGTCAACACGGTCCATTGAGTCGAAGAATTCTTTTCCCAAAGGTGCACAGTTATCCCGTGTGTATTCAGGCATCTGAGAAAAAAGATTCAGTCCTAAGATCAGACACTCTTTTCCGCACACAAACCGAACTATTCACACTAAAGAATAACCGTAATCACCCTAAGCGCGGTATTTCGACACATGCCCTTCAAATTCCGACCGTCTTGAAGCTTATTTTTCGTCATCGAAATCATGCAAGCTTAAACTGTCGGAACATTTGAAAATCCGTTATAAAAATGATCTATTTACCTGTGTAAGGAGTTTTAAACTGCTCTAGCACTCTAGGTTAAAGAAACTGCTTGCTCGATGCGCGACCCGCGTGGTTCATAGACGTAGACTGAATGAAATTTCCGTAGCAGGCAGCAAACCAAAATAATGTTTAGATGACACTCTTGAGTAACTATTTACGGTAACTAGCACTGAGAACAATGCTCGGATTGATAGCCGCGATTACAATATTGCCCCATCTATTGTGTTGCTCTAGGCCAGTGACGTCATGCCTTTGAGCCGCCATGTTGTATTACGCACTAAAGAAAGATCGCGGGAAGTCAGACACCACGGAATGCGTTTTAAAGAGCGATTTCGTCATCGACTTTAAAAAAGCACATTTTCCTTAGCTACAAATCAAAACTTGTAAACGTACCTCATCAAAACACTGGATTAGGCTTATGAGACATGTTTGTTGAATACCACTTATGGAACCCATGGGTACGTTGCGAGAATTTTTGTGACAAGAACTGTATTGCTGAGTTGCGAAAGGTTGCGACTCTCGCTCACGCGATCAACGATAACTGCATTTGTTCGGGTGAGATGGGCATTCTTCACGTACCCAATGTGTTAGAGAAGACCATTTTTGGCCCTTTCGCGTTTCGGATTCCTCAGGTATTTTAAGAGAAAAATTGAGGCGTTTACAATTGAGCTGCAATTTCCTGAAACGCATACCTTTCTAGTGACAGAAGAAAATATATTACGTAATAAAGATACCGTCTCAATTTATTTCCCGCACGAAAGGTTTCATTATTATGCAAAATTACAAAATTGCGATTTATTTCGAATTTTCGTGTTACCTTTGCAAATGAACGATGGGTTTTCAAATTGTTTTACCGCTTAATTCCGCAATGAAATATGATAATAGAAATTTGTCAGCAAGAGTAACTCATTCAGTTCGACATCTGCGTGACATGGCACAACTTGCAAGGTTTAAATTTGATACCCAGTTATGGACATGAAGTACGCTGCAAGCGTCAACTGAGAGATTACATCAAAATACTACGGTCACTTACAGAGGAAAAAGGAAAAAGAATTTCAAAATCGATGTTGCCATCTTGATGGTTTAAAGAGAACGACCATTTGTCTGCTAAGATAAGAAATTCGGCTCGGGTGATATTGTTAAACATAAAACATTGAACGATCAAGATAATAGCCTGCTCAAACTCTGGAACATTCCGGAAGAGCTAACGAGAGGCTGATGATGTGGAACGAAGGTCACTGCCTGCTATCCCTCCTCCCCCCCCCCCCCCTTTCTACAAATCCAGAATAGTGCAGAGTTCGTCGGGCACCAGTTTTCCTTTTTCTCCCTTTTTTGCACTTTCTTTCCCTTTTTTTTCCTTCCCTCTAAACGCCAGCTGTTGTAATCAGTTAGTACTTTGATAAATATCTAGATGCATTGTAAGATTTTGACCACATCTGATGTTTTAGGTACTAATGTGTTCTTTAGACCGGATCCCATTGTGTGGTTATTCCCGTATCCTTCCATGACTGACGTAAAAGGAGAACTAATCGCGCGGAGTAAGATCACTACTATAGTCGGCTGAATTAGTCAGCTAAATTTCTTCATCGCTTTGGTATCGCAGCTCGAAACCGCATTTCTTTCAACAGGAAGATCGGCACTTAAGAATAATCATTTCACGGAATCTCCAAAGCCCTTTGATGTCACGCCACTCCATTTCCTTTGATTGAAGGCTTCAGTGCTCCCGTGCTGACTTGGGGCTCATGAAATGACGATTTAAACTTAAGTCATTAATATATTTATCTGATGCATAGCTTAACCTTGTTTCAAGCACACAGTTCCCCAGTTATTGTGGACCTAATATCGATCCTATAATCTAATTATTACCCTCGGTCAACTAGTTCATGTCAGTGAAAATTTCGAATAAACACGTTCTTCAGCAAACGGCACAAACAAACTTCATATATATCAAGCAATCAAATTGATAAATCAAATCGACAAATCTTTCTTCGGAATGATACAATGATATATGAAAGAAATTAATTAAACAATTTAATTGCCATCGGACCACCTGAAGGCCCTTGAGGTGCGTAGAAAAAATTCACGCCCGTCTGCGTTTGATTTCAATAATGCCTGTCTCAAGAAAAATATAAATTGACATAATTCATCGACAGAACAGTTTGTGCAAATCCGCTTATATAATTTTCATGCTATCTTCTGTAAATTTTTGCTCAGCACTATTTGCTGGCAGCTTATATCGCCAAGAGATTTCGAAAGACGGAATTGCGCAACGAAGTACTTAACATGTGATGGTTGCGGAAGAACGCACGGCAAAAATTCTTTAGCTCCTCAACTGAAGAAAAATTATTGTAACAAACCTTAAGCTATTGCTTTGATGTAACCAGTTTGCTTTCTGGTATCTTAACTTCGCCTCAATGTGTCTTCGTAAACTTTCTCTTGCTTTTGTCACGAGTTTATGAATATACTGCAGTTTCAAACATCCTCATTATAAACTCGTGACCGTTGGTAAGGCGTGTACTCATCCATCGCATTGTTTCGATGACCTCCGCTGTCAGATTTCAGAAGCATCACGTTTCAAGTCATTCCCGTCAAAACATGTGGCCTTACAAGGATGTTTCAAAGCCGAGGGCAACTTGAGGTTTCATTTCATTACAACTGATTATACGCGGCTTTTTAAAACTTTTGGGAAATTCTTTGGTGAAAAGAAATTTTAAAGGGACGGACCTGTTGATTGATGTATTTATTTAGCAAACAGCTAAGCACGCCTGTAACTTTTTGCCCTGAGTGCGTTGATCGAACAATCCAGTTTTTTTTTTTTTATCCCTGTAAGATTTTCAGCTTCAGGAAAATGGACGGTGTAGTCAATAGTAGAGCACTAACCTTCCATATTTGCGCATTTCTTGGTTCCATTTCGTTTGAACCGTTGAAGCTTCAGTAAAAATCTTTGCAGTGCTATGAATTCAATGAAGGTGGTTGTGACCTGATGTCGACAAAGCAAATCTAGCGATTAAGCTTCAGCGTCGATTTTCAAATTGGGCAACACCTATTCTCCCTTTATTGAAATCCCATTTCCGGTTTCGCAGATGGTCACGCACAGAGGGTCACGATTCAGCTCAAAACACTCTTTAATTTTCGTTTCTTGAAGTGTAACGTTTTCAAATGTATCAAACTTACGCTACAAGATCAAAAGCCGGTGATTTTTTCCTCTTTCCAGAGAATATATCTCTTCAAAAATTCAACACTTCCAATTTGATTTTCACTTTTGCGCAAAATGTGCACATCTTGTTTCCGGTAACTATTTCCGGTGCATTCGAGGCTTCTGCTACGAAAACATCACCCTTTCCGGTACCTCCTTGTACTTCGACTGAAGTCTCATATGGATTCCCTGGCATAAGATTTTGTTCTATTCTATGAACTGAAGGGAATTAATTTTAGCTGAACGATCTCAATGAATTGGAATTCAGTTCCTGCCCGGACATATCCCCTCTCGAAGAAAAAAAAATTTAGGTTAGATTACACTTTCTAAGTTCTTCTTGATGTTTTTAGTGAATTCTACCTTATCTTACACGTGTGAACTCTTGAGAGAATTAAAATGAAAAGAGTGTAAAAGTCTGACGTAGCAACGTTTGAAGATAACAGCAGCACGATCGCTTGTTTACATTCTTCGTCACTCGCGCGTCATCTTTTACCACCTGTCACGTAACCAATATTGTTTCCTCTGTACGTGTGACAATTCCTGTGCCGTTTGATGTTAACAGTACCTCAAAAGGCTTTCCTAAGAATGCTTCTTTTTTTCAGCGAAACAAATTATATTTCTCTCTTCCTTCAAATGTCAGATGATCGGTGAATATTTAGGAATTTTCCTGTCAAATTCCACAAGTCACGCAATTTACAAAAGCATTATCACATTTATGGAGGAATTTCACAATTTATGGAAATGTCTCAGGCACGTTTTGCAAATATTTGTTGAATGCTATAAATCAAAAAAGCTTGGGGTACCTCACATAGTCGCAAGTAACGGAGGTAATGTATTGAACGTGCTCACATAGAATAGATCGGATTATTTCTGTCATGTAAACGGGCGCACCCCTCATTTCAATGGGCGGATACAAGGCTGTGTCCATAAATAATCGAGAAATTAGGGCCATAGATCACTCATTCTCTTGATCTTTCGACAACTACATAGATCGTGAGTTTTTTATTTCCAAACAAGGCGAATGCCGTACACATATCATGGTCTGTGAATCTGATCTGATCCGAAACATGCAAGAAAAAAAAAAAGCCCGGCAAAAAAAGGAGGGAATTATATTTTATCTTTGTTGCGTGGTTATTTGTTAGACTTTGTAAAACCGAATAAACACAGAGTTAATTTACTAATCGGTCTGAATGAAATTAGCTTGCTGCCTACTGATAAATAATCCTTCTACTGATAGAGGCGTTGTTTCACTTTTTTAGTCAGACTCGCTTAAAATGCTTGTAGTAACCTCAACAGTTAGGTGATAAAGAAAAGAAAGGAAAGAAAACAAATCAGATCTTTCTGGAAGGCAACAAAATCACCACAGTTTCCAATTTCTAGGAGGGGTTTGTTTAGTCGCACCAGGAGATGAACTCCTGGCCGCACCCATTTTGATGTGGAAATCAGGCTCCCTCAAATACAGTGACATACTGTAGGTCAATTTCTACAAAGTCACTCTCATTTTTCATTCTTAATAAACTGCTCTGTATCTCTTGTTGTCAGCAAGGTGAAATTATAATCTTTCGACTGAATAATTAACTCTTAGGAACGTAACCGCATTTCTTCTCTCTTTGCAGAGAGGAACACTAATATCTGTTTATAAGCGTACCTGCATTTCGTTCGCCTTCCCTGCAGTGGGATTGTGAGCATTCGGCGTTACCGTTTCAGTTGCCTCGGTGGCCAGTTTAAAACAGAACTTGAAAGCAGGGAGCCTTGGAGACTGTGAAAGACAAAAGAAAGATTATCAGGCCTGGCTAAGTTGCGATTTGACCGTTTATAAGCCACTATCACATTATTAGTATTAGGACAATTGTCTTTGTTTTTCAACGAAATATTCAGACAAAACAATTACACCATCCGAGGTTATTTTGTTGAGTGACGAACAGCCAGTTCCTCTGGCACATGTCGTCTTTTCAGGGAATCAAATTATTACGACAAGATTTAAGAATTCCGAGACGCTTTTGGGGGGGATACGGGTACATGGAATTTATTTGATTAAAAACACTGAACTTATTCAAACATTGAAGTAACATTGCCGTGTTTTTCGTCGGTGAACTATTGTTTACTGTCTAAAAAAGGAATTTATATAAGTGAAAAAAGTGAGTTGAACAGTAAATTTTAATATTGGATAACTGGAAAACAGTAGTGGCAGATTCTATTCCTTCATATTGCTGTCAAAACTGTATTATTTGCAAATCTGACCCCTGATTCATTCAGGTCAAATTATAACACATAGCGCATCTATGGGCCATGAGCTTGTTACGCACGTGTTCTGCGAGGAAAATGCCATAGCCTACGCATGCAAATGCTTCGCATCTTTTTGCGCTTTTCTCGATAAATTATAAATTTCTGTGGTCACTGATACTATGTATGGAAATATTCCTTTACTCTCCTTCAAATAAATTTTCTATTTCATGGAAGAATTCGAAATTACCATTCAATAATCGAAGATACAGCATCTTCACTCGTGAAGGTGAAGTCCCGGGTCTTCTGGTGTTTCA